TTTTAAAAACACAAGCTAAAGAACACCTGAATACATCTCCAATACGACATTAACTTCTGTCAAACTGTCAAATTCAGACTCTCAGACCTTCTTTGTCGTTTCTTGCATCAAATTTGAGCAGGAGTAAATTTTGTAATGAAACACACCCAAAATTCATTTTAAGTTCATGTTTAGAGTATTATGGGATGTTTTTTCATCAGCTTCCAGAAATATTAGTGCCACTGACCTTTAGGGCCAATGTAGAGTGGTATGAGACTGGGAAATACAGTGAATAATGCTTTGGTCAAAAACCCAACGTGTACATGAAGAGGTCAAATTAAGAAAGATGGAAGAGGTACTGCATCAGTCACAAGCCAACAGTCAGGATTCCTCAGACTGGTACAGTCCAAAGCTGAACAGATTTTGTGTTCACTTTTCAGTCTTGAATAATTGATTTCAACTAAAACCCTCCAAAAATAAACACTTCAGTCAGGACAACACTTAATATTGGTGCAATAAGTGCGAGGAGTGTTAAACTTTCAATCATATGATGTTAAATGAATAAGTGATGGATGGTGAAAGCCTGCAGACAGAGGATAAAAGTAATTCTGCAGTCAGCCATCTTTAAAAATAAGGATTTGGTGTAGTTTCATATTGTTGTTGGTCATTAGCAACTACAATGATTTCCAGCAGAAGATAGGCCACCGATTTGCTTCTTAGCTGGTTAATGATGCACTGACTTAAATGTGTTTTGTCTGACCAGTTTATTGTTTTCTTTTTTCAGATATGAACCAAAGTACTGGAGTAGTTATGTTGATGAATTGATGAATGAATTTAATGACACCAAGAAGCAGAGCGGAGGAACATTTGAGGAGTTTTACAACTTTTACACCCGTCATTTTTTATTTCCAGGGCATTGAGACGAAGACTTCCTACTGTGGTTTGAGACCATTAAGTCACTGAGAAGATGTGTCATTATGTTTTATGTAGAGTATGATATGTTGCAAACAGTTCATTAGAAAGCTCCCATTAGAAAGGAAGCAGGTTTTAGGCTCTTTTGTTTGCCTTGACTTTCAAACGCAAAGGCTAAGTACACCTCCTCTGTCCAGTTACTGAATGCATTATGTTACAGACACCACAAACACACCCACACCTAATGAAACGCATTCACAATGACACTCCAACCAGCCAACCAGTTAAAAATGTTCCATAGAAGTCCACCCTGTTAAGCTGGAGATGATGGAGATGGGGACTGTGGCCAGCTATTTTCATACTTTATGGTTTAATCAGTATTTGTAATGTTAGGTTTTGTTTGTATTGTACTTGTTGCAAAAGTTGAAATGTGCGTCATCAGTTTTAAAAGTCACTTTTGATAAACAGTCAAAAATTATAGTTTTCTACCTCGTAAGTTAATTCCGAACCATCAGATGATCAACATTTTTGCCTGAGAGAATGAAAGAGGCTATTCAGGGTCTCAAATTCTGATTTTATTTCCTCTCCAATCAGAAAATATTTCATCAAAGGTTTGAGCCCTCATGTTTACAAAAGATGATATATAGAGGAATGTTTTCCATGTATATTTAGTCTGAAAATATATTGTTTTCACATAATTAGCTAGTCAGACCTAGTATATGAGTGTCTTTAAGAATTTTTGTTATCAGTATAAATAAATATTTAATAGACGCTTAATAATATCTTAAAATTATGCTTTATACTTCATTTTCATTTGATCAATATGAATATTCTCACCTGTAATGCACTCACCTGTGGCACATCAAAGCTGCACTTTACTCCTCCAAATATATTCATCACTTCCAGAGGGAGGCACAACACCTGGAAGATCTTTGCCACCAATCTTACGAAGCATGACCTCATTACACCGAGTGAACTGACATCAAAGGAACCTGAAACAATGAGTATGAATCAAATTTAGTCCTTTCAGGGTCTAATTAAAACACAAAACAAGATTTGCTCAACCTCTGAACAATCATGTCCTCTCTGAGTAAGCTGCACTAATGAATGAGCGTGACGCTGCATCCAGAATAGCCCCGAGATAACTGATGTCAGTGCCCTGACACATGACGCTCTCCTCTTCAGCAGCAGCAGCAGCAGACTGGTGTGCAGTGTATGTCTCTCTGTTCACCCATAGGGGAGAGTGGGGTAAGATGAGCCATTTTTCATATTTCAGATCATTACATCAAGGCAATCTTAGTTTTGACTAGTTTTAACTAGTGTATCTGCATATATTTGTCCATCCCTGCAAACCAACAGAGTGAGTGTGAACAGAACTGTCTTGATAATATAGCATGGCAAAAAAAGAGGTCTCCTATGGTCAACTTACCCCGTGTATGGGGTAAGTTGACCATAGGAGCGGGGTAAGTTGAGCTGTATCCCTACTACCCTACCTACTAGCCCTACCTCACCGTCTCTCTCCCTAAATAACAGTCACTTCTTCACTTTCATGTGTATTTTTATCTATTATAAGCTATTCAACAATAATTCTTTTCAATATTGTTGCATATAACTGCTAAAAAGCTGTTTTGTAAAAAGCCATTTTAACACGAGAATACCTTTAAGTGATTCAGAACATTCACAGGTGTATTTTTGAAAAGAAAAAGTAAAACATTTCAACAATCTGAACTGAAACTCTGATCCTCTCATCAGACTCCTTTACTTTCTCAGTTGATCCACTGGCATGTTGTAGCTCATAGATACCACAATTGATGTTTAAAACAAATTTAAAATGATCTTTTTTGGTCTGAACACAATTCTAATAAAACTTATGACAGACTAAATTCACTTTCAAGAGTGAAAAATGTTTTTTTTTGTAAATAAATGTCTAACCCCTTCACCCATGTGCTTCTAACCTTCACAGACTCCATGAATTGATGCCCATCTCCTAAATATTTGGTCACATGATCAATTTCTTTTACCATTTCCAAGCAACAGGGGGTGGCTCAACTTACCCTCTGGCTCAACTTACCCCACTCAAAATCCAAATCCTAACTTTTGCTGCTTCAAGACCTCTAATGAAGCAGATGTCACAGATTGAATGAGGATGGATTCATGTTATTCAATCTCCTCTGATTATTGGTGACAGTCTGGTGTCTTTGGGTCACTAACAAACAGGAACAAGTGATGGAAGTTAAACTCCAAAAACAGAGGAAGCAGAGCAGGCTGAGTCATCCCATAAGAAAGAAAGAGAGAGAGATATGAGCCAAAAACAGACCTCAGAGGATGAGACCCACAAGCACCCGGGCAAGAAATACAGAACAAAAAGTGGACTCACACACTCTTACACACTCTTACACACATGCTGATACAAGTACAAGGGAATAAAAAAGCAGGATGATTCATCACCAAGATACTCTCTGCATATTTTATGTACATAGATAAAAAATATAACAATGGAGGATAAACGATTGATCTCAACAAATGGGGTTTGCTTCACATTTGTATGCATGAAGCAGTAGGTTGCCTTTTGCATTGTTTTTAGGACCTACACTATAAAACCTGACCTACACACACACACACACTCACACACATACGTACAGAGTCTCTCCGGATGTTACAACATTGTGTGACACAGTTCCAGGTGTGTCTGAGAGGACTCCACATGTGAAGAGCTCTCCACACATCTATTTCGGGGCTCTAAAAGTGAATCTCCTCTCTATAAATAGGACGAACTGGATCTAGATGTGAAGGCGCCGCCTCGCAGTCCTATTGCGGGTCACCTGTGAGATCTATTTTTAGACACAGCAGCGGCGCACTTCACGTGCAATTGGCGACAGGTTGACAGGTTGCGCAACACTGGCTGCTGTGTGCGTGTGTGTGTGTGTGTGTGCGCGCGCGCGCGCTCAAATCTTTCATGAATGTCGTTCATTGAGTTTTTCATTGAGCTTTTTCAGGATCGTCCTTGTACATTTTAAAGAAAGGGAAGAAAGCAAAGCGGTGACACTGACTCACAGCTGTTAGGGGAGAGGATTTCTGGGATATGATGGTTTCTGGTGTCTTACTGGTCTCACTGGCCAGATGTGATTCTTATTCAGTGATTTAATCTAGTAAAATGCAACAAAAATCAGACATATCAAACGCAATCCCACTAGGATTTTACAAATGCCGCATTAAAAGACGTTTTTGTCCATAAAGAATAAGCGGAAAATGAACAAATCTGTGCATACATGTACTGAAACCTTATCCAGTTTGATCAAAAGGACATTACACCGCAGAGAAGATTGGGGATATGCGTGGCAGTGATATGTACAGACAAATAAGAGGGTTTCGTGCAGGTTCATGCAGTCATTTAGTGTTTCCACCGGCTCGGTGTCCATTCATAAAAGGTATTGGAGAGACGATGCTGAACAGCCTTAGCAGCATCCATGGCTACCTCTTGTATGATGCTGCGTTCATTCTGCGGCACAAACGAGCATCATCATCATCATCATCATCATCATCATCATCCTCACATGTTGTACACATTGACAGACTATAATGCAGGTGCTCATGTTCACTGACAGCTCCGGACAAACAGCCTCTGACGGGTATAGCCTAAATCTGCTGCCAGACATATAAACACAGAGACCTATTTCGCATGCAGCACAGTCTTCCAATTCCTCCCCCCTCATCCTCCTCCTCCTCCTCCTCCTCCTGCACCCCCCCTCCTCCAATACACCGGAGTCCGGTGACTCCGTTTACGTTTTACGGTTGCTCCGCCCCTTACTCGGTTTTGTCCAAATCGGGCTTTTTGCGTCGCCGGAGCTCCCGATTTCTGCCCGACGTCATCACCGAGTAGAGGGAAGAGCTGACGTCGAGGAAGAGTCACCGAAAGGAGAGGGCACGCGAGAGGGAGGGGGGAGAGTCTCTCCATTGCAAACACTGATATGAAACACATCGGCCCCCCCTTGTTCTCCACTCCCCTCCCTCCCTTTTACGTCGGTGTTGGTGCGTTGGGAGCCCCCCTACTCCGGCGGAGTCCCAGGCTATATAAGTGACCCGCGAGCAGAGTCCCTCAACCAGATTTACGGGTTTCGGACTTCAGTGCGAGAGACGGCGAACACTGCCGCCGATTCACCTGCACTCCGGGAGGAGGGACAGACATCCAGCAGCCGGCCAGCACCCGAGCTGGACGCTGTGGCGGAACTAAAGCGGACGGAGACAGGAAAGGAGGAGGTTTTTGAACCTTACTCTGGAAAAAAAACCCAAAGAGTTGAGATGAAAGTCCAATAACACAACCTCAGAAACTTCTTCTTCCACTTTGACGACCTGTCTCTTAACACACCTCGGAGACAAGGCAGCCCGACTTCAACCGAGGCGCGAGGTTTTCAAACCAACTCAACTATCCAACTATCACACCTGGAGGAATTTCGACTCTTCACATCCGCAAACAACCGGCCGCAATGTACCGCTCAACCAAAGGAGCATCCAAGGCTCGACGGGACCAGATCAACGCCGAGATCCGGCACCTGAAGGACTTGTTGCCAATTTCCGATGCTGATAAAGCTCGGCTGTCATACCTGCACATCATGTCTCTTGCCTGCATGTACACCAGGAAATCCGTCTTCTTCAATCAAGGTAAGAAATGGATGAAAACGACCTGTTGATATGAGCTGCTGCAGTCAGACTCTTAATAGTGGTGGAATCAACAAGTGTTTTAATGACACTGCAGGCATTGATAGAGATATAAATCTGAATTTGATATGATTATGAAGGTATCAAAGCTGTAAAAACCAGTATAACCGCAGTTTGTCTCTGTCCATGGTGCTGAAACGCTTTAACGCGATGAAAGCAGCAGTATCGCTGTCCATGGTGCTGAAACACACTGCGGACACTGCTATACTCTCAAGGCGCTCATGATCATTTGTGCTCTCTCTTTAATGACAATAACGTCAAATAACCAGTTTGGCTTCGTGTTTCTAGAGGCGGGAAGTGCTGCTGGTGTGGAGGAGAGCGCGGGGTTCCTGTCTTTCCACGAGCTGTCCGAGTTGATGCAGGCGCTCCCGGGCTTTCTGATGCTGCTGACGGGGGAAGGGAAGCTTCTGTACCTGTCAGACAGCGTCTCTGAGCACCTCGGACACTCTATGGTGAGTAGAGACGGATCAGATTGACCGATAATGATAGAAATATTAACGATCTGCTCGGGGCTTTATGGATAACATCTCTGTAATGGTTTTTCAGGTGGATCTTGTGGCACAAGGAGACAGCGTGTATGATATTATCGACGCCTCAGACCACTACATCATGAGGACCAACCTGTCAGCCTCCACCTCTCTTGAAATGGGTAAGACGAATTTTACAAATTTCAACCACAAGTTTGATAATTGTTTTCCCTCCAAAATGCAGATGTATTAAAAAAAATCCTCTATTTTTCTACAGATCGTCTCTTCCGTTGCCGTTTCAACACCTCTAAGTCCGTGAGGAGGCAGAGTGCTGGGAACAAGCTGGTCCTGATCCGAGCCCGCTGCCTCTCTCCTCCCTCCACCTCTCCTTCCACCATCTCCTACTGGACCTCCAACCCGGTCTGGGTGTGCTTCTGCTCCCCTCTTGAGCCCCACCCGACCCGCTCTGGTCCTGGGGCAGAGAGGGAGTCAACCTTCAGCCCACCTTTAGCTGAAACCAACCTGTTCCTCGCCTGTTTCTACTCCCAGCACAACCGGGACATGAGACTGCAGACAGTGCAGGAGAGGTGAGTTTAAGATCAACCCCACCTGTTGCTTTGGTGTGATGTAACTTAATGGGTGAAGCATTATCCCTCTAACACGTCTCCACCCACTCTCTCCCTGCAGTGTGAGCGCATATCTCGGCTTTGATGTGACAGCTTTACGCTCTCGCTCCTGGTACAGCCTCCTCCACCCACAGGATCTGTCACATGCCTCCGCTCAGCACCGCAGCCTATGTAAGTGTACTCTTCACACATAGAGTTACTACCATCCAAGCCCACACACTTACACACACATTGTGCCCACTAACACGTCCACACAGTAACATAACAGTGTGATGACTAATAAGCAGAAGCTGATGCCAACTTGTTCTGTGACTGTTTCTCCACAGTGAGAGAGGGAGGGGAGGGCAGAGCGGAGATGGTGGTGCGTGTGCAGGCTCAGGATCAGTCGTGGGTTTGGATCTACATGGTGCTTCAGCTGCAGCCTGGAGAAATCCCCATCAGCAGCAACAACTATGTCATCAGGTATGAACTGCTTTTTCTTAAATTACACCCCCGGCATTAGATTAAAACCTGCAAAGAGAGGATTCTAACTTTTTGTTTTTATCTCTTCCTTCTCTCTTAGTGAGTCAGAGGCCTGGTCAGTGCGGCAGCAGCTGAGCTCAGAGCAGACACAGCTGACCCTTGTCCTGACTGCTGGGACGTCACAACAGGAGGGTCTGAGCCTCCAATCTCCTGAGACTCTGTCCAGCCCAGATCAGGTGTTCACCCCCGGCAGCAGCGGCCTCTCCGCTCAATCCTTCGACTTCAGCACTGCCGGCTGCAGCGTGGGCTCCTCCGATGAACCACGGAGCTCCTCTGCTGAAGCCATGCAGCTGGAAGGAGATCCCCGCTCCAGCATCTCCTCTCTGGAGGAGGAGAGTTTCTTTCAGCAGCACCCGACAGAAAACCCCTCCGCTGCCTCCTCCCCCACTCCGGTCACGGTTGAGACAGTAGCAGATTTAGACTTTTTAACCCAGAACATCCTCCTTCCACCCTCCTTCCAGCTTGACCCTCCCCTGCCAGTTCTCCCCCTGCCCCTCCCCCCAGTCCCCACCTCACAGGCTCAGCAGAGCAAAGAGTTTGTGTGCACACCCCCGTACACCCCCCAGGTGGGAGGACCAGCCTTCCCCTTTGGCGAACCGCTCTTCAGCTTTGACCCAACCGGCACCACCACTCCTCCTCCCTCTGCTACGACAGCCAGCGCCACCACCTCAATGGCCCCTTCAACTTCCCCCTCAGCTCCTCCAACCACTGCCACCAGCCCAGCTCCCCCCACCACCCTGTCCACCAAACTCCCACTCTCTCTCCCTACTGCCACTGACTTCTTGTTCCCCATCGAGCCTTGCAGCGGCTCCCTGTATGAGAAACTGCCCCCAACCCCAGACAGCCCCGGAGATGGTGACTGCACAGTGATGACCCTACCTGAGGTTCGGGGTCCTCTCTATGTAGATGTACCACTTGGGCCCCTCCAGTGTCCCCCCGAGGGCCTCCTCACTCCCGAGGCCTCCCCTGGTAAACAGCCCTGCCTCTCCTTCTTCTCCCTGGAGAGAGAGCGGGAGAAAGAGCGGGCAGAGATCTCACTTCTTGCTCAGCACATAAGCTCTTTGGCAGAAGGATTTTACCTGGATCCCCTTCTGTCCAAACTCTCTCCTCCCTCCATGTCCCCCTCCTCCTCCCCTCCTTCCCCCTTCCTGTCTCCCCCCACAGACACCACAGATGTTGATTCAGTCCAAATGCTCAGGGAGTTTTATCCCATCAAAGCATGGAGAGGTCTGGACTTTCCCATCTTCCTCGATGATGATGCCTCTCTGTTTGAAGAGAGCATCCTAGAAACCATCCTCCAAGACGACTTCGCTCCTCCTCAGCCCGCCAGTCTCTCCTCTCCGTCCCCCTCCTCTTCCCCGCTACCCAATCCTTCAAGCCCGACCTCTCCTCAGACCCCCGTGTGCTGGCACCAACCCTCCCAGTTTGAGGGAGTGGGCCACTTCTGTAGCGTCCAATCGGCGCGTTGTAACTCCACGGTGGGGTGCTTGGCGACTGTGGCTGCTGAGGCCGGGGCCATGGCGGACGGAGAGGGGCTAGCGGAGGAAGCAATGGAGGTCGAGGTGGTGTCATCTCCTGTGTCCTCCTGCTCCTCCATCCCAGCTTCCCCTCCCCTCATGCTCACCGCCTCCCCTGGCCCTGCCACCTCCTCGCCCATCGTCTCGCCCTCGTCCGCTGTGTCTTGCACTCAGTCCCTCCTGGAGGAACTGGCCGTCCTGGAACCCATGTTTGGGGCAGGTGCCTCGATCGCCCCTGGCTTAGGGCAACAACCTGAGTTGTATCAACTCCAATGTCATCCATCGCCACAGTGCTTCCACAAAGGTGAGAATCGGTCTTTCGTCTCTCTTTTCAACCTCGCTCCTCTAAAATAAGACAAAAATATTTCTGAAAACAAACCGCTGACTTTCTCTTTCTCTCTTTGTCCCTTTTTTGTCTTTCAGATGGGAGTGGAAGTGTTCCTCCGTTCTAAAATAAGTCTGTGACTTACTTCATTAAGTATGGCATATTGTCATATTTTGTGGAGCCCCTTTTACTGAAAAGTAAAAAATAATTAAGTGTATAAATATACATAATGTATATACAACTTAAGGACTTAAACTCCTACATGTCTCCTCAGAACAAAGATTGGCTCTCTATTTTTGTTCAGTCATTAATCTGTAAACTTCTACAAATCTGGTGCAACATTAACATGATGGTGCAACCACCTGGACCCATAACTGACTGGGTTTTGGGTCCATGTGGTGTCTTTCAGCTTCTCTGTAACATGAGCTTCAGATATGATCAGACAGAGAAACTTCTCTGAACTTGTTATGCGCTGTTTTACTTCCAGACGCGCATTCGTATTCACTCGTAGTGAAAAATCTGTTGTGAACAAAAAATCTTGCTATTTCAATAAGGAGATGACTTATAGCACTTTTGCCTGTAATGCAGCAACGCAAACCCAAACCTCAAACGTATTGAAAGTCAAATGTTTACAATTTTTATACATCCTTAGGATGAGCACTATCTATTCTTCAAATTTAAAGAGTTTTCCTGCGAAGGAGCAGCCGCAGCTCCGGTTTAAAAGCACCTTTTTTTCCTTATAGCCTTCAAGGCGACTTCAAAACTCAGAAATAGAATTCAACTTCAAACCTGCGATACTTTGAGCTTTGAGTTTGCTGCTTCAAACCTTTAACTTTTCATATTTATCTCTCCATCTAAAATCTTTGTGTATCAATGTGATGTGCAAACAAAAAAGAGAACATGTGAAGAGATCACGGCATGTGAAGATCTCCAGAATGTTAAAGGTGTGTGTTGCTTTTACGAGATGTTACACCAAGCTAAGAGATCGTCTGGAAGTTTACCGCAGCTCTGATCATGCCACAAACACACTGCTTTCGTCGTACTGTACATTAGACTCTGAATGTGGGCTCTTCAGGTCCTTCTTGGTCTTGGGGACAGTCAGCTGGATACTGTTGCAGCATCAATATTTGCAATGCTGGCAGCTTATAGCGGCTCCTGCCTGAAATGGCCCTGACCTGCTGAACTCTGAACTCTTTCTCCTGTCCATCACACGTGGACTTTTACATCGTTGCTCCCCTGGAGCGCGGTGAAGCGAGGCACAATTGACTATGTGAATGAGCGATTCTTCTTTTTTGAGAGGGGTTAGACTACACAAAGTTTTGTTTTAAAAAATGAAAATAGGGATGGGGTGCTATTTCTATTCAGTTACCAAGCGACACGGGTTGAGAATGGTACTATTCCCATGGTGTCGACATGCTCACGTAGAGTTGTCTACGGTCAAGTAAAGGATTGATTCCTACGTTCTAGCTATTCAAGGCTAAGTTAATATACATGTGTAAAATTACTATATCGTATGTGTGATATTTGAAAATGATGTAATTGCATATGCATTATGTCTGTGGGTACAGGCATATGATCTTTTAAGAAAGGTTGTACACATTTGTACATTTGTATGAAATTGTTATTGGTCTGTATATATGAGAAAGAGATTTTTATTGCATAAGATGGAATATATTCTAAACATCTTACTTACTGCAGAATGGACATTGTGGACCAGTGTTCTATTGTGTTGCTTATAAGTGTATTTGGTTGTCATACAAATGCATTTATATTAAAGTGCACTTAATGCGACTGATGCGTCTGTGTCGTCACAGTCAAACCCCTTGTTCCTCCTTCTCAACCACCCCATCATCATCATCATCATCATCATCATCATCGGCATCATCCCACCATCCCTGCCTCCTCCTCCTCTTCTCTTCTCTCCCTACTCTCTCCTCTGTTTCTTCCCCTGGAGCGAGATTCGCTCAGCAACAGCTCTGACGCACACACATGACGAGACAGAATGAGACACTATCTGACTCAGACTGACGCACACACTTGGCATCGAGGTTTTTTTGCGTGAGAGCGTGTGCACGCAGCCCACATAATGATGATGCACGCACACACGTATTAGTAGGCATATTGCCCCCCCTCACCACCACCACCACCACCACCGCCACCATCCCTCTTTACAAATCATGGTAGCCCACATTCACTGGGTGTACCTGTGAGTGTGTCAGCGCTCGACGTGGTGTAAGACTCCATATATAGGCATTCCTGCTCCAGAGCTGTGACTGAAGCAGCCTCCGTCTATTCTCAGCCTCCATTCAGAAGGAGAGGGGAGGGGAGGGCTGAGGAGAGGGGGGAGACAAAGAAAGAGTGAGGGGAGGCTAAAATTAGAGGTACAGTAAAGAAGGATGTGGGACAAACTGATTCTCTGACGCCACAGGAAGAAAAGGTGAATACAATCAAAAGAAAGATGTACAGACAATCATTTTTGTGGATTATAAAAGTCTGGAAATGAGTTTTACAAATTCAAGCCTGATAGGATGTAACTTTTGTTTGATTTAATAACCTGTGCCCGATCATAGATGATGGAGACTCTTAAACATGTCATTAAAAACAACAATAAGCAATAATGGTGGTTTTCTGCAGGCGAACATTTTGTTCTGTCACCAGCTGCTGCAGTCTGAGATGGAGTGAAGACAAGTAGAGGAGGAAGAGCTGCACAGCTGACTGCTGCTATCTTGTGGATGAGGGCAGCACTGCACCACAGAGGAGCAGGGAGTGTGTCGTGGAAGGAGCCATGTTTGAAAAGGGTACATGTGAGGACACCGCTCAGAGCCTCTGTTGGCTGAATGGATCGAGGCTTTGAGTCGACTTTAAAGGGAAAGGTTTACATTTTTCACATGTTTCAGTCCTTATAAGACATCCACCTTTAGACAGTGTCTCTTGGCTGTAGAGGAGGGGTTGGTAGCACAAAGACGGACATGTGTACAGCTGTGTTTCAATCATATTTTTATCCAAAGCTCTTTTCCCTACTTACTTATATTCATATCGCACAACTCCTGGCTCCAATATCGGTTTCCTCATTAACCTTCAGTGGAATAGGAGAGGCTTGGGATTGATCCAAAGACATTACGATCATTAACAACCCCCCACCCCCCACCCCAAGGCAGAAGAGATTATTTCAGCCACACAGAACGAGCATGTACGCTGGCATCACTTCGGGAGTGGATTTTATGTTACAGCATGTTTGGAGATGAGAAACAGTTATCAGTGAAATATTCAAGGAACAAGTTGGGATGTTGCCAAACACACAGGGTGAAGTGACCCTTTAATAGATCTTTTTTTATATTGATGCACATCATGATAAAGTGAAGCAAGGCAAGTCACGCCCAGTCTGGTTGTCCAGACAGGAATTGTGCTTGAGTCATGACTGTGATTACTCAATAATCACAAAAACATGTTAATAGTGATGGAAATGTGAAGAAATACCAGGCTTAGGTCCATGTGTCACAGAGATCTTCAACGTCATTCGTCTGACCAACAATCTTGAGCTTAAAACCTGCAATGTAAATCTGAAAAACATTAAATGAAAACAACTTGAAATAAACAAATAGGAGTTGCAACAAAAACAAGATTGAACCTTTAGTTTTAGCAAGTTTGAGTCCTGTACACCACACTTGCACAGCTCAACGTTTTGGTCCCCCTGGACCTTTCATCCGAGTAAGAGACAAAACACAATGACATCAAAAAACATAACACACCACAAGAATGTCTGGGGGGCTGAAATGTTGTTGTTTTTTCTTTTACATTAGAGCCGAACAAGTTGAATTTTTAATGTGTAGGACTTGCTCTCTCCAGCACCTACAATGATGACATGGTTAGTTGTGCAAACATCTCCCTGAACTCCAGATTTTAACCTTAAAACCTTCTAAAATACAAACAAAACACTGTTTTTTCAGCACTGGTGAGCATCAGAATAACCAAAAAATAGGACCAATTCTAAATGCATTTAGTCACTCATAAACACAGCCTGTTAAGAATGTGTGAAACAAAACTCTGGTCATAAGGTAAAACTTGTCTTTAATATCAGTTTAGCCCGAATTCATAACGCAAAACAAAATATTTCATCTTGTCACATGGCAGCAGAGCAAATCGAAGCCAGACTTGCAAGATATATTACAAATGAACATCAGTAATGGCAGCCTTCTCTGCCCAAGTCTTATTAATCTTGCTTTGGTTTATTTACTTTTGTTTAGTTATTCATTTATTTTTATTCTCTCAATGTTATCAATATTGTTTCCCTTCTGTTATGAGTTCTGTCCATTTAATGGTCAAAGTCCAAGGAGTGGGGGTGGGGGGTATGTGTTTGTGTGTGTGTGTGTGTGTGTGTGTGTGTGTGTGTGTGTGTGTGTGTGTGTGTGTGTGTGTGTATGTTGTAATGCTTATTTGATATAACTGTGGTTGTCATTATTGCAGAGGAAAATGAAAATATAAGTGAATAAAAACATTTGATCACAAAAAAAATATCAGTTAAACTCGTGGTTTGAAAGCGCCACGACAGAGTCAAGTAAGTAAACTTAGATGTTTTGACTTTTATGAGTCCATTTAAAGCAAATAAAAGTTAAATAATCACCCTGCTACAAGTTGGTGATATGTTCTGCATTATTCATGATGAACCTTTAAGATCACTGGCTGAGCAGTGTGTCAAATGTGCATGAAAGCCATCTGCACACCCTGACAAAGAGCCAAAAGGCTTCCCAAAGTGTTAATAATAGATAATAACATCAAAGAGCCAAATGCACAAATCCTTCCAAGACAATTACGGTTTGATTAGCTTGGCTCGGAGGAAATGAGGCGCTGCAGGCTGAAAATATTTTCATATCTGTTTTTCAATGCGGAGATCAAATGAAATCTCTTCAACAAAAAAAGTTGTAAAGTCTCAAATCTTCAAGCAATCAAGGATGCTGAAACAAATCACATAACAACGGTCTGTTTATTCAGATCGGAGACACCAGGTCAACAGGTTTTTACATGAATGTGTTTCATGTACAGAGTTGGTAAAAAAAGAGCACGGAAATAGGTTGATAAATAAAAGATGCTGCAGGTCTTCATTTCTTTTTTCCCTGCAAACTCTCAGCTGCAGCTGCGGCTGCTGCTGCATCGGCTTTCAGCTTCTCCTCCCTCTGCTCCAAGAAGACTTTGTACTCTTCAGCTGAGAGACTGAGGAGGAGGAGGAGAAGAGAAGGAAAGAGGAGGGAAACTAAATCAGTTACCCAAAACTTTGACTGACTGTTACATAAAGCACTAACCTTCACCGAAACAGAGACAGAATTTTAATGTCATTTTGAAGTTTGGAGATTTTTTATTCATAGTGTTGGAAAAAAGTGAATGACAAACATCACATCAATAATTTCTAGTGGAGATGGTGATTTTAAAGAAACAAATCCGTTTCACCACCTATCAGATTCACTTATAACCTTTAATATACCTGTAACAGTAACTTTGAACAGTAACTTTGACCCCACCTCAAAGAGAAATGTCCCCTTTCGAGGCACTTCACAGTGCAGCAGTGTTCAACATCGTCCTGGGAGAAATTCATTTTAAATGAGGCACAGATATCCATTTCTCCTCTGACATGGCTCTCATTTCATCATAACCCACTGCAGCAGCAGGACACGTTCACTTTTAAGTTTAGGGGACAGACGGAGACTGGGAAGAAGTATAATATCATAGACTGGATTCAGCAGGCTGGTGTTATTACGCAGGAACAGGCTACAACGCAAAGTCTGAATGTTTCCTTTTCCTTGGCTTTGTATACAGTCATAAACTAAAGGTAGGACTGGTTAAGAGCAGCACTACAGATGTTAAAACATGAAATCAGTTGAACCCTGTTAATAATGATCCAAGCAGAGAAAAGAGCTGGTTCAGACCTGGGCCAGCATGTTGCTACAGGTTTAAACTGTGGGGAGTACTGGCACACTGAGCACCTTTCTCTCCTTCTCTGTCCTCTTTCTGTATCATTAACTTTGAATCATTATTTCCCATTAGAGTCTGGGGATCCCTGTACTCCATCATGTCATAAGTTCCTCTTGATCGCAGCTGCAGATGTTTTGCTGCCGTGGACCGTAGACTGTCTAACATAACCTGGTTCTGCTCAAGGTTTCTGCCTGTTTAAGGGAAGTTTTTTCTCTTCACTATGACTTAATAAATGCTGCAAAGTGCTACACTTGAGTGGTTAAAGGTGGGATCAGAGTGAGTCTGATCTTACAAGATGGGGCTCAATCTTATCCCTTCTTTAGATTGGGTCTTGGTCAGTAGAGTTTGGTCTAGACCAGCTTTTGTTGGTTAAAGGGATATTCCAGCGTAACATTCAGTTCGGGTCAAACAAACCCATGGTAACAGCGAGTTAGACACCCCGTCAAGAGATGAATGTTGCCGACTGCTTGCTTCTCTAGTTATACCAACTTTAGGAACAACCACACGATAACAATACACAGAGCCATGCACTCGACCAAAACGCCACTCTATAGCCACAAATAATGGTCAGAACAGCACCTAACTTCATCTACAGTACGTATAGGGTCCTAGCCGTAGTACCAGCCAACAAACATCTTCTTAGCTTTGCCTAATTTCTTAAGTGAAGGGACTAAACACAACTCACCTACTCTATTCCAGCAGCCGTTTGTTTGTAGCGAGACCTCGAGCCAGTCCATTACAGACTGCTGCGGGGTGACGCAGCTCAAGGAAGAACATTTATGATCATTACTTTATCATTTCCTTGAATTAATCATTTTGTACTGCAGACGCAGTAGTTCTTCTGCCTCAGCATCTCGGTCTGATTGCGTTTCCATGAAGAAATTATCATAAATGTTCTTCCTTGAGCTGCGTCACCCCGCTGCATTAGATGGACTCGCCTGGGGTCTCTGTACGAACAAGCGGCTGCTGGAAGAGAGTAGGTAAGTTGTGTTTAGTCTCTTTGCTAAAGAAATCAGGCAAAGCTAAAAAGATGTTTGGTGGCTAGTGCTATGGCTGTGGCCCTATATGTACTGTTGATGAAGTTAGGTTTTGTTCTGAGCATTATTTGTGGCTATAGAGTGGCGTTTTGGTCAAGGTTTATTTATGGCTCCTGAGACAGCTGTATAATGCTATCATTCGGTCGTTACTAAAGTTGGTATAACTAGAGAAGCCAGCAGTCGGCTGGTCAGTTAATTTTACACCGGAATATCCCTTTAAGCGTCTTGGGATAACACTTGTTGTTAATTGGTGCTATACACATAAAGATTGACTGGTTTTAGAGGGAGTGTTGTCCTGGTGTTGCTGTTGTGCTGGACTCTTTGTTACTATCAGGTGTTCCTGTTATTAATCATGTTGTTTATTATGAGAGGAGTCGGGCAGCGAAACAACAAGTGGTCTCTTAAACAGAGTACAGCGCACAGAATTACAACAGTACAATAAACTAGAGCCTGGAACAGACAGAGCAAACAGTAAAACACACGGCTAATTGCATCTTAAAGCACCTTTATACCCTTAAAACTCGCTTAAGATTTGGAGACTGTGTTAGCCTACACCATTACATCATGAGACTGCCTCTGCACTTAAAGACTAGCCTTTCTCCTTTTCTTTATTTAGCTTACATATGCTCCACGGAGCTCTTTATTACAGGAGATTGTACTAAAATGTGGGGGATATCACACAGAGCTGTGAACAGAAGACAATTATTACAGAACGAGAAGTTCCTCACAGCTCTTTTTGGTTCCTCATAAAGGCGCCAGGGTGGTTTAGTAAGTAGTCTAAGTGTGGTCGGTTATTCTCAAGTGCTTTATAAAGACACCGATAATAGACCTACACTCAGATAACAACTATTCACTGACAAAATGAGATGTGATCATCCTGAGCAGAGCAGTTTATGTGACAAAAGTGGGTATCTGCTGGTGTGACGACAGGTGCTTTTATTACAGTGGCCACTGTACTGTTGTGTAATCTGACCTCTGGTGGCTGTTAGAAAGCATGACAGAAAATAATGACAGGATACTTTGTCTTTTTGAAACTCTATGGTAAAGTTTGTGTCCTTGTATTTTTTAAAAATCTCTCCAGGGTTACTGTTCTGGTATCTTCAGTAAACAGATTCATAAAAGCACAAGGACACAGAATAAAGACTTACTCGTTGACAACTTCGATTCCCAGAGAACGTGCCGAACCCACAATGCTTTTCACCACGTTCTGTAGCGTAGTGTCTCTCAGCACGAAGCACTCGTCCTGAGATTTCACCTGAGCGATCTCGTACACCGTCCTCACCGACACCTTTCCTGCCGTCTCATGGCCTACACACACACACACATAGACAGACATATAAAAAAACATAATATAGAGATTTCAGTGTTAAAAAAAACCTGAATGAATGATTAATAGAAGTTCAGTACAACAAAGATGACAAAGTGTGTGCTCATGTAGGTGCGTACAGTCGATGTGTGTGTTGAAGACCATGTAGAGGTGGTTTTTAGGAGCAGAAACGAGGCAGGAGATGGCTCAGGGCAGGAAGTATAAAAAGGTAGACATCTATAATTCTCTTTTTTTAAACACACCACCTTTGCCACTTCCTTCCTATGCAGCAGTTTCCCCCACATGCCATGAATATAACATCAATCAAAGCGCCGCTCAAAACTGAGCCAAGGGAGAGACGTGTGTCCGTTACAGGAGGGACTCGGGAGGGGGGGAAAGTGGAGCAGAAACATCAGAGCAGGAGCATGTCTCACCCGTCTTACTGGCCCCTTTTGCGATGCCTGCTGCCTGCTTGAGAAAGTACGACACCGTTGGCTTGCCGATCTTCAGGTCATAGGTTCTGTCAGGCTGAGGAGAGAGGAGAAATAAAGGCGGACCGATGAATATGAGCTTTTTATGGAGTAATAAAATGGGCTGTGGCCTAGATTTGAGAAAATACTGACACTCCATTTCCCTCAGACCAAGACCACCACCACCTGAAAACCACCAGACAAGTTTGTATGTTAATTTTTGCACCAAACGTCAGATGCAAAGCTTTCTGTCTTTTTTCACAGCACTTACAAACTTGGCAGTGGTATTGATAGTGTATTTACCACCAAAACTGTCCTTGGTTGAGAGAAAGTTTCAGCCAATAAAGCTCAAACTTTCTGGCTGTATGAGTTATAAAAAAACTTTAATGTGTCTGTCCGTCTGATTTATTTCTTTTACACAAGCGTTGTACTTCACGGCCGCTATTTGAGTATGCGAAAGGTGTTGAGCTATTTATTCTGATCTAATGTTTAATCATATAAGGAAAATGTAAAATTTAAACATCTACTTCCTCAACTTTCAAACACGACATGGAAAACATGAGCTGTCTAATGTCTACGCTGTTTATTTACTTTTCTATGTCTGTTTGTGAAATTTTTGGCGCCCCCTGTGGACAAAGCAGTCCTCCTTCTTTTGCTGATCCCGTCCTGTACATATTTAAGTTGTGTTGCTGTCTTCAACAGTGAAACATACCTCTCACTGTCAACCTTGTTTGTTTCTCCAGTGTGCTGTCAATCACGTGGTCTAACACCATCTCCTTTTCAGTGATTTCAGACATTAAAAATCTCATTAAAGGAAAAGTCAAACTTGTCTCTGATGGGCTTGTTTGCTTTTGTGGCTCATAACAAGACATCACTTAAAATTTTAATCAGTTTACTAACCAGAAAAAACTCACAGGAGCTTTAAAATCAATTTGATTTATGAGACAGCATCGGTACCAGGATCCAGGAGTTGTTTTTACAACGAAGATTTTCCTCCAGAAAATGACAAAAATAATCAGTAATTTTCCAACGTGAGGCTGAAAAAGAGTAATCTGTATGTGAGGAGTTGAAATCTGACCAATCCCTGAAAAAAAAAATGTTAAAAGAAGCAGAATTACCAAACAAAATCCACCATGTTATGTGATACAACTTTCAGATACAATTATCAGACATCCATCCAATACAGAGACAAACGGCTGAATTCCTGACAGTAGAGGATTTTATAAACTGTGTTTTTGTTGATGTGCAGTACGTGAACAGAGATATGATTTCAAGTGAAGGAGGAATTAAGCGTCTGCTCATTGGAGGTCTTTCATGTGTGCCATACAGACAATTTTGTGACCTCTGTGCTCAAGGCATCACGTATTATCTCTCTGTTTCTTTCTCCCGAATACGAGCTGTGTTTTTTGATTAAAAATCTTCTCCTGCTTCCTTTTAAAAGTCAAACATGTCCCTTAATGTGAATCATTTCTGTGGAGAAAGTAGATAAAAGCATTGTCAGCCGGGGCGCTTCAACTGGAAACCTCTGACACAAAGCAAACACTAAAAATAACTATATAGAAATTAATTAATCTTCTTGCTGATTGTGTGGTTTGCTTTTGTAGCACACAGAGGCATCAGAATTTATTTCAGTCTCATTCATAATCAGTGAAGTATTCCTTATAGGAGCCTTGAGTCAAAAAGAATCACAGTCTTCTCCACAGACTGAGGCACACAGATTATCAATTAAACACTCTCCTTTTCTGTTTAATTGATAATTAAACACAAAAGTCACGTGGTATATTCATAAAACTATAATCCAGAGTTTTGGATTCTGGATTGAAATTCAGGTCTGTGCATCCCTTATGTAAATTTTAATGGTAGCTGTGGCTCTGACAAAGGCTACGTTCACACTGCAGGTTATGATGCGCAATTCAGATTTTTTGTTAAATCCGATCTTTTTTGTGCGGTCGCTCACATTACAAAAACGAATGCGGCATCTGATGTGAACAGAATGTGTCCGTGAAGTGACTCGCATGCACATAAAGCACAAATTACTTTCCGCGCCTGTTTTTGTTGTCGAACAATGGTGATGTTTGTCGCATATTAATGACGTATAGGTCGGATGAACGGGACCTGAGCGTCCACACTGCAGTCACATCGGATACATATCCGATTTATATCCACATACAAAAGAGGCCTGGGTCGGATTTGAAAAAATCAGAATTGCACTGTTCACACTTGCATGAAAAAATCAGATATGTGTCACATATGGTTAAAAAATCGGAATTGACCAGCAGTGTGAACATAGCAAAAAATACTGTAGCTTAGATTGATGAACACCAAAAATCTGTGTTTTTTTCGGAGTACTCGTCACCTGAAGTATGAGTTCAGCTGTTTTAAAACATTTCTGCTGACTGTATTTTAAACTGGAATTTAGATGTAATCAATATGAAAACAGGGAATGTTTCCTCCTCTAAAATAATGAAGCACGTTGCTTTATTAAACAGAAAAAGGTGAAAAAAAAAAACGAGGCCTTTTTAATTGGGGCTGCATGATTAAAGCAAAAGAAAATGAGTATTGACTGCTCACCAGCTCTCCTCGGGGTCCTAAGTGAAACAGTGTGCAGTTTTTTGGGGGGAAATCATTCCCTCTCGTCTGCAGTATTTATGTTTCCAGTTAATCAGGAGAAACTTTCCTTTCATCCCTCTCGGATTGATTTAGCTCCTTCTCCATTAATTTCATATCTCGGGGCTAATAGCTTACGGTGTTCACTGCACATTAAAAACTCCTGTTTGTTGTTCAAGAGTATTAAATGTCACTTACTGTCCCACCTTTAAACACTGCAGTAATTTATCATACAGGGTCCATCTCTTGCTGTTCCAATTAATAACAGACTGTAATTTAGAGCAACATTACTTCACCAGTTTACCCCAAAATAATAGCTTTGAAGGTTCATTGACTTACAGGATGACCCTCTCTTTCCAGACTGTAATCCACCTTGAAACCTTGTTCTGGGATATGCCATTTGGTTCAAGTGGGTAAGACCATAAATGTCCAAAAAAGCACCGGTACATTTCAGAGGTGAGACTCCTTTAACTCCTTCCTTTTTCATTTTTATAGGTTTTTTTATAGCCGTTGCATCATGCAGCTTATGGAGCAAATGCCCTTGTGCCTCCTTTAACGCCGCCTCCCTACTATTTCTGACGCGTTGCGCTCAGAGAAGTCATACTGGATTAAGCTACAAATGAACGTTACACCTTTAGGCATAATGGTTTAAATAAGGACCATAAGGACCATTTATTTCCATTTCGTATCTGAGAAGATCATCTGCTGTTTCTCAAAGGCATCTTTCACAGTCTTAGCAGACCGCGAGACTTGTTTTTGGGATAGTGTGCAAAGTTGTTGTTATTCAGAACAGCAGCTATTTCCATCTGGCTTCAGCACATTCTGGTGGCTTGATATAAACTGGGTAACCTTTTCACTGACCGCACACTTCTTTTGTTGCAGGAGTAAAAAGACCAAAAAGGACATTTATGACACCGAACAACTGGCTGAAACTTGTTAGAGAGAGAGAGAGGAAATTCAGGTACCTTTTTGGTGCAACTGAACCTGTTCTGCTTTACAGCTGCAACTAGAGGTTTTCCAAAGTGAATAAAAACGGGATCATAAAGTCTGAATGTAAACATCATATTGGTTTACAAAGTGTGGCTAACGTTAGCAAAAATTAGCACCTCCAGTCTTTGATACTTGTGCGGTTTACGTATTACTGTTTTGTTTTAGCGGACACAGCCTACATCCTCTTAACCTCCATATTCCAGTTTAAAACACTGCCAAACCCTGCCATGCTAAAAGATGTTATCTACCTAGTTACATCCAGGTAGTAGAGCATTACAGCATTATGGTAGTAATGATTCGATTGAGCCACATCCATGGCTAGTGGAGGCTTGATACGTCTTAGACACATCATTTTGAGCCTACGATAATAAAATTATTAATAAATTGTTTGCCAACTGGTTACTCTGGTGATGATGTTTAATCAACTAAGTCAACTCCTTACCTTTAACAGTTTTTGGCCAGTATGGGGTGGTGGAACAAGATCCAAAGCCCTTTGCAAAAGCCCTTTGGACAGTTAATCAGGTGAGCACGTCAAACGAAAAGTACACAGCCATTAGAGAAGCGGCAAAAGGCCTGATTTTGGATCCTTTTTTGACTTATTTTTTTACCAAATGTAAAAATCCTGGGCTCTGGGTTCTGCCTGTAAAAAGCTGGAGAAGGCTGGAAACTGTTTTTTGCTTTTTCTGGGCACATTTTTTTTTTAAAAAGTAAATTCTCTCGATTGCGATATTTCACTTGCTTGCAAAACTTGCAACTCCTCAAAATGCTTTTTTATCCTTATGTAAAGACGGATCCTTTAACTTTTTAATTCAGTTTGTGTATTTATCAATCAATATATTAAATCAGTATTATTAATCCTCTTTCATAATTTGACAACACTGTATATGAACCTACTACTTACACTGACCTCATAGCCACATTTATAAAGCCGTAAAAATTAATCTATCAGGCTTTATAACAATCCTTGTAAGTGATTATAACCATAATTTTATCTGTTGTTTAATTTTTCCACCATAAGACATTGTTTTATCCATATCTTTTATTTATAAGCTCCTCAATAACCAATTCTCTCCATACACTCTAATAATGTTTTTTAAATTACGCACATTAAGTGTCCTCTGATGTCTTTATTCGCTTCCTTCTTTCCTGTCTGCCGTCTGTACAGCGCTGGACATCTGTACTGTTTTTTTTTTTTGTACTGCTGCAGCCAGAAACGATTCTGATGAGAGCATGGACGGTGTCCAGAATCAGTGAAACTCAAGGCTGATTAAGGCAATAAACAGGCTTCAAAACTGATGTGAACACCCATTGTGACTTCAGCATCCCTTTCCATGAGGTCTTCATGTTAGTTAGCCTCCTCCCTAAATGTTAAACCCTGTGCTGCTGCTGCGGCTGCTGCACCATCTGCTCTTCAGCCTCATTGGCTCGCCCTTTCCATCGTCCCCTCAGGAGCAGAGTAAAAATAATCTCCTTAGCCTCAGAGTTATTCTGACCCCCTTCTTTTAACGAAGATGCATTCACTACAAGTCTTTTTTTTAAATGAAAATCTAACAAAGAGATCCAATCAATAAATCATCAGAAAAAGTTTACTTTGGATCGTCTGTTACCTGTCACAAGAAACTAAACAACAATGAAACAAAGAGGACAATAAAGTGAAGGCTGGGCTGGGGAGATATCACAGGGCAGGTGATTTGTCATCAGAGTCGTGTTATCTAACACAACTGACCTTTCTGCAGAGGAAACAAAATTTTTCTTTATCTATAGAAAAGCTGTCGGATGAAAAGGTCCAATGAGCCCGCCTCCTTCTTTTAAGAAAGAAAACAAACATCTAATGGGACAGGCTTTTTCTGACAGGCAAAATGAAAAAGTGAAAAACAAAAAGACAGTGAAAGGAGGGGTGGTGGTGTGAGGGCTGGAATGGAGCAGTAAATAATATTCAGTTTACGCTGAGACTTCACAGTTTAAGTTCGCTGCTGCGCCATCTGCTTAGCTTGGCATTAAGACTGGATGCAGAATGAAACAGTTTGCAGAGTCAAGACGAGGCTGATCATGACTATTTACTTTAGGGTTCAGAATCGTTTTTCATATTTAAAATGTTGAACTTCATTTTTCTTTTTTTCAAACTAGATATGATTTAACTTGTTCTACTTGCTCTAAGGTAGGTGTCAGATGTTGGAATTGAAACAGTGCAGAAACTGTTTTTTTGTTGTTGACATTTTCCATTCAAACTGACAGTAGGTGATGTCTTTGACTGTTACAACATCAGGGTGAGAGTTTTTTTCTCCAGATAACACGACTTTCCACTCTGTCCACAGGGTTTGCCAACATGAGACAAACTGGAGCATTAAAGCGTTAAATATCACTCCTGTGAGTTTTTGGTGGGGCATGACAGCCAATATAAGTTTGATATACTATAAACTATTAGTGCGACTACTTGACCAAAAGTTAAAGCATGCCTCCAAACTTTACAGGTTAACTAATGGTATCTTGTTGGCCTACACTGTGGTCTATGGTTGATTCTAGCTTAACCATTAGTGATATTCAGAAACAGCCATTTTATCCAGGATTGATGTATGACAACAGTTTGTGAGGGTTGCATATGATCACATAAGGTGGATTTTAAAGGCTTATTCTGCTACTTTTTTATGTCTAGCTTCAGGGATTTGTATGATATAAATGAATAGATTGATTGAATTCAAATACCAAGTAGCAACCTTAGGCGTTGAAAAGTACAGCCAAAGAAGAAGTGCTAAACCTCAATTGTTGGGCTTCATAATATCAATGCAAATCAATGCATGACGTCAAAGAGTGTACACTATATTTTGTATCGTCTACAATGGTGGTCGACCGATATGCTTTTTTTAAACTGCTGATGCCGATATTAACTTGGCAGTTCAGCCTATTATCGATATTATATTGTCACTTTTTTGCATTTATAAAATAAAAGAGCTAAATAACAATAACAGCCATTAATCCATACTCAATCTAATATCCATGGTTATCTTAGCTGTAAACATACTTCAGATGGATTTTAAATTAGTTATTAAAAAAGAGGAAAAATATATTAGGCTATACTATAGCTGTCAGAACATGACATATTGAGTTCATTAAGCAAGAGGCAAAGTAAACTCCATTATTCTATGAATCTTAACAGAATACAAATCATAAACTAAATACAGTAAGAGTTCAAACTGATCAGTCGTCATTAAAAGGTGCCATCATTTAAAGAGATGTTGATGCTGCTCAACAGTAGCTACTTTGATGAGACTGCCTTGAATGTCATTGGACATGATTTTTTCATACGTTAATCAACCTCAGAAGCCCTGATACAGGCCGATGCTGATTATGTTAAAATGCCTTTATCTGGCCTGGCCAATTACGTGGTCCATCCCTAGTCTACCATCAATACCTGTTGAATAATTTCCCACTGATTTCAGCACAAAAGTTTCGTTCCTGAAGACTGAAAAGTGAAAACTTTGAAGACCGGTGCATTTTTGACACTGCATCTCCATCCATCTGTTTTTTTTGTGTTAGTGTCAGGAGGCTAACAAAATCACCTTACAACCCCCATCCCAGCAACTCTTCGACTCCTCTCCAGAGACAGTTCAGACATGGTGACATGTTTTGTGTATAAATGCAACAGCCCTGAGAAACCCTCTACACCCAAGAGGCTTACAACACTCGGTTTCCTCTTTGTGCAGTGGAGCAGAGGCCACACTCCAAGCTCCCCCTTGAAGACTGGGCTCTCTATATGAACTCTAAGGCTGAGGCAGGAGTTCACTGATGTATAAAAGCTGATTGTTCCATCTGGGGTCAAGCAAAGAAAGAAATCCCTCTGTGTCTAGTCCGCATTAGACCTTCAGCTGATCGTGCAGCAAACTGTCTCAAAAGGGGACAGAAATAAGCAAGCAACTCACTTTATCAAAAGCTCATTCTGGACCTTTGGTGAGCTTTGGATGCTTGAGTTAAAGATGAAAAACCTGCAAGAAGCACGGCGTCCCCATCAGCTTTAGTTAAGAGTTTTAAAATAGCAGATAACATTACAAGCCTGACAGAGTGTACCGCCTCACATAGCTGCAAAGATGGCCGTAAGTTCCTGATAAAATTACATGTCTGTTTGTGTGTGGATTAAATGAAGGGGATACGTTAAGTTAACCACTGAGGTGCTCATAGGCTGTTGTTGTTGTTGTTTTTTTTTTACTTTGAGCATTTTTAGGCAAGCTGTTTCCCTGTTTTAAGTCTTCATGTTCAACTAATTGCTTCCAGACTCCGGCTGTTCCCTTAGCGCACCGATATGAGATTGATCTCCTCGTCCAACTCCGTGCAAAGAGGTGAACAAGAGGATTTTCCAAAATGTCAACGCCTCCTTGAAGAGTGGGATGAAAGGTTTCAGAGATGCTCTAAAAGCTCCTGACAAGCTCGAGGTTAAAGGTGAAAGCCGAGCAGAGGAACACTCATTTCGGAGGCAGAAGCGTTGCAGACAAATTTAGCGTAACAATACAGGAAAAGTCAGGGGCAGTGTGGACAGAGCTGGCACTGAAAACCGCCAGCAGATGGCAATGATGGGCAGCAGCGAGGCCTCCAGATGTGCTGGCAGAGCTGCTGCTGCTGCTGCTGCTGCTGCTGTTTCTGCAGATCAAAATTAATTCACGCCTTTTAACGGATTGGGCTTCCCCCGCCTTACATCATAAACCTCATTACACTTTTATTCAGCAGAGAGGACTTGACTCCTGATGTGAAACAACACAAAGGGGAGGTAGTGGTGGAGGTGGGGAGGTTAAATAATATGCGGGTGTATATAATAAATACTACATACTTATAACACTTCTTTTCTGAGTAATTCACATTTTGAGCATGCACTTAATGCCTCTTGACTCCAAGCTCCTCTGGGTATTGCTTCATTAATACATGCAAATGGAAAAGCTTACTTCAGTGGTAGAGTATGAATAATGGAAGTGCCCTGGTTATGTTATGCAGCTGAAGGAATTAACCACAATTGAAGGAAGGAGGAGGCCTCTAAGTGTAAAAGGGGTCAGGGACTGGTTAGAAAAGACCTACAACGACGTACCTTTACATGGATCCTGACGGGGAGAGGGATGCCCTCTTTCAACTCTTTGGTTTTCTCGTTGAAGTCCTTGCAGAACTGTCCGATGGGGATTCCTTTCTGAAAGAGGAGGAAAGAAACAAACGTGGAAAAATGATGCCGGGTCATTTTAAAATGTATGAGTAGTCCCAAACCTCCAGCTGAGCTTCACTTATGTCACATTGCGCTGCCAGAAAATAGATGCTGGAGCTCCTGTCAGTCAATCAATCAAAGACCCCAGACAGGTTGATTTTATTTACACACATGAATGGATGAGAGAGTGGCTGTGTGTGAGTGTGTGTGGGAAAATGTATGTGATGAGTGTGTGCGCTCATGGGGGTTCAACATTTTTACACTTCTTTCTGGTTATTCTTAAGATTTTCACACTGAGATTCATCTTCTTGGTGTGCATGTGTGTGTGTGCAGTCCCATGTCGCTTCACGCTGATTTTGTGTGTTTGTGCGCGCGTGTGTGCGTGTGTGAGTGTGTCTGTCACTCCAGCTATGACTGAATGCATGTCGGTGCCCAGAGCCAGAGAAAGCCAGTGATGAATGAGCCTCCCATTTTCCAGCTCCTGCAAGGCCGACCAGAGCGAAATCAAAATGGATGGGTGACATTAAGTCAACACCCGGCCAACGCTGCTCCTTTTGCACCATTTCTCTCCAGAGCTGAATTCACTGGTGAAGACTAATAAAGAATCTAATTATTACTGCTGAAATTTATACTGACCTTCACCCGCCATCCTTCCCAAAGGCAACACACTGATTGAAATGTTCATTTTCAGAAATGAGGGGAAGAAAAAAAAAAAAAGTTTTTTTTTCACACTTAAATGGACTCGCGAGCGTCTATTGCTCCATGACAGAGCGGAGCACGGCCCTGAGATTCTAATAATGGATCTGATGAAGAGTCAGTCATCCTGAGACATCCTGCGATGACAGCACACGGAAGACATTTATTTGAACTTAACGGTGCAGAAAGTTCTGTGAACATCATCTCCTCTAAAGGCTTCAGAAGTACCTGATGAATACCAATCAGACGCAGGATCTACACGACTCCATCACTTCATTAGTGTTTATAACACAAACCATCACTCACCGCTGTGTCTATGCATAACACCCCTTACTCAACACCAACAAAACTGATTGAAATTTCAACACATCACAGGACTCAAAGCAGGTTACTGTAGCCAAGCTGATGAGTGCTGTTTGAATTACAATATCCTATTAATGAAATGAAAGGCGGCAGCGTCCCCGGAGCCCTCGCCAGGCTCTACCTTCCCTCCTCTCCTGTGCTTATTAATAGTAATCCCATGTCAACCTCGCTTCTTTCTCTCTGCGCCCACCCCTCCCTCCGCCTCCCATAAAACAACATAGCAAGGGTAAATAAGAGAGGAGGGAGCACTGAAGGAAAGTCTAATTAAATATGGATTAGTATAAAAGGCTGTGATGTTGGGTATGAGTCAAAGCAAACCCTCGGGCTCTGCCTCACACATTATGCTCCCATTTCTTTCTCTCTGTTAGGCCCATGTCGGGTAATGATCGCTCCCACCGAGTCAGATGGCCCTTTATATGCCACACAAAGCCATGAAAGGGCCTCCCTGACCAGCCAGAGATAATGCCTGATGCTGCTCAAATGTGCTTAAGCAGGGACAGAGAGACATTATGCAGACAGAGGAGCGACTGTTTCTAAAGATAGATGGAGAAAAAGCCTTCACATAGTCTCGCTGACTGTCCACTGCTTAAAAGTGCTTGTACAAACCATGGACTGTATTAATAATTGAAGTCGCCCCTGTGATGTCGCCTTACTGGTTCTTTATACAACTTTTTGAAGCCTCGAGTTCAACATTTGGTCACCATCGTTTTAGTCGTCTAAAGTCAGGGGTGAAAATATTTGGGTTTGAGGGAGACGGTGCAGTGAGGGGAGTGGTTGTCAAATGCAAGTAATCAAAGCTTATCAGCTTAAACCTGCTGCTGATTTATAAGCTGGCGAATAAGACAGTTACCAGAACAGGATTTTTCTATTGGAGGCTGCTGACCAGGAAACTACAGGTATATTAATCAGACTAATGAAACTATAAATCGTGGCATTAGGTGGAAAAAAAATCAGGTGATTGAAAAAAAAAAAAAACTGAAAAAAAAAAAGAAAAAACTCACCACAAGCCCACTGTCATATCTGCTGATAAACTCCCACACAAGAGCCGATGTGTATGGTGAGCACTAGGCGTGGGCATCACAAGTGGCCCCACGACATGATATTATTGCGACACTTGGGCCATGATATGATATTACTGCGATTTTTAACATTTTGCAATACAGTGAGTATTGGGATACAATATATTGCGATTTATTAAATTTTTCAACTTTTTAGCTAATCAAGCATTTGGCTTCATTTATGTTTGTCTTATTTATGCAGTATTTTGTTTTCATGTAGCACATCTCGCAAACCTTATATATATATATATATATATATATATATATATATATATATATATTTGTTGTACTAACTTTCTCCTGCTCTATGATGTCACTTCTGCCAATCTCACTGGACAAACAGTTGATTTTATTTTTCCATTATCATAGATTTGACTTCATATTAGCAATTAATCTGAAAAATCGATACTTGGTAAATGAGACGATACGATACATCACCAGACAAAATATTACAATACTGTGCGGTATCATTTTTTTCTCCTGCCCCTAGTGAGCACTAACTGTCTATATGAAAAGACAGACAATGTGTCCTCAGCTCCTTCAACTTCAGTAATGTGTAAATACTCAGAAACTGAACCTCTGAAAAGAGCAGTTAAAAAAGCATCATACCCTATCCTTGGATTCAAATTGTGAATAACTCATAATAGCTCATTATAACTAAACCTAGATGACATGTCTGAACACAAATGAGAACAAAGTTTGATGACAGAATAATTGTCTGAGATTTATTCAATGTGTATTTTGATTTTAAAGTTTGACCCCATCTATTAACATGGTGGACTTCAACTGTCTACTCCTTATATGTTTTGTTGTTACTTTGGGGGATCTATCATGTTGTCCTTCGTTTTATAAAGTCTGCAGCAGACGACATTACCTGCTGAGAGGCACTAAAATAGAAATTATATTACACACTTTTTTAGTCACTGTAACACCTGCATTGAAATAAACCTCTGCACAGTAATAAAACAAGCGCAGTGCTGACAGTGAGTTCAGTGATTGAATTGGTACAGTGTGTCTCCTCAGTCGAGTTATATAACCAAGTTATATTAAAAGTCACACGCCATGTATGGAGGATATGACCCTGAAGTAGACAGCCGATTTGATTCCAGCTTTGGCCCCTTTGCTGCGCATCATTCTCAACTCTCTCTCTCCCGGCTTCCTGCTTGTCCACTGTCCTGTCTTCTCCAAAATCAAAAGGCATAAAAGTAGAGCAACAAGACACATAGACAGAAAACCCTTCAGTACAGGGTTGTGTTCGCACTGTTACATTGGTGTGAGCCTGATAGAGATCGGCTTTCTTTTGAAGCTAGCCTCAAGTGGCCGCTCGAGGAACGGCAGTATTTTACACATCCGCCCTGGTTCCACTTCTCAACTTTGGAGGCTGCTGATTGGTACAAACATAAAAAGGGGTAAAAGACTTTGAGATTAGAGAAAGGCTGGCTGGGGTACAGGGGACATGACCCACTTGGGGATAGCAGACAGTTTGCTATTAGCACCACACGCAATTAAGTATGCACCAGAGAGAGGTGATCATATTTTAATTGAGCTATTTCACAAGAGTCCAGGCAGCTCAGCTTCTGAAGATGACAGCGTGTGGAAGTTTTATTTTGGCCTCAGGCTATTTAATATTTTAACTGCTGTAATTACGATTGAAACATGTTGGTAATTGCAATCACAGACTTTTAATGTGGAAGGGTGGTAGCTGGCAGCTCATGAAAGCAACTTTCAAGGTTGGCTCCTCCAACTTCACAAGGCGTTTATCAGAGAAAGGAGGGAAATGAGATAACTGGAACAGTAACATTGATGCCCTGGCCAAATTCGCTAACCCTTCTCATCTGAGCATCTAATCATCCTCGAGTCCGAGCTGCTGGATAAATCCTCTCTCTTCCACCATGACTGATTAGAGCTCTCCAGTACAAAATGGCTGCAGCCCGTCACCCAAGGCGGGGCCTTCCACGTCGGCTGTGGACGAGGACATTCAGCCGCGCATCTTCAAAGACTTCTGAGATCCTGGGCACCGGGATTAAACGCTAATCTACGGAGATATTTCTCAAGCGGCGACAGCGGTGAGTAATTGCTGCACAATCCATTCAAGATCAGCCCGGCTGAGTCTTATTACTCATAATTATGAGAGCAATTAGGCATTTGCAATTAAAATCTGAGAAGTGTCCGTTTGATTTGACCCTTCCACCATATTCTCTGCGGTCTTTTTTGACACTCCCTCCGTGTTAATGTGATTGGCCTTTCAGCTTCACTAACTCTTTTTAACAAGATGTAGCAGGGCTGTGGCAGGATGGTGTGTGAGCGTGGATGGAGGAGAAAAAAAAAAAAAGGAGAGATGGGAATGGGGAAAAAGAAAGACAGCTGAGGTGTATTAAAGTTGTCAGAATGTGGCGGTCAATATTTGAACAATGAGAGGGGAGGTTGTTTGAGCAGGCAAAGAAAGAGCTAAAGTAAAAACAGTAGGAGGTCCTCATGAATATTAGTGAGTATCTGTGTGTGTGTGTATGTTTATGTATGAATACTTGGACCTCATTTCAATCTGACAAGAGTATCTGTTCAGACGTGGATGTGTGTGTGCGCATATTTAGCTGCCAGGGACTGCTGACGGTGAGGATGTGCTCTCAGTGTGTGGTCGCAGGTGTCTGAGTGAGGGAGAGGGGGGTGAAGAGGAGATGGAGAAAGAAGAGGAGGAGAAGGAGGAGGAAGATGAGTAGGTCAGGAGAAAAGGTGTGCTTGAAGAAGCGTGGCAACATGGAGATAAAGGACAGATACCCAGGATAAGGCCTTGGGGCAGGAGGTGGGATTAATTGCCCCTGGCACATAAGGCCGCTCTATAAATTGCCCAGGGCAGTCCTCACCGGAGGAAGAGGGCAGGGATTCAGTGACAAAGGTGTTTCAGTGCAGAGAGGCTGCTGAGAAGCGAGGTTAATTAAACTCTTCAGTGTGAAACACTCTCATTCATTACCTTCATTACCTTGTTCATTTAATCTGCTCCGCTGTTGGCATTTTATCACATTCAGCCCCTTTGTCGCGTCATACAGCTGATTAGGTTTCATGTCGAACCCTCGGCTGCAGGGGAGAGAAACTGAGACGCTGAACAGCAGGTCAGTTTGGCTCGAACACACACAGCCACACAGCAAACAGCTCCAAATAAATTGAGTTCATGCTGGACATGCATTTTACTTGATTTTCCACCCTGGAATCAGAAGATTAGTCTTAAAAGTGGAAAATGAAAACGATTTTCACCCCCTGGTCTCCAGTGAACTGTGCTGAGGCTGACACACAGCCCGCATTAAAGAGCAGAGAAGCGCTGTTCAAACGGCCATGAGCGCAGAACTGACAGAGCGAACTGATTTCGCAAACCCGTCTTTATAACAAACAAAACAAACCCAAACTTCTCAGCAGAGTGTTTTTTTTTCTGTCTGGATCTCTTCTTAAAAATAGACGCAGCAGACACAGCAGGCTTCACTTTTTGTACCTGGCACAAGAAGAAGAATTTACTGTTTGAGGGCATGGTGAAAGGCAAGCAAGCAGGCATGCAAGCAAGCCAGAGAAGGTGGAACAAAATGGATTGCATCACGACAAAACATCCCATTTTCAACTCCATTAGGTCTCCCTCACAGTCCTGACAGTGTTGTGCTTTTTGCCACTTCACATGATTAATCACGTGTGGAGGCTGCAGCAGAAACACAGGAGCCTGAACTGCAGGCAGCTGAGGCTCCACGCTGAAGACAACCGAAAAATCACAAGACAGACACGCTCTCACACCGAGGAGAGAGAGAGACACAAAGAAAGAAGAGTGAGAGGAGAGGTCGGACTGGAATAAAGTCAGACTGCAACAACAGCTGATAGGAATGTTTGAACAAAGCATCTGTTGTGTTTGTGGAGAAGTCAGGGAGATAACAGCGAATTTGGCACACTGACGGTGTTATTTTAAGAGGGAACTCAAACATTTTTACATATCAAAGTCTTTTTACAGGTGCTTTGGAGGGCTGCTGCGTGCGAGAAAACAAGTCCAAGAAGAAACAATCATTTGGCAGGACTGCATATGCTCAAATTGTTACACTCGCAACTAGTGGTAGTGTCTTGAAGAAGGATTCTTGGATATCACAGATTTCCCGTGACAGTCCCAGGAAATACGAGAGAGTTTAGGATTGATGTAGAAAGAACAATGACTAATAGATGCAACTCAAACATTCAACCTACTTTTTCTATAATCTCACAACTCCCTTTCTGTTTACGCCTTCTAAAATCTGTACCGAGCATTTTCAAGGTAGTGTTTTTCTCCTGACAAGTCATTGGTAGTCCAAGGAGTATTGACCCATCAAATACATACAGACTTTGGTCTGTAAGGAGAGCAAAAGCAGGTGGAAAGCAGTCCACTGTTATTACATCAGCTCCTCTTCAGCATAAGTCTGACAACAACTTCTATCTCTATTGTTCTATATTCTACATAAAAGTGCAGCTAACAACCTGTTTTGATCATAGAATTCAACTTAGGCCAAAAATCCCATGATACAGGGAGCCAATCAGCTTTTAGATTTTTCAGCTATCTTGAACACCTCAGGAAAGGTCCATGTAGCCACCATTCAACTAACAAGCTTTCAAAAGGTTTTTTTAATCCCCACAAGAAGAGATGATCAAACAATAGACCCGACAAACCTAGCATTTTTCTTTTTCAAGAAATCTGCATCATGATGATGCTATTTAGGAAAATATACGATTTCTAATCACAAATAAATCGCAAAAAGGTCTGTTTTTGTGTTCATACCACTAAAGTAAGCCTTTGTGTAACCTACTATTTGCAGTGAAACTGAGACTTAATAGACATTAAAGAACAGTCGTTGCCCTGAGGGAAATAATGACCCCCTATCAGCGACTGTTCTTATGCTGCATTCCAGTTAGCTCGGAAGTCGGATGTCGAAACTGGGAATGATGTTACACCCAAGTTGACGGCGTTCCAGTGAACAAGTCGGAAAACCAAGATGGACGCCAACAGTTGCCCATTGTTAGCTGCCGTCAACAACTGTCAGCTGTCGTTAGCGGTTGTCAGTTGTTGTTAGCAGTTGTCAGCTGTTGTTAGTTGTTGTTAGCTTTACCAGTTGTAAACAACACATAACTAAGTATTTTACTCTTACAAACACCATAGCACCGTGTTCACAGTTACACGTTGGGCAGTAAAACATATAACAATTAATTTCACAAAAACAAAACAGAAGTGCTAATCAATAATACATTACAAGAGCTTTTACTGTTACTCTTAACTGTTGATGCACTGCGCTGCCATCTTGGATAATGACGTTGTCGTCAAGTTAGGTTTGGCGAGGATCGTCTGACTTTCCGAGTCTGATATCCAACTTCAGGGGGGCGTTCAAGATGAATTTCCGACCCGGAGCTCGGAAATTCTGACTTCCGAGTACAACTGGAACGCAGCGTTAGTTTTCTCATCTTAAAGGGATAGTCTGTTATTTTTAATAAGGTTGTGTGAGGAATGTGTCAAATGGTGAATGAATTATTTTTATATAGCTCTCCCTTGTCTTCTGACCACTTAAAGCACTTTTACATTACCTGTCACATTCAACCATTCACAACATATTCACACACTGATGGGGGGAGCTGTTATGTACAAAGCCTATCAGTTTTTGACTAATTCCATGAGTATACCACTTGGCACAGCCAGTGGGGGCAGATGGGGTCACTTCAAGATGAGGACAGCACTGGAATCGAACCCCTGGCCTTCCGATTGGGAGTCAATGAACTACCACTGAGCCACAGCCACCCCAGATGATAATAAATGTACAACCCACAGGGACTCAGCCCCTCTGTAGTGTAACAAACAGAGGAGCATGTATGTGTCATATCCAGAGCAAAGACAAATGGGCTTTTTGACAACTAAGTAAAGCACTGAACAATTTCAGAGAAGTGCATACACTTACAGCGATTTAAGTGTTTGGATTGGACTCCCTGAAAATGAGCTGCTTATGTATGTGGTGGTGGTGTTTACTTTGTCTGCTGCGGTTGATAGGCTGGCTCCTGTTCTGCCTCTCTGGACGGTTTCTCAACAAAGGAGCCGCACTGACTGGAATCCCCTGTGGGTAACACACTTACTATTGACAAGTGACTCATACGACCCCACTGAATAGAAAAGCAAAAAACTTTGCCTCTAGCTAAGTAACTCTAGCTTTGTTAACAATTCGCTACTTTTTTTGCACTCTGAAAATAATAAGCAATCAGAGGATGTTATGGAAAATGGTTCAGTTCCCAGCTTTACTTGTGCTAATCAATTCATTAGAAATTAAAACGAGTTTTAGGAGAAGAGCCGATTTTTAGGAAATTATTGTTGAATTCTCTCAGTCTGCAATGTCTGCTACTGCATCATACTGCAGATCGACCTTAGTGAATGGTGGAGTTGTACTGTGGGTACCACTTGCACCAAGTTATGAGAAGGAAGACAAATGTTAGAATAAAATAAGTAAAAAATCTCTTCTCCACTTAAATTGATCTTTATCCAAAACCATCCATCACAAGTATGTACCAGGATGTAATGGGAGGTCAGTGCTTAATCAGTTGAACACTTTTAATTCATGCTTCTGACTTTGATGAGGGTTTTGAGCCAAAAAGATGCAGGTAAGGGCGTCATGTTTTTTGAGGTCAGTCTTTGGTCAGAAAGGGGGGATTACGCACTGCTTCGGTCTTTAGCATTCTTGGTCAGTCTCTTAAATCCTGCGTGTCCTTTCAAACTTCCCCCAATCATGTCTGAAGAAAAAAGTGATGACTGCACAGTAGTGTGGACAGCCTGTCCGCCTGGCTGCCCCCTCGCCCTCCTCTGCTATCCTCACTGTTTGCCCTGTCCATTTCTTCAGCCTCGCTTGCTCTTTCTCTCTTCCCCTCTTCTCTGAAAGTGAGCCAGTGTGCAGAATGACCTTCAACCACACCCACAGGGAACAAAAAAAAAAAAGAAAAGACAAAAAACAGGAGGATAGTAGCGAAATGGGGTAAACAAGAGGAGAGGGGTGACTGAGAGGCAGGAGATGGAAGCAGAGGAGGTGCAAGAGAACAAAGAAGAAAAGAAAAAAACTCATGCTGAATTGAGGAAAAATCTCTTCTCTTGGAAGCCAGCAGAGCGCAGAGCTGAATCTGACAAGAAAGATGACTCTCCATCCCTTTTCTCACCAGTCTGATTAAAGCTCTCGCTCTAAAACCGAGCCGGCACACTCAGAGCCACAGTAACCAAGGAGTGGAGGACTTGAGCCTTTTGCTAAAGGTGCACACGAGAATGTCTTCAGATACACTTGAAAGAGCAGGACCTTGAGGACAAGGTGAAAAAAACACTTCTGCAGCTCACAAAGAAAACTAAATTAAATTCTCAAAACCAGCCGGCCGTCTTTCTAAAACAGTTTCTTTCTCTTTGAGATATGCTCAGAAATCCCCAATCCCTCTGTTTATGTGCATTAAGCCTCCTGTAATGAGTTAATCTACAACAGCGGGATGATTTCCTTGTGTGACTAAGACAGTAAGAAGACAGAAGGAGGACTAATTAAACTTGTAACATCTGCCTCCAGAGCCCTAAATGTGTCTACAGGCTACACAAGCATCTTTCACTCCACTTCCCTCGCTCTTATTATCTCAAGCCATTCGGGGTAAATAAGGTGTCTGTCTGCTCTGCAAACAATGCAAATAATCTTCTGCAAGTGGCATCATCATGGTAACCAATGAGTACACTGTAACTGGGCGCTTTCAAGTATTCATAGCATCTCCCGAGGAAAAAACTTCCACGAGCTGATGGAGGAGAAGAGGAGGAGAAAGTAAGGCGGGTGGGAGGTCTGGTGTGGAGCACGTAGCATGCTTACAAATGAACACAGCCACGACCCAACTCGGACAGCGTGAGTGAGTTTCTGCTCCTCTCTCTCCCTCTCTTTCTCTCTCCCTCTCTCTCTTTCTCTCTTGTGATGAGCCATCTTCTCGGTTGGATGTGTCTGCGGTAGTCGTCGCCGATGCTGCTGCTCCACTTCTGAGCGACTTGCCACGGCTGCTCCGCACAGCCGGAGCCTGAGAGAGTGAGCATCGGAGCGGGCAGCCAGCAGCAGCAGCAGCAGCAGCTCCCCCCCTCCTCCTGCACGGATCTGTGCTCCCGCTGCTCCGAGAGAAGACAAACCGACACTGCAGGAGGTGACAGATCCAGATTCAGATCCAGCCACTGCAACAAGCACGGACCGAAACACCGGCCACGCCAGATCTGCATGAAGACAGGGGGGATCTTGTTGATACGAGCTGCTTTTTTATGTCCCCTACAAACTCGGGTTTGATCGGTGTGGCGGTGCCGATCACTTTCCGTCTTCCGCTGGAGCTCGCCTGCATGTGTATAAACACCCCCAGACTGTGAGAGGAAGACTTTATCGCCGAGCTTGGCTCATCAACGACAATAAAAGAGACTTTATTGGCCTCCGACAGCGCTTCTCTACTTGAAGGAGGAGGGAGAAAAAAGCACATTAGTTGCTGTAAATCACGCCAGGAGGATCGAGTCTGCAAGACGAATGGTTTGGGTAACTAAAGCTACACTTTTGCCAGCAGCCATGCACGAATAATCCCACAATACCTGCCGTTAATAGGGCAGTTATGAAACAGGTGTTGCAGGGAGAGCAGTTTAATAGAGATTGTTAAATTGCCAGAGGACGCCTGTGCAGTTAACGATAAGCATATTTTTCAAGGAATAACACAACTTGATGTAGAATATGCAACAAAAGACAGCCCCGCTGGCAACACGCGCGGGCTGCTTACCTGACAAATCAACAGATGTTTCGGTCATGTGGCTTTAAGTCTGGAGAGAGAGGAGGGGGATTTATTCAGCTGAGTATTACAAGGGATTGCACACTGTCTGCTTCTCTATTAATTAATTAGAGCGCACATAATGGCAGAGATGCTGTCCTGATGCCCTTGGAGCTCCACTGGCACCTGCAATATCTTGTGGGTTTTTTTTTTTTTTGAGCACCATGAGGGGTGTTTACAGAGATAAACTGTAGATGCAGATTAAATTAATCCTGCTTTGCATGGATTTTTGGTCCGTCTGGAAATCATTGAGTATTAAAAGAAAACAGAGGCAAAAGTGGTGAATCAAACCCCCGTTGTTTGTGTTGAAGGTTTTTTGGATGATTACTTTGACACCGGTGCAGATGGAAGGAGATTTGTGTGCACTTCTGTCACACAGGATGAGCTTCAGGATAAAAAAGTGAGAAAAGGGGTTCTCAGCGTAATAGGAAAACGGACAAATCTTTCACCTGCACGCTATTACATGCCATTACTCATGCCTACAGCGAAATGGGTTGCCTCACCTTGTCAACAGTGGTGTCATTCGCCACACCAGGATGTGATGAATTTGGTCATTATTGATGAGCAGAGTGGACACACGGGTTGTCATCCTGGCCCCTCACTCAGGACAGAATAAATTACACAGCGCTGACAGGGAGTCAAAACACAAAACACAGGCTGGCAGGGAGATTTCCACGCTGAGAATTTAAGGTGCAGGTGGAATAACTCAAGAGGCCCCGACCTCACCGGAGAGCCGGCTGTAACAGCGGTAAACTTCTCCGTCTTCTACCCTTCCTTCTCTGCAGACTGGATTTGCTCCCAAAGAAAAGAAGAGAAAGAATGCCTAATTTAAATTCCAATATCCTCTCAATCTGTAGCCTGGCGAAACTCATTCAATTCTGGGAGGGCCACAATCAAATTGCCGAGTGTGGTGACACAAAAGGCTCCAGAAGACAATCAAATATTGCAAACGCTGACATGATCCACGCCTGTCCTCCCACCATGCCTCAGAGCGGATTAATCAGTCAGAAGCGTTCCTTCCTCATCTCTTTGATTCATTGGTTTCAGAACAAACTCTAATGTCTGAGATATTTCAATACCCCTGCTGATGAATACATTCAGATTCATCCAGGCTAGGCTGGCTCATGAGAAGCTCGTCTTCACATAAGTGGGTGGAAGTCACTTTGTATCTGCATTTGAGTCTTTTCCTCTTCATCACTTTCACCCCTTCTCCCCCTGAGCTTATTTATGAACTATTACCATCATGCAGTAACACTTTATTAGGCATGTAGACAGCCAAGAGGCCAATTAATCTTTCACTTGCAGTCGTATGCTCATTCTGCTTCTCCTCACAGACACATTGGCTGGTCTCAATCGCCGTTTTACCCCATGGAGTTCCTCAGTCCTTTTCAATGATTCACACAGCGATGGCACAGCTCCTGTTAGTCTTACAGTGAGGGAAGTGATGCGTCTTCCATCGGCAGGATATCAATACACACTTTCCACCGGCCGACTTTTCTCAGAGGCCGCAATCATGCTGACAATCTCCCGCTCGATCACGCTCAACTGTTGCCATTACGACACATCTGAGCCAGTAATGATTTTATATTATAATGTCATCGATCCAGCCGAGGGGGCAACACCTCCCCCGAGTGGTGCCGAGCAGATAACAGACAGTTCGCTGGTCTGTGCTGCACTTTACGGCTAAATATGATAGAGAGACGTTGGTTTCGATTACTCTGTAAGGCCAATGATCATTTCTCACGCTGTGTCAATACTGAGCTTTATTCTGTCAACGCCTGAAATATGAGCTGCAACAAGGAAAAAAAAAAGATACACCCACATATTCAGCCAAATTAGCATTGCCTGCAAGCGCTCACCCAGACATACACTGTGTACACACAAAGACGCAAGTCAAACACATCTCTAAACAAATAGCATGTTATCAATATTCATCTGAAATGAGAGGGGAATGAGCGATGATTAAAGACTGCAGCACAGTGTGAGAATAAAGATGGCAAACTATAGAGGCAAAGAAAAGCTTTGACAGGGCACCTAGCTGTGCCTCGGTTCAATTAATTAATAATGAATAGGACGAGTACAAAAAGAGCAGAAACAACAACTTCCAACTGAGAAAAGTAGAAGCAGAGAACTTGGGGAAAACTTCAGTATCAATAAGAAATAATGTAACTGCCTAAACGGGAAATGAAGATTATTAGATTCAAAGAGCAGCAGAGAAAAAGAAACCATTTAACAGGCTTCTCAGCTTGAGCAGCCAGGGTAGATGTTTCTCTGGCTAAAGATGAAGGCGCTCAGCGCTTACTGGGCAGCCAATGTCTTTAACCATGGCAACAAGAAGAAACTATTTTACATTTTGTTTGTATTAATGCTGAAAAAAAAAAACAAGCCCGTTTTCCTCTTGCTGATGCGTCAGTTTCACTGTCGACAGATGGCAACTTCAAACGTGATCTGAATTCTGTCGACAGAACATATTTATTTCATACTGTGCCTGTGTGCGTTTCTCTTTCAGGCATGGTGCCCACGCCCCAGGTGTGCGTATCAACCCTGGTCACGGTGAGCACGATGGCAGTGGTGGACCTCTACCTGTTGGAGCAGAGCATGCTGGGAGCTCGTGGACTTCCAGGACCCGGTGTGTGGCAGTGCGCGGCGGTGTTGCTAGGAGACGTGGGCTTCCTGCTCGCCCTGCGCTTTGTGTCAGCCGGCGTGGTGTCTGAGGCACGGTCTCCTCGTCGTGGTTTTGCCAACGCCCTATGGTTCCTGTTCCTGTCGCTGCTGCAGCTCAAACTCTTCTTCGTCTGTCACAACTACAGGCAGGAGCGCCGTCCACCTGACCCACTCGCCAGGAAGACGCTCACACTGCTGCTGTCCATCTGCCTGCCTTCCCTGTTCCTCATCCTCACAGGGGCCGATCACATGACACCCCAACGTAGGAAACAGGAAGTGCGGAGCAGGCTCCTGTGGGTGGTGGTTGACCTGCTGGATGTGCTGGACCTGCAGGCGGGGCTGTGGGAAGCACAGGGAGGGGGTGTAGTGGCGGCCGGAGCGGTCGTTGAGCAGAGGCTGCCCATCTGGGCGGAGGGTCTGGTCTTTTTCTACTGCTACGCTCTCCTGCTGCTACTGCCGTGTGTGGCCCTCACAGAGCTGGGGGCCACCGGCCTGCCAGGACAGAGGGGGCCCCGAAAGGAGGCTTTGTACCCATGGCTCAGCCTGGTCACCATCAACATCTTCACCTTGGCCCTGAGGGGCACAGGCATGCTGTGGTACAGGGACCCTCGGGTGTCCACTGTTTTCTTAGGGAAAAACCTGCTGGCTCTGGCCGTGAAGCTGAGCTCAGCCTGGGAACGACACAGACAGGACCGCAGTGCTGCGGGGTCCGGGACTGTGACTGGATCAGAACCAGGAGACTCAACTCTGCCAAGCCAGAGCACAGGGCAGGGAGAGGACCAAGCTCAGGGGAAAACTCCCCCTGCTCATTATCACACACTGTCTCGCACACAAAGCCACACTCTCTCCCACGTCAGCCTGGAGCCCACAGAGACACCCTTAGGACCCTCTTTCATCTCTCATGAACTCTAGAGAGTCACTCTGAATAAGTATGCATGCACAAAGATGGGCGCCTACACCCTTAAAACTCGGAGCTGGTATCACGACCGAACAGATAACTGCCGAATTTCAGCAGAGCAGTGATGGTTTAATGCAGAGCTGTGGAAATGAATTTGGCGAGCTTTCTGCACATTTTGTTGTGTTGAGAAGAACTCAAAATACATTACTGTGAATTGTGGGAGTGTATTTTTCGAACTGAACACTGTGAACACATCTGTCAGACTGCAAAGAACATTACAGAAATGTATTTTGAAGTCTTGTGGCGTTTACTCTCTTCAATCGGTGCACATTTGCTTAGTTTGTTGCATACAGACGCCTCAAGGTTGATGTTTTCTTTTCATGGTTGCCATGTGCAGTAACTGTCTGCAGGCAAGGTGCCGTTATCTGTGGTTAACGTATTTAGTTTGAATTCAGTTCAGGTGGCTGGTGGTGGGAGAAATAAGACTAACACTCTGCTACCATCAGATGCCAAAATACTGACTCTGACCTTTGGCGTTCGTGTTCTCAGTGTAGGTTTCCTCTCAGAGAAATTGACAGAGGGCAGTATTAATGCAGAGGAGTGCTGATTTATTTTTCCCTTTAGAACCACACAGCCGTGGTTCAGGAGCCATCTACAGTACCAGGAAAGCTCTCACTCTTCGCATTGCTCCAGTTTTAATGGGGAGTAATACCCTGGTGGATCCAAAGCTTTTTGGCTTGTGGCCCTTTGAATCAAAGTCTCCTCACGACCCCCAGTGACGTTCAGTTCTTAGATCTTTCTTACATGAAAGAGGCAGCGGAAAAAGGGTTTCAGAGGCCTGCTGAGGTAAGGCTATCTCCTTTCATATACTAAAAAGGTAAAGCGTAGAGAAGAGTGTGATAAAAATAAACAAAATATGTGTGGTTTATATTTAGAATATGTTTCCTCCTCACATCCTTCTTTGTTTATTTTGCCAAAACAGATTGATCGAGGATGATTCCTACACTACAGGTGGTGCCAGATTTTCATTGGAACCAAAATGAAAATTGGCTGATGTCACTTATTGCTTGTCTGGCAGGAAATATTAATTAGTAGGATCGCTCAAAAATAAACAGTGAAACCTGAAGTCACCGGCGACACGGTCAGTCATCCTCGCTGAAGCGTTTTAAGCATTGACATCTTTTATTTCATTTAAATGTAAAATATAAATTTAGTGAAACATTTTTAAATGCAAATACTGTACTTTCATAAATCTCTCACTTTTGTTGAGTAAAACCACTCAAAAGAGATTTTGATATGACAAAATGTGCGCATCTGAAAGAGCCAAATTCACATCAAAGACATGTTTCGTCTCAGCGGTTGGGCTTTAAGATGGACAACAAGCATTTTGCATCATCTTAATCCTCTTCTGCAAACTACAGTACAGGTTTTATTGCAGTACACTGTTTACAAAGATAGACTACCAATGTAAGTAATCCCTTTACAGTTTCAGAGCACATTCAAAATTCATGTTTTTCTGTCGTCTCGTCTCGAAGTGTCTGTTTTCAAAAAGAAGAAAAAAATTGTCGTGCTGCCTGTCCAACCTTTAAATCCCTTTTTTCCTTCTAGATGAAAGTGTTAACTTTCTTATTTGGTTTGCATTATTGATGCAGACTTCCGTTCACCGATGTGTTTAAATGTGAGTGTTTGTAGTATTTGGGCATCAAGGGGTTTTGGGTGTGAGCAGCAGGTGTAGAGGACATACACTACAGTACAAGTGCCTTGTTTCCGCATGGAGCAACGAGCTTCTGAGCATAATGTGACCATGTGGAACTTGGACATACGCCATGTGTATACTGTGAAGTTATTCTCCAGCTGTTGTCAGCTACACCTTCAGGACAGAGAGCAGACTAATAAAGTGTTTCATACTCGCCTTGTGTTGACAGTTCATTGGCCGTTATGTGGGATTGTTATTGGCAGCCTGTCACACGTATATAAGAGGATAACAGGGGGAGTCAGTCCAAGTTGTTCAAAGCCAAAAGGCCTGTGGGACAAATAACAACCTCACATTCTCACTGTATTAAAGTTAATCAGTTCCCATTCTGCAGAAAATTGCATGTTTTTATGCTTCTTTTTCTCCCTGGAACTGGTGAAGTGGAAGAAAGCGCCCCCTCCCTCCAAACATATCGCAGACAGAAAAAGCACGCTCTTTGCTTCACAGCATAGTGCCCTGACAAAAGGCCGTCATTTATCACAATTACGCCTGCGGCCCCATCAGCTTGAATCCTCTCAGTAATTCTTGAGTGTGCTGTCGTGTTGTCTGCCTTAAATGCTGAAAGAGAGACGAGTCCTGATGTGATGGGCTGTGCATGTCGTGAGTTTGTAGTAAAAGTGTGTATGTGTGTTTTTCTAAAAGAGTGAACTGGCTCTCTGCTCACAGCGGCTGTGAATGAACCCGCCGGCCTCTCCTCTGAGCTTTAATGGTCCTATTAATTGAAATTGAGGCTATTTGTCAAAATGTAACAGCTCATTCTCACTGCTTTATGTTTGATTTAGAGGCTGTATTTACAGGATGTATTAAGACTAATGTACACACCCAGCCACAGAAAAAGACACTCAGTTAAAGTTTCAGCGGGGAATTTCTCTGTGGTTCAGAGAGCCTTTTAAGGAAAACCCACAGTGGGATAACCAGTGTAGTAGACGGCATCCAGCTCTCTCCCCTCTTTCTTTCATCTCCTTCTCCCTGCTCGTTCAACATTTCAAACACACGCAGTCTGGATGCACTCCCTGTTGGGTAACTTCTCATATTTCTATTATACTAAAAGCAGTGACTGCACAAGCAGCAGCCCCTGCAAATGACTGCCTCTAAGAATTTGTTACACCTGTTAAGCTCTAGAAACAATGCTCAGCATTTTCCCTCAGCTCCAACAACTCTCATAACAGAGCATGAGCCGCTCTCCTGTTTTCTTTCTCGGTTCTCCGATGCTCTCTATTCTTCTCCTGCGTTCGCCTGTGCTAATTTCACTCCACCCAGTAATTATTCTCCTGAACCAAAGCTGCCACTTTCCCCCTCCTTTTTTTTGTCTTCCTCTCTTTCTTTTATTTCTCTCGTTTGTTTAAATTTGCCCCGCAGCAGACAGGCGGCCTACCTCTCTGCACTTCCCCTGTCAAGGGTGGTTAGTCAGAGACGAGGGAAAAACCGAGAAAGGAGAGGCTGGCTAAGATTAAAAGGGCCGAGGCCACTGCCTGAAGCGAGGCGGCTGCCGACTGCCATTTATTTACCGTTTGCTCTACATGGTGGGAGCCTGATGGAGCACAGGAGTCCGGGGAGACAAACGCGTGCGACATGCCGCCCCGACAACAATGACATCCCCAACAGTCCAACAGAGGCACCTTTAGACAAACATATGGCTCTTCTTTGCTCGGTTGAACATTTGGTTGCAACCCATCTCACCTCATTACTCCTGACGCGGCCGCAGCTACAGCACGCCTCGGAGCTCACACCAACCTCGTCTGGAAGACAGAGCCACATTTAACCGACAGATGTCTAAATCATTCATCATAGACCACCGCTTCTGGAGAGAACTTCAAAGTATAATCTATGAGAAAGAAATGATGCAAAAGACTGTCTCCAGCTTTTTCACTTTATATCATAAGAGTCTCAACCACGTACTAATGCGGGTCTCAGATACAGAGGTAACATCAGGCCAGAACAAGGGACAAGCATAGGTCTATAAACCTGATACACAAATTCAATTAAGCTACAAAGAGGGGCTGGATTTTTGTCATTTTTAACCACAGATTATTAAAGACAGCTGATTATACTGATGGAAAAAAGCTGCAGAGCGCCTTCACAGGATCTCAGAGCTTGCTGCGAGCTCAGCTTTGAGTCATAGTTCGTTACTCCCTCTCTAAACGCACACTTTAAGAAAAATGATGCCACAGAAACAGCCATAACTGAGGAACTCTGTTTGTTCCATTCATCTCATGAGCTCTTAATCTTACAAACAACGCCTTCGTATGCTCGTCTTCTACTAATCATGCGACACACTGGATATCATCTAACAACTCCATAGCCTCTGTTAGAGTAATGGCAGCCTTTTCATAGCCTCTCGTTAGCAGGGGTTGGCTATAAAGGACTTAGGGACAAGACCGCCTCGAACTCGCACTGCGTTTGTTTACAGTCTGATGAGCAGATTGAGAAGCAGAATGGAGTTGGTGTTGAGACATGGCATCGTAGAGCAGATTGTAAACTGCTTACATGCAAGCATTTGTTTATAGAGATTAATAAAAGCTAAATGGTTTACAGCCAGTGTTTTCTAGGATTGCATCAGCACAGACTGCATTTATCACTTTTTTTTCTCTCTGACTATTTTCCTGGATACAGCCGATGCCTGCTGACTCGCTCGTACACTAAAGAACAATTTAAGTTCCAAAATGTGGTCTGACTCTGCAAAAAAATGTAGCATATAGATAAGCTTTCTACCAAAGTAAATGTGAGAGTTAAAACCTGCATCGGAATGAGAGTGATCAGAAAGCCTGTTTAAAGGGATATTCCGGCATAAAATTAAGTTAGGGTCAAAAACACCGTAACACCAAGTTAGACACCCCCTCGAGAGATGAATGTTGCCGACTGCTTGCTTCTCTAGTTATACCAACTTTAGAACGACCGCAGATAGCAATACACAGCGGTCTATGGAGCCATAAACACGCCTCAACCAAAACGCCACTCTATAGCCACAAATAATGCTCAGAACAGCACCTAACATCATCAACAGTACATATAGGGTCTCAGCCACAGTACTAGCCACCAAACATCTTTTTATCTTTGCCTACTTTCTTTAGCAAAGAGACTAAACACAACTCACCTACTTTCTTCCAGCAGCCGCTTGTTTGTAGTGAGACCTCAAGCTAGTCCATTACAGACTGCTGTGGGGTGACGCAGCTCAAGGAAGAACATTTATGATCATTTCTTCATTGAAATGCGATCAGACTGAGACGCTACGGCAGAAGAACTACCATGTCTGCAGTGCAAAATGATAAATATGGTGATTATTACTTTAAGGAAATGATAAAGTAATGATCATAAATGTTCTTCCTCGAGCTGGGGTTCAGGATCAGGGTTATAGGGTTAGGGATAGGACCCTGTATGTACTGTTGATGAAGTTAGGTGCTGTTCTGAGCAGTGTTTGTGGCTATAGAGCGGCGTTTTGGTTGAGGTTTGTTTTTGGTTCCTCAGACCGCTGTGTATTTCTATCTTGCGGTCGTTACTAAAGTTGGTGAAACTAGAGAAGCAAGCGGTCAGCAACATTTATCTCTCGAGGGGGTGTCTAACTCGGTGTTACGGTGTGTTTGACCCTAAATTAATTTTAGATAGATAGATCCTTAATTTTCCCAGAGGGGAATTGAAATTCACGCCGGATATCCCTTTAAAGATGAGGTTATATCTTGTGTCCTTTTTTAAGAGGCTGCATATCTACTCCATCTACTGAAAACACAAAAAGCTCAGAAATAAACTTCAATATATAACAAGAGCATAATTAAACTGAATATAAATTCAGCTCTGTACATCACAGATTAAGAAACAGTGATGTGTCGTCCAATTTATGCACATTTGATATGATATGACATGATCAGAGTTTTGAAATAATCCAAATATATACAGTGAAGGGGAAAAACTTTGAATGTCTCTGAAATTTAGCTGAGTAGAATTATAAAAGTACCAATAACTCAACGCTCAGCATTAGTTTGGTGATAAGTAAATGTACTTGGCAGCTTTCAATTCTAACTGTCCTGTGGTATAACGTGCAATGGGAAATATTCCGTTTTTATACCTCACATCTTCCTCGCATCAATATTAAATAATTTAACATGCTGCAATGACGTCTGAGTTAAGTGTGAGAAAATTAAAAAAAAATCCTCATTACAAAAAGAAGAAAAAATTTTGTCTCAAGCAACAGAATCATACAAACAAACAAGCGCTGTGCTCGAGATAAGCTTTAAAACGCAAATCCCATGTAAAACAAATTCAGTGGGGTCATGCATCCATTATTTAACTTGCTTCTGGCTAAAATTGAGTATTTGGACAAGACACAGAGAGGAATACATTTTTTAAAGGTGAACTGTGTGAATATAAACAAAGACAGGAGAAAAAAAACAAAAAACACTGCACACCACATTCTGCGTGAAGCCTGCACGATTATTAGTTTGTGTGTTATCTGGAGCTGTCACACATATCAGACTCTTCAAAATGATAAACAACAGCATCTTTGTCAAAGGAAACAACGTTTTAAGGGGGAAAAACACCTAAAAATACTCCACATGCCACCTGATGTGAAATATCAACACTCGTGTGCTGTGGTAGATTTTATATGATGTGTCAGAAACAGTGCGTTTCTCAAAAATTGATGATAGCTGTTGTTCTGGGATTTATGTATGCCTATTAGAACCTGCCACTAAAATATTCCCTCTGTCAGTCATATAATAGGAGTCTGCTATAAAAACAAGTTCTTGTAGGAGACAATTCAAGCTGAAAGAACTTTCTGCTCATTAGAAAAATGGAAAAAAGTTTGTAAAAACTACAGAATAGTTTCAAGTTTCCAAGGCAGGGCATGCTGTAAAGGTGCTACACATAAAACTGAATGACCTTTCGAGTCCAGATTGAGTGACAGAGTGAGTTAGGTAATTCACTCAGAGGGGACTCAGAAGTCTCCAGTGAAGCTCAGGGGGTGGAAGATTTAACAGAGCCTTAAATGTGATCAGCAAAAATCTTTAAATCAATTATACATCTAACTGGTAAACACTTCAGAGACGGTAAAATTGGGTTATTACGGTCCCTTCACTTGGCAGCGGTTAAAACCCAGGCTGCTGTATTTTTGAGCAGCAATGAAAGATGGTGAAATGGGATGAGATTAAAGCACAGATCCTCCTCTTTGTTACTGGATAGAAACGTCTGGACGTTTCCCAACTGTGGAATCAGTGCTGCATTACTTACTGTATTATTCCCTCTAAAACTAAGTCGCTGTCAAATATGAGTCACATTGTTTTGGAAACTGTCCATATGTCCCCAAGAACAAGACGTCCTAAACCTGCGTCTTCATACGGTGTTTATAGGAAAAAATGTCCCTGGATTTTCTTTTTCATGGGCAGCAACAAACAGGCGATGCAACAAGCAGTATTTGTGCAAAATACTTGATTCTGATTGGTTAATTCTTTGAAAAACATTCTCTTTCTTGGTGGCTTGGAACCGCAAACTATGGTGGACAAACTACACTGCACAGAAAGGAGTCCGGTGAATCTGACCTTGGGTTGTTTATGTTACAAGAAAGAAAAGAGATGGAAACAAAAAGAAAAGGCAGGAGAGATAAAACACACGGGGGAGGCTAAGACAGAAAAGTCTAAAGGATGGACAATAGTGCATGACGTCAATACTTCATGAAGGTAAGGCAGCGTGGGATAAGGTACTAGTTAAATTTGTCATTAGTATGTGACGAGGATGAAAAAATTGAATCAAGGGCTCCATTGATACGTGCATTTTTGTGTAGCTTTCTTTATGTGGAAAACCTCAGCTGAGTTCACTGATAATGTTTGTTCTTATATTAATTTAACTCTAAAATCAATATAGGGTGTGTAATTAGTCATCTCTTAAAGGGGTATTCCGGCGTAAAATTAAGTTAGGGTCAAAAAGACCGTAACACCAAGTTAGATAACCCCTCGAGAGATAAATGTTGCCGACCACTTGCTTCTCTAGTTATACCAACTTTAGTAACGACCGCACAATGGCAAGACACAGTGGTTTGAGGAGCCATAAACAAACCTCAACCAAAACGCCACTCTATAGCCACAAATAATGCTCAGAACAGCACCTAACTTCATCAACAGGACATAAAGGGTTCCAGCCACAGCACTAGCCACCAAACATCTTTTTAACTTTGCCTGATTTCTTTAGCAAAGAGACTAAACACAACTCACCGTCTCTCTTCCAGCAGCCACTTGTTTGTAGCGAGACCTCAGGCAAGTCCATTACAGACTACAGCGGGGTGACGCAGCTCAAGGAAGAACATTTATGATCATTACTTTATCATTTTTCTTTAAGTAATAATCACCATATTAATCATTTTGCACTGCAGACGTGGTAGTTCTTCTGCTTTAACGTCTCAGTTTGATTGTATGTCCATGAAGCAATGATCATAAATGTTCTTCCTTGAGCTGCGTCACCCCGCTGCAGTCTGTAATGGACTGGCCTGAGGTCTTGCTACAAACAAGCGGCTGCTGGAAGAGAGTCAGTGAGTTGTGTTTAGTCTCTTTGCTAAAGAAATCAGGCAAAGCTAAAAAGATGTTTGGTGGCTAGTACTATGGCTGGGACCCTATATGTTCTGTTGATGAAGTTAGGGGCTGTTCTGAGCATTATTTGTGGCTGTAGAGTGGCGTTTTGGTTGAGGCTTGTTTATGGCTCCTGAGACCACTGTGTATTGCGCCATCGACAGACGGACTCAACCTGTGACTAAACACAACTCACCTACTCTCTTCCAGCAGCTGCTTATTTGTAGCAAGACCTCAGGCCAGTCCATTATGGACTACAGCGGGGTGATGCAGCTCAAGGAAGAACATCTATGATCATTTCTTCTTGGAAATGCAATCAGGCCGAGACGCTATGGCACACTAAATGATTAATATGGTGATTATTACTTCAAGAAAATGATAAGGAAATGATCGTAAATGTTCTTCCTTGAGCTGCGTCATCCTGTTGGTTGAGGTTTGTTTATGGCTCCTCAGACTGCTGTGTATTGCTATCGTGCGGTCGTTAATAAAGTTGGTATAACTAGAGAAGCAAGCGGTCAGCAACATTCATCTCTTGAGGGGTTGTCTAACTTGGTGTTACAGTGTTTTTGACCATAAATTAATTTTACGCCGGAATATCCAGTAGTATCCAGTATAGTTTACTGTTCATCACTCACTTCCAGGAGTCGCTTTAAACCACATTTTGATCTCATCTGGACTGCTGCTGATGCTCAGTATGTAAATTTAAGTTCAAGGTTTGGCCTTCCTCTAGCTCTGGTTTCAGTCTCTAAAACCTCTTCAGAAACATATCTGTTTTTCTGAGCCGTGCAAAAGAACCAGAAGCTCCTTTAATCATCAACTGAATGCTACGACTTTGACTTGCCACAGTTGAGCTATGTGCAGATTGTATAAAAGGAGCTTTTTGGAGCTTTTTTGCTGAAACAGGCAGCCTGCTGGGTTCAAAAACAATGCCAAAGAGCGTCAAGAGTCAAATAAAACAGCCAAATCGCAGTTCAGAAAAGAGAAAAAGGGTTTAAAGACTCAAGAGTTCATCCGCAGATTTGTGAAGTGCAGCTAAGTTCGGCATGTATTACGCTATGTGATGTATCTTCAAGTCTTTGTTTCTGGTTTATGGTTTTGAGAGCAAATTAAAAACTATTCTACCAGACGTGATGCGACGTGACGCCCAAGACACGACAGGGAAGTTTGGGGATTTAAACTCTTCATAAGTGAGAGTGTCAGCTTCTGAAAATGAAGTCGTTTAAATCTAGGAAATAGCAAAGGCGGTATCATCTGAACCGACACGACACAGCCATCACAGGTATAAATGATGCAGCACTTAGAGGAAGATCTGAACAGAGCTCAAGTGTGGGAAAGGTCAGAGCTCAATGATTCAAACGAGATGGCATGAGAGTACTGAGAAGAGCCATCTGTGATACGGCTGAGACAATATATCCAACAAACTAAAAGGCCAGATTTACCTTTACTATGATGGATTATTTGTTATTCTTTTAAGCGCATGCTGCATTTTGTCCAGTCTCCTTGTTTTCTTGGCAAATGTTCGAGAAAAACATTATTTACTCCTCTTAATCAGAAGATGAATTGGAATAGAGCGGAAAATAATCAGTGAGTAAACCATAGAGCAAAATAGTTTTACAGCAAGTCTTTTGTTTGAGTGGATTATGACGTTCAGTAAATGTTAAAGCAACACAGAGGATGTAAAAACAAGACACAGAGGAGGAATGTATTTAAAAAGACCTCACGCTCAGTGTTTAGAAGCACTAAATCTCAGTCCCAGTTTGGCAGGCAGTGCAGGTTTCCAGTGATGAACTGATTTTGTGTCGTAGTTTATGCTGTGCAGCTGGTGACAGCAGACTACATCATTTTGAGAAGAACATTAAGTATGGGCCTGTTACACTTCATGTCAGATAGGAGAAATGTTATTTTCACATCATTTAACTCCTCTCTGACGTCCTAACATTTACTTTTTTTGTGAAAGCATTAATCATGTGTTGCTCTTTTCTGCCAGTTCTGTCCTCTTTTTTCTTTCCCCTCTCTGGATGTCGTCATTAAGTCACAGAGATGGATTAACTGGGAGAATTGATCTTGTTTCCCGGCGTACAACAACATCCAAGGTTGATGACCACCGTCTATTAGAGAGGCTAACTGGATCTCATCTGTATGTACAAAATGAGCCGTATGGCTGCTTTCATTTAATCTTGCAAAGGACAATCAAACTTAAATAGCTGAATGACCATTAAAGCGGGAACAGATTGTGCCTTTATGGTGTCAAATAAAATGTAAATTTAACAAGAAAGACTTAAAACAATCCACCTGTGTGTTCAGAAACAAGGTCGAGGTAAATGAGCAAAGCATTAGCTTTGAGCCATTTAGTTACAGAGGGATGATTTTATTTACAGCGAAGAATAACTCAGCTGCAGTTATTTTTATCCACTCTAAACCCCCTTTTGTTCGTTGCTCAATGCTTGAGGACTGCTGACTTCTTTTATTTTTGTGGCAGCCGATACAGGCACTTCTCTGCTTGGTATTGGCGTCCGTGGTGAAAAAGTAGTAGAGGTGAATCCCCAACAATAAAAACAATAAAAAACTATCGGAGCTGTCTCTCTGGAGCGATTGAAGCCAAATAGAAGTAAACAAGAATTTAGGACAAAGCCTTCACCGGTTCAATCCTCTCTCATCAAGTGGTTTGTAAAGAGTGAGGCTAATGTTTGAGGACAGCTGGAGTGGATGGAGGTGTCTGTGTGTTTTTTGGCCCCGGAGACTGTGAGAGAATAGTTGCAGATGGAGGCAGAGTGTGGCATACACCTGCACAACGGGGCTGTGTGCAAGTAGAATAAGAATGGGAACATGAATAGAGCTATAAGAGGAGACGGAGAGTGGAGGTAGGGGTGCATGCAGAGGTGAATGAGGACAGAGAGTCAACGATGTGATTGGCGCAGAGAAAATAGGAAAGTATCAGTTTGTCTGGTGGTTAATGAGAGCAGTGAGCAGGAGGTCAGCGGATAAAAAAAGACGACCTGCTCCTGCAATTAAGTGAATATGTCTGATTACTGCCAGCAAACAGATGGAGCAAGAGCTGAAATAGGAGGTAATTTTACCTGTCCCAGGATGGGGCCTAGAGGGGGGCCGGGGACCGCCTGGCCTGACCTCACTATGGTCCGGATAATACTCCCGGTATCCAATTTCTTCACCACCTTGGCTGCCTTAGAGATCTTTGACATCTTGCTCTGTGTGGAAATCCTCAAATCTGCCTCCAAGTCAACTGAGAATCCATCCACTGAAAACAGAGAAGAAAAACTAATGTGTGTTTCAAGAAAAAGCACAACTGCAACAAATCACTTACACGCCGGGCTCATTAAAACATCATACACTCGAATCAATACCGATACCCTCAGGTAAAAACTCGCCCAGTTCCATTCTGCAACGGGCGAGTAATTAAAAAAATCTTTGCCTTCGATCGGCTTGGTTAGAGCCACTTATCCTGGGAGGTGTTTGCAGTGTGGATCAGCAGCAGCCGAGTCAGATACTCGTCATGTTGAGGATTCAGAGAACTGGCAGGTTTTTAAAGTTCACAGTGAAAAAATCATGAAGTGCATGCCAAAACACCTCTGCCGTCCCCCCTCTGTTCTAGATGTGTCACAGCTGAACTCCCTGAGCTGCAACCGAGCTTCCTCCGCATCAGTAGAGGTTAAGAGTCAAGGACAGAGGAGGGATAATAACAAAGCTGATACACGGAGGAGGGGTGAAAGTGTCCTCTCCTCATCTGAACACTGAGAGAGCTCGGCTTTTTCGATCAACCTTTAAAAGCTTTTGCAAAATTAAGGAGTCAATTAGTGGAGTGTGGAGAATGGCCTGAACTTGTGGCCTTTCTCTGGGGAGGAGGAACGCATTAAAGCCACCCTGTAATCCTCGGCTGAAATAAAAGTGATACTGAAACAGCTGTAGGGAGAAAAAAGCAGCAAAAAAAAAATCCAACGACTGGAGTCAAGGGACAAATACAAGTTTTAAGGTTGGACCTTGATTCAGGGGAACCCTGCATTCAATAAAAACAAGTACTGTGGCGAAGGAGAGAAGGTCCAGCAATGATTCATTGCGGGCAACAGAGGGTATCCAATTAGATCAACAGAGGAGACAATACCAAAAAGATATATGGGACGTCCTGCTGCTTCAGAGCAACAAACCGGGAGAAACTGCTGCGAAGAAAAGTAGTGATTCTATCTGGACTACTGATTATCCTGCAACCGTTAAAGTGCAACCACCATGAGGCAATGTTTGTAAAGGCATTAAGGTGGTATGCATGGTGCAGAGGAGGTCGCAAATACATTCCATTTAGTCTGAATCCCCTCAATAGGCATCTTTGCAATGTAACTCACACACAGCTACTTTCAGAGGTCAATTTCACGCTACCCACTTAATATGTTCAGCTACTTCATTGTAGAAGAATTGTGTTGCACTTCAGATCAATTTTAGTGCCAGTTAGAAAATGCAGAAAGCAACGCGTATTAAATGTGCAGCACGGAAAGCTCACTTCTGTTATCAAACGACGACAGTCAGAGAGAGAGACTCATGAATTCCTAACTGACAAGCAGCAGGAAAAATAACTAAAACATCAGTTTTCAGGGGGCTAGAAGTGCTGCGAAGAAATCAACTGACATAATGACATACTGTACGTCCCGAGAGACGAGGCTTCACTTGGTTTTTGTGACTGCGAGAAAAAAAAAACAATTAGATCCAGCATCAAATGTAGGGTTTAATTCTAATTTGGGGCAAAGGGAATCGCAGCTCTGAGACCGGGGAAATGACAACGTCATGCTTTAATGCACCGCAACTTCAATCTCTTCTGGAGTATGAATAATATAATCACAGTTCCCTGGCAAAATGAAATCAGTCATCACAAGGCCAAGCATTTAACGTTGAAGAGGAATTGACCTACATAGGGCACTACTATGGCTGACTGTACATTCCACACAGACAAATTTACATGAGATTCAAGGAATAAAGCGGCCTGTGCTGCGCGGTGGCAAACAAAGCTGCACAATAAGCTTCGACCAGGGCTGGCTTACTGTTTAGCTGCAGATAATCAAATCAAAGACGCAGTAATTTGAGAGGAACAGACATCATTTTGAGCTTCTCTTTAGGCTGAATATTACATTTATACGGCAATTACCAGCAACGGCCTTTCCGATAAAGAGAGGAACACAGAAAGAGCAATTTGTTCAGGCCGTCCCGAGTTTCAGCGCTTTCTTTAAACATTTTAGATAAACAGCATGCCACAAATCCAGCATTTAAATTACTCACAAATACAGAACGACAGGATGAGCATTAGGGGAGCGAAAACACCACAAACGCAACACGACTCTTCGAATTTTCCAAATTGCTGTTACAGCCTGCAATGTCATTATCTTTTCAAGAGTTTAAAGCTGAATGTTTTTCTTTGCCTTTGAGTTATCTGCTCTGAATTTGGTATAAAGCCTGGAAGTAATGGTATATTTGAGAAGATACTAAGTATAGAAAGAGAAATTAGATTCAAGTCTGGGTTAGGGAGATGTAGGCGGCTGAAATAGTCAGTTTGAAAATAGACTTTTCAAGGTGAATGCATTATGATTTTGCACCAGTATGGCTGCGCAAAGGCATTTTGGCGGCTGCTTCTTTTACAAATAAGGATTTCATTCATCAATATTTTACTAAATTTCAAAGAGTTCTGGCGTGTACAGCCTGCTCAGCTGTGACACTCTTTTAAGTGCTGCAAACATTTCTGAGAGAGCTGTAAACTACAAAACTGGAGTTCTCTGAGTCGAATTAAAATTGGGCATTTTTAAGTCTTTCCAGGGATAATTTCTTCTTACAAGAAGATGTTTTCACACCAGCTTTAACACACTGACAACGATACAGTTGTAACAGGTCCATACCAGACTTGGCGTGTGCGGCATCAAGTCCCTGATTCCCCTCTCATTTTGACAACAAAAACCCAAACTCTTAAGGCTAACCTTTTCTTGGCCTATCTGTCAAAAAAATCTGGATATTTTTCAAACTCTCCTCCTGCTGCCTGTCAAACCACTTTGAAGAGAAACACGGTATCTTTGACAGAAGTAAACATGTCAATAAAACTGAGCACTGGGGAGGAAAGCAGGAGAAAAATCCCACCTGTCATTATACACCGCAGGTCTACAAGATAATCTGGAATTACACCCCTATGTGAAAAACTCATTACTTTTTCTTTTTTTTTTTTTTTTCTTTATCACCTTTTCATTAAAAAGTGTCTGAATTTTCTCAGAGCAGTAGCAGCAGCTTCTGTGTTGTGTTCCCGGCTAATTAAAACTGACTGCACTTCAAGGATACAGCTGACTTTGATTAAAGAAATTAATCAGTTTGCTATTAAAAATGTGCGTTTAATTGCACTGCTGAGGCCTGACGCTGTTTGTTGTGTGGGCTATTAGGCTCTCTTTAGTCTTCATTAAGGAGGCGAGCCAAGCTGTAGTCAACATCAATGAATCCTCTAAATGTGTTTTTTATACGCAAGCCAAGGTCACATATATTGGTTATCTATTAAATTACTTTCTTAAAAAATGAAAGAAATTGTCTTGAAAAGATAGTTGGGTTTCCAAGTTCCAGACCTTCTACAATATGAATGATACAGACAGCGAACCAGCCGGAGGACAATCATGTCTTCTTCTTCTTTTATCATTTTTTAATGCCGTCTTATGATATAAAGGTGGAATACTAATTGATTTCTCAAAGGGATCAGGCTTTGTACCTGCAACAACACAGAATCCAGTCGGCCTCAATAACATTTGTTACACCGCATCTGCCTCCTCATCTTCACATCTCTGCTCGATAAATGAGAAGTGAACCGGTGGGGAAAATGAAATCAAATATTTTCTAATAACACAGATCCGACGTTTCATGAAATACAGAATCAGAGATTACCATCTTATCAGACAAACTCTGATAAGGACTTGTTTGAGTGGGGTGTGAAAGTGTAAACTCTGTTTCACATTTACCTCCGTCAGAGCACCTTTATGTGCTTGCTTTATGTTTCTCTGCAGCTATTCCCCAAGTCCATCTTAAAGCATCTCTGTAGGAGTGGGAGAACTGTGCCTGCGAGAGTGGAGCTATACAGACTGCTGCCTGACAAAGTTTAGTACCGACAGGGGGGCTTTTTACGGCGGAACATGTGGTGTCAGAATTAAAAAAGGCAACAACCAAAAAAAAAAGGAAAGAAAGGAAAGTTTGTGCCCATGGGAGATTTGTTTGTGAGCTATTCAATCTCATTCTTGCTTTTCTTCGAGTATAATTGAAAGCTGAGCTCGCAGTACGGCTCAACAGAATCACTGTATTGTTGGTCTGTCTGTCTGTCTGTCTGCTTTCCTCCTGACTGTATTCTGCAGAGAAACAACCTTTGGATGCATACCTGATATTTTCCACAGACAGTCTTGCTGCTCAGAGTATAAATTACAGGCTTTTAGTCTGGTAGTGCCATTCAAAAGTTTGGAGAGTGGTAAAGCCAGATCTAAAATTTAAAAATATACTGGTTGGCAAAAAAAATGGACACTGAGACTGAAAACATTTCCGTTCAGTTTTCTTGATCGAGAAATTCTACGTTAGTTTGTTTTGGCCTTAATCTGTATGACTCACTAGCTGCGTTTACATGGGCACAAATGATCGGAATAAATGCCCGAAGATCCTATTCGGCTCAACTGGAAATAAATTGAAATAAACTGTACATTATAATTGTGGTTTATGCCGATCGTTATTCCAAAACCCGTCCACTTATTCCGATCGCGACTCTCTTACCTGACTCGAGCTTCACTCTTTAGTCTTTGGTTTATTTATTGAGGCCAGTTCAGGAGGATTCATTATTAACAATCTGGCTTAAAACACAACCGCAGGTGCCGTGTCTGCTCCTCCGGTAACATAACAAGGCATACATGCGGCGTAATGATGTCACATCTGCACACACAGTGCAACCTTTGACAGAACAGTAAAATAAGTACGCAAGGGCGCCATCTAGTGACAACATTAACAGGACAACTCCTGAACTGGATGGAGTGAGCCACTGCCGCATTTGTTGGTTTGTTGACAGCACAGGCGTCGATACTACTCTTCTTCTGCGGTTGTTTTAGCAAAATTAGACAACTCTGTCTGTCCAGATGCTTCTAATCTGAATAAAGCTTGGCGCCCTTGCATGTATTTGATTTTGCACCCATATAAACAGTGGATTCAGATTATCCGATCCCTCAAATTTTTAATCCGATCAAGAAATTTTGCACATGTAAACATGTCCTATGTCTACAGAAATTATTCAGATTACCTTTATGAGCCTGTTCTGCATGTTGATATCCAGCATGTTAAACTATATATATTATATTATATACTAACTATATATTTTGTAGCTATGCAGTGCAGTCACTTCACCTATTATGCTGCTGAAAATACAAGATTTGTTTTGGTCTTTTTTTTTTTTTTTAAGAGGAATCAATCATTGATCGTTAATATTTCCCAAAGTCAATCCCAGAGGATACTTTGACTTTGCTACCAGCACAATGTGTCAACACAACTTGAATCCTTCCATATTTACCTGGGCCTTTACTGTGTATATCCTATATGCTTTTATTTTGAGACTCTCATACTATGTCGACCTTTCTTTGAACTGGTATTTGATTTCATCTCCCATAGTCTTGAAGAGGCAGACTTTATTCAATCAGGAAGTATTGTATTGTTGGGCACAGAATCAATCTAAGACTGTAATGAAACTTGTGATTTACACCCCTACACCGGAAAAGAGTGAGTTTTTTAATGAACCCCGTAGAATAGTTCTCCATTAAATTTTGAAGCGATCTGTTGCCAGGCTGATGAATCCTGATAACTTTGGTGATCACTTGATTTAATGTGGCGAGACGGCAAGGTCAAAACTTTTACATATTCAGTCAAACAGCTCAACTTCAGCTAATAATGTGTTGACACCAGACTAATCTAGAGTGAGACCCACTGACTTTCCAACATTAAGTATTTTAGAGCCAGAGCGGCACTCCTTTATGTTTCCTCATCAACTCTCTACCCTTCTGTCCCCCTTGCGTTGTGATAACTTGGTATTTACAACTTGGCTGATAGTCCCGGTCCTAATAAGGATGGTTTAAGTTGATACAATAAATTTGCAAAAGTGGGGTTTCTATCTTCGGTTAAAAAGAAAAGTGTGATCCCTTTTTCCTGATGCACACTTCCTGTCCCAAGAGTGTAATTTTCTGATTTCCTGATAAGAAGTAAGGTGTTCTTATTCCAGCCTCATCAGTCAGCCCTGACAGTAAAACCCATTCTGTTCCCATCTCTTTAAACAGATAAACGCTGTCAGAGCACTGTGCCAAACACAAACCATGATTAGTATTCTCTGAAATTACAGGGAAAGGGACTCAATTCATTCTTATCTCCCAGGGACACTAAAACCAGCCCTGACAATTGGTGAATACAACCCTTAGTGCGGCAGTCCATCTAGTGGTAGCATTCACCTTTACATTTGATAAAAGGCATGAAACTCAGACTAAACCTCACAATAAGGACGCCTAACACTTCAGTCACGTGTGTGCCCGCCTTTGGCACAAATACACAATTCTGCAAATTTAAGACAAACAAGGGGAAAGGCCCTGGGGACAAGCTAAGACCCTGGATGCTAATAGAAAAACAGCACAAGCATATTAAAATTATAATAGCAATTTCATTTTTCCGCCTGTCTTTGCAGAAAACTTTGAATACCATTAAAGACCTGATAAATGATTGGAGTCCTCGGATGCATAAGATGACCAAATTTGTTGTTAACAGCAGAATAAACAGCCAAAAGGGACCATCACACTCAGCAGGGAATTCTGGGTTGCAGTATCTGCGTCGATGGCACTGCATTATGAATCAGGAGCTGCAGATTAACTGTAATCGATGAACCTAATGCAAAGACCAAACAGAACAAATGTACTGCTGTGATCATTAGGCGAGGCGCTCTGGATCAGATTAAGAGATAACATGAGAATATAAACTTATAGAGAGCCCGTCATATGCCGATGCTGTTCCACTACATTAGTATTCATCCCATCAAACTCTGGCCCTGGAGCTATTGATCGCTGAATGCCAAGTCCTAAAGGCCAGTCAAATAAAAAGAAGAGGAGAAGAGCTTGGATGATCCCACAAGACTGGGAAAAAAACAAAAGGAGGAAGTGACATGACCTGATTTAACCAATATGTGAACCTGCAGGTTTCATCTCTGCCAGCTCTCAGCTAATCTGTGTACTGCAGGAATAAACAACTCGTCATTTCTGCACTTTGAGCAATAAATTAATTTTTCATTAAATACTCGAAACGTAACGGCGGATCTAATTAGCTTTAAACTGCTAAATAAGCAGCAAAAACGGATTGCTATCAAAATTTCAGCGTGCAATTATCTCAGAAAATTATATTTGGATAAAGGTATAAAGGCTCTTTAAATGATGTGCTCACATTCAGCTGATCCTGAGGATGAGATTTAATTTGTGCTGAACTATTAATTAAACGGGAGGGTAAAAGGTCAAGTGGCGGCACGTTTTAAGCCAAACATCATAAATTGAACAGACCTCTGACCTCAAGTTGACATTACTCTCGCCCTGTGTAAACTCGCTTCTGATCTGAGTGTAAATATGAAACTACAGACATCACTGATATTTTTAAAAGGCATGGTTGAATAAGTTGTTAGAATAAGTTATAAGAAAATCGAGACAAAAATATGAAGTTATCTGGACACTTCAATGTAAAAAAAAAAAAAAAGACTTATCCTGCCTAGATGTTAAACCACCATGTCAAAGCTCCTGTGATGAACTTAAAAGGGATATTCCGGCGTAAAATTAACTTAGTGTCAAACACACCGCTTGTTTGTATGGAGACCTCTGGCGATTCCATGACCACGGTGGGGTGACGCAGCTCAAGGAAGAACATTTATGATCATTTCTTAATGGAAATGCAATCAGACTGAGACGCTAAGGCAGAAGAACTACCGCGTCTGCAGTGCAAAATTATTAATATGGTGATTATTACTTCAAGGAAATGATCAAGTAATGATCATAAATGTTCTTGAGCAGCGTCACCCCGCTGCAGTCCGTAATGGACTGGCCCGAGGTCTCGCTACAAACAAGCAGCTGCTGGAAGAGAGTAGGTGAGTTGTGTTTAGTCTCTTTGCTAAAGAAATTAGGCAAAGCTAAAAAGATGTTTGGTGGCTAGTGCTGTGGCTGGGACCCTATATGTACTGTTGATAAAGTTAGGTGCTGTTCTGAGCATTATTTGTGGCTATAGAGTGGCGTTTTGGTTGAGTAAGTAGATCCTGGGACCGCTGTGTATTGCTATTGTGCGGTCGTTACTAAAGTTGGTATAACTAGAGAAGCAAGTGGTCGGCAACATTCATCTCTTGAGGGGGTGTCTAATCAGTGTTACGGTGTGTTTGACCGTAAAATAATTTTACGATGGAATATCCCTTTAAGGTTTGTCTTGATTTTGTTTTTTTATATCTTTTTTTTTTTGTTGATACTGTCCTTCACAGTGTGTTTTCTTTTTCATGAACTGGACCTCTTTGGTCTGACAATAGCTTAATGTATCTCTCACTGTGAAACTTCTGTGTGAAATAATTTGAAATAAAAAAGTTATTTCCCAACCATTTAAAACACTCATGGTGTCAGTTGCATTGCTTTAATGGTTGAGTCTGACTCCAGAGGTTAACAGAGAAACACTGTCTTGTTGGTGATGATCTGGTTAGCGTTGTTGTCCAAAAAGAGGCACTGACTTTCATTTGTCTCTTTCATCACCGCCGGTCATATTATACCTGCAGACTCTGAGATCTTGTATTTTGTTGTTTTAAATAAACCGTGCTCAAATTTGACTGCAGCTTTGAGTGATTTTTACTTTTTTTACCGCTTAACTAGTCAGCAAGTCAGAGTTCTAGTTTCCATTTAAATGACTTAGAAACTGGTTACATTCAAATATCCCTAGTCGAAGGTTGTGTCTAAAATAGCTTCTTTTCAACCCCTTATCATGTAAGACAGCAGGATATCACATCAATGGAATGAATCTGCTCTGGGTTTCAGCTCTCATGTAAGGGAAACTGTACAAAGATTGAGCTGCACTGGTTGCGTTTGTAAGGATGCAGACGTCAACTAATAAAATGTGTAGCAGAAACATAGTTTCATTCCTATGATTGCCTCAGTATCTTATATCTTATTTAGTGAACCTTTGAAGAGGTGGTGAAATCCCTGGCATACCTACAGGGTCAGAGATTCAGTTTTAGAGCCCATACTTTACTGTTATGGAAAGCTTATGTTTAGTCTTCACTCGCAGAATGCCAGCTTCTGCTCCTGCTACATAATGTCACTCTGCATTTACATGAAAGTGGGCAATTTACCTCTAAAGAAAGGTTATCATGAATCACTGAATAAGTGATTCATGAGCAACATGAACTACACAAGCCACTTTATAGAGATTTATATGACTTTACAGCATATTTGGGTAACATCTGCACTGTTTTATACTCATGGTGTGAGGCTGTTAAGGCTTCCTTTACCAAGTTAAAGGTTAAAAGAAAACCACAAAAATCTAAAGTTCAAGATAATTTCTTAAAGTGTCTGGCTGTTTGGGGATGGCACTCAGATTTGCCCCTGCAGAAAAAGCCAGGTCCATATTGATTGCCTCTGCTGTATGAGCCATGCAAAAGCTCAGGTATTAACTCTTCAACTGTGAAGCAGGTGTAATCACCGAACATCGATGACTCACCAAGTTATTGCTATGGTGACAGAATGGAAGCCAAATCCCCAAAGCCGGGTCTGTAAAATAATGCGGAAAGTTTCCAGTGAAGAGTAGTGTCTGTTTCCAGCAAAATATCAACCCCCATGGTTTCAAATGAATCTCACAACAGCCATCAAATACTGTGTGCAGGGGGGAAGCTGTGACCATATAGTTGTTGCGGCACAGTGTATTACATCAGTTCACTTGTCACCCGTGTTTTTCTGGCTGTCACTGTGCAAGAAAAAGACTGTTAATGAGGACAGTAGCTGTCCACTGTGCTCTTTAATGCTGTTGGGTGAAAAGTTGACTACTGAAGCAGCACACACATGCCCATCACAGCAGCCTGAGTTCAAACCAGGAACTTTTCCTTGAATAGTGATGACTCCCAGTGGAAACCCCCCTGCATGTATAATCTCCGCTTGTCTATATTCAAATCCCAGGGAGGCCTTTTCCTTTACTGCTTTCCCTGAATTACATTTCCGTCTCACCATCATGTCTGATAGAAACACAGACTGTGTAACAAACTGCCTGTGCTCGGAATAAATCTCAAAGAAGCAACAACAAAAGGCATCAGCGGCAGAGATTGATACTCCAGAAATCTGAATTATAAAACAGGGAAAGCAACACTCATTTCACATCAGCTTCTGGTTTATTTGCAGAGAGACTGGCATATATTATTCTGCTGTTTTATACAGCTGTGTGCTGTTTGCAATAACTTAGCAAAACCATAGACCAATATGTCAAAAGACGAGCCAAAATTATATGAGGGGTCCGACTGGACCTTTTATCATGTTATTTACTAAGGTACGTTAAATCTGAAGTCTGATTTACAGAGCCTGAATACATAAAAAGCAGCAAAACGGCCCTTGTATCTCTTGGAAATCATCAGACTTCATCATGATATTGTGTTTTTGATGATATTCAGCAACAACACATAAACAAACCGAGCGTGGAGAGGCAGGAATAGAAAGAGGCGAAGCAGTCACAGATTTAGATGATTAAACACGGAGCAGAAGCGTCACAGCCATCTCCAGGCAACATGTGAATGCACAAAGCTCTGACATTATAAAAGCCAGCCTTCAGAATTACAGCTCAAGAAAGTGCAAGCCAAGTGTGACTGCAGCCAGAATGTGACAGTAAATGCTCTGAACTCTGAACACTCCTCTAACCCGCCCTCTGGGTCTGAGCTGCTGCTGCTGCAGATGGACCTCGCATTCAGAGAGCTGGGGACGCGTGATCAATATAAAACAGCATGGCCATGTTGAAGATGCACACCTGAGAGTAAGCCTACATCAGAGCAGCAACAGACTCCAGATGAAGGTGGAGAGAGATTTTAATTTAGCTGCGAAAGATTTGCAGTCAGGATATGGGTTTGATTTTTTTAACACCGGCGAGAATCATTTTGTCTCATGATGTTTTTTTTACAGTTTCTATCATTTCAACTTTAAAATTCTTGGATCTGGTTAGAAACAACTGTGCTCTGTTCAGACGGTTTGAGGTTTGATTCCCACGTCCAAGTGTCCTCTGTCAAGAACCCAGTGAATGACTTCTGGATTAAACTTCTATGATGGCTCTATTAGCGTCACGTGAGATGATATGGTCCAAGCACCTTCAGTGTTTGTAAGAGGAGAACGGCATGGTATAAGTGCAGCCTTTTCTTCTTCTTTCATTTCAAGGAGGTCATCATCTTGCTGAACAAATACCTATTTAACAAGCTGATGTAACCAGGCTGTGACAATTCAATGCAGCTGTTGACTGATGGTAGAATAATGTTCCAACACAAAGCAGTATATCACAAATATGAAGCAGACAGTTAACTTCTTTCCCTGTCCTTCACAAGATTATCCAATGTCTGTTAAGATCATGTGATTAAGATACTTTAACTGGACATTGAGTAATGTTTTTTAATCCAGCGATCTATTAGGGGTGGGAATCTCTAGTGGCCCCACGATTCAATATTATTGCGATTTTAAACATTTTGCGATACAGTGAGTATTGTGATACCATATATTGCGATTTGTACAATTTTCTCAACTGCTTAGCTGATGTAGCATTTGTCTTTCCCTTATGTTTGTCTTATTTACACAGTATTTTATTTCCATTTAGCACTTGTTGCAAACCTTATGTGTTAGGTCCATTATTTGTGCCCTGCTTGCATTTCTAATGTCCCTCCCCAGGTGCTGCCATGTTTGTTGTACTAACTTCCTCCTGCTCTACGATTTCACCACTGCTGACCTCACTGGACAAACCGTTGATTGTATTTTTCCATTATCATAGACTTGAGTTCATATTAGCAGTTAATTTGAAAAAAATCGCTACTTGACGGATGAGATGATACGACATATCACCATACAAAATATCACAATACTATGCTGTATTGATGTTTTCTCCTACTATTACTACCTATACTGTGGTCACAGTCTGCAGACAACAGGACATACTGAGTTGTCGAATGGCCACTGTACAAGATAGTGCCACACAAAAAAAATATTGGATCTCATTATACTCATTCATGTACAAGCCTTGTTTTACAGTAAAGTTTAGTTTTAAGCTTTTTGGGGGGGTTTTCAGTCGAGTTTCTTTGTCTAAATTTACTAACTAAATGATTAATTTGATTGTATTACAGACAGCACATCAGTGATAAACCGCAGGAAGTGAGACCCTGATATAATCGTTTACCCAGTTTTCAGACATGCAGGATTTTGAGTTTCACTTCACTGTATGTTTCATTTGTTGTCAAAATGTATTTGTAATACCATGTAATATCCTGTGAGTGGCTGAGATGTTCATTATGAAGTGTCAACGTTCATTTCCATCCATAAAGCCAACAAAATCAGACGAAAACCTTCTTGTCACTCAGTCTGGTGCAAGTTTCTCTGGACTCTGGTTTTCCCACGAGTTTAAAGGAAAAGATGTTTCATATTTGGACTGATATGGTGATGATTTATTCGGCTTTTTCCCCCACTGGACAGTCTGGCCGATGATATCTTAATCTGCCTCACAACTGCCCGTAAAACTGACCAAAAGCCATTAAGTATCACAAACCAGGCTCAGGGTTCAAATGATGCTCATGTAAAGTCTCTGCCATCATCATTACTGAATTTGTGATTCCTTCAACTGTCCATCACGCAGAGCTTTCAGCGCTGCAACCAAGCCCACAGCACAAATTACATGATAAACCGCTGCACAGAAAAGCTTTGTTTATTCATCTATTCATTAACAATCAAATATTTACTTTCAATCCTGAATTTCCATGTTTCAAAAGGACTCAAATATATATTCAGATTTTCAAAAGTCTTTAGCAGCTCCACCGCTGACTGTACCAACCTGAGAGATGAACATTTTCTTGGCTGGTTTAAATGCCTCTTTTGGTTAATGAATACCAATCCTGTAGCTCTACTAGCAGGTCACCCCTGGGCATGGCTTAGCTGCACTAATGCAATGTGTCAGCACCTATCAAGGCAGACTTTCAGCTCTGCATCTCACACCAAGCAGAAATTAATTTGTGTTTTCCACTGAATCTACTGGCACTGATCAGAGCCTTCTCAGTCTCAGTCTCATTTACTGAGTGCTGTCTATAAACATGTTCTGGCAGGCTAACTATAATTATATCAACATTCTGGCTGGTTACAGAGCTGCTGATTAACACCACCTCCCTCATGTCAATAGATGGAACATGGGTCAAGAAAATAAAAACACACATACCTTTTTTTCTGAAGACTAACTTACAACTCTGCAGATAAATGCAAGCTGCTGCAGTGTTCTGTAAAAGATTAGATTCGCAGAGGAACAGCTGGAGGAAGTTATGGAAACCAACACAAGAGCTATTCAACATTCAACAGCCTCAAGTGTCTGCTTAAAATCATCACAGAAAGCTGTTCTGTTATGAACTCTACCAACCTAAGCGAACAACACTTAAGACACTTTATCTGTCATTTAAATGTGCCTTTTTGTTGGTGGAAAATGTATGACGTCGGTTTTGTAGCTCTACTAGGCCAGGCTTTGGCTGCACCAGAACAATTTGTCAGCACTAAAAGTTACGCTAGGTAGAAATCAAAGTGTTAATTTTATATACAGCATGGTAACTAGTGACAGGCAGATAGAAGAATAGATTTACTGATGTCAACCCAAAAATGTGGTGCTGTAATCAATGACCGGCATAAGCTCAAGACAGTTATGGCTGTAGTCACCATGTCAAAAAAAATGGTAATGGTAAATGGTAAATGTCATCCATAGCCAACATCAAATTATTGGTTATACTTAAAATTCTCAAGCTGTTTTAAATGCCAAGTGTGGAAAATGGCTCTAACTGTATTTCAAAAACAGTGGCACTGCAGCACCAGTACAGTAGATACAGATTCAGATTAGAAAAGTTAAGGTGAAAGGTAAAGGATCCTTGAGTAAAAGTAAAGGATTTGTGGGTAAAATCAAAGGATCCTTGGGTAAAAGTAAAGGATTTGTGGGTAAAATCAAAGGATCCTTGGGTAAAAGTAAATGATCCTCGAGTAAAAATTAAGGATCCTTGGGTAAAAATTAAGGATCTTTGAGTAAAAGTAATGGATCCTTGGGTAGAATTAAATGATACTTGAGTAAAAGTTAAAGTAAAAAAAAATATGGGTAAAATTAAAGGATACTTGAGTAAAAGTAAAGAAACCATGGGTAAAATTAAAGGATACTTGAGTGAAAGTAAAAATACCATGGGTAAAAGTAAAGAAACCATTGGTAAAATTAAAGGATACCTGAGTAAAAGTAAAGGATTCTTGGTTAATGTTAACTAAATAAAATTAAAGAATAATTGAGTAAAAGTAAAGAAACCATTGGTAAAAGTAAAGGATTCTTGGTTAATGTTAACTAAAGGGTAACAAAACTCGAACTGTTCTGATTGACACCAACTCAGCAATGCTAGAAAGAACTCACTGATATTATCTTAGTGTTTCAAAATCCACACGCTTTACTTACAGTCAAATTGTTTTTATAATTTACCCAGTGAGCTTCAGTAGTGAAAATAACACACAAGGAGATGATAGGAACAACAGCAGAACTTTGGTGCTAAAATAATAAACACTGTGGAGTTTACAGGATTTCTTTCAGTGTGTAATTGCAGTCAAATGTTTGACATGAAATAATGACTTTTCGTGGATTTCTACTTGCTTTGTTTCACAAAAGGTTATTTCAGGAGTTCATTTCAAATGTAAACATAAAGATTGAAATAAAAAGTTAATTTGCTGTCGGGGTCTTTGGTGGTGTTAACGATTGGTAACAAAAGATCAATCCCCTCCCTCTCAGTAGTTCACCCTTTTCATATATTGACACAAACAGCTCTATGAGACCTATTTGTCGAGTAAACTAAACTCATAGTTCATCTCTAATGGACCTTTCTGTCTTCATGCTTAGTCTCAATATCCCGTTTGAGTTATCCTTCAATCCACCGAATTACACCGTTAAAAACCTCAATGTCCGACTGAATGATAAAATACTGAAAATAACAGCATCAGTATTATCATGCTGTAAAAGAGGACCGACTATCAAACATTATTCAGAGACACAGCAGCGGCTCTTTATGTCCTGTTACACTTCAAATAATAAACTACAGACTCACTACCTGCATCCACACTACAAATATCACACAATATTTATACCAGCCCAGAGAGAACCGTATTAAACCCCGGAGAATCATTTAAAGGTCGATATTAACATACCTGTCCACTGTCCTGTACCTTCACGCCGTTAGCAACATCCTTCAGGGCGCAGACATCTTGGATTTGTGAGCGGCGGCCACTGTGCTGCTGTTTATCGGAGAGCTGCCCCCTGCTGGTGTGGGGGAACAACTGCGGATCCTGTGAGTGGAGGTTTGGCTCGTAGATGCTCCAGCGCAGAGCCGGCCCAAGCCTCAATGGGGCCCCAAGCAAAGTTGGTTTTAGGGCCCTCTATTTCAGCCAATGATACTGATTTTTGATCATTCACACACCTACTAGAGTATAGATTTAATATGCCTGACATTTCTTCACAGATTTAAGGAGGTGGCCTAGGTAATCGCAAAAATAATACCAATGCAACCATACAAATAACACCAATAAATGATTGATGAATGATGTTCAGGGTGCCACACATTGTTTTTAATCTCAAATTGTAACACATTCAGCTACAAGAGCGGCCTTGGGTTGATTTTCATAACATTCCAATTGATAAAGCATTGTGTTTACTGTAAAAGTGTCATCGGCAGTAAGAATCATAGGCCTACATCTGCAGCAGCACTAAAATGGTTTTACTTAATTTTATTTTTACAATAATATATATTTGATCATACAGAAAGCATCACTCATACATGCAAAAAATAAAACAAATTTTTTTTTCAATTGCTCTTGGGGGCCCCCTAACGGCCACTGGGGGCCCTAAGCAGGCCCTTAGTTTGCTTATGCCTTGGCCCGGCTCTGCTCCAGCGAAGGCAGCTATTCACTTTTTTTTTTTTTTTTAGCAATAAGGAGTGCTCACATGTTGTTCTTCTTCATGGTGGCCGAGAACCGCCACTGCTGCAAATAACATAAGAATGCAGAAAAAAAAGAAGTCACAACAGAAGAAACCGATTCAAAAAAAAAAAAGAAGAAGCCTACTGCAAATAAAAAAGAAACGATGGAGATGAAAAAAAAAAAAAAAATCAAACGGAAGTTATCGATGCAAAAAAATTGGCGATGGGGAAAAAAAAAGTTATTTACTGCGAAAATAAAAGGATGTAAATAAAAAAAGGCCACCCCTTCTGCTGTATTTCAAGAGTATTATCTGTTCAGGATCGTTGATGTGATTCAGGGAAAAATTTGTCTGCTTCAAAATCTATAAATTCAAGCAGCTCCATGTTATGATATTCTGTAGTCACCAGTGGAAAAGCTCCAACTATTTTTACTGACCTTGAGGTAGATTCGTTGAAACATTTGAACAAGTATGTAAACAGAGCTTTGGTTCTGAGGCTATTAAAGCCAGGACTGGACTGCCAGCTGCATGTTGATATCATGATGAATGCCTTGTGTTTTCATGTTGAGAGGTCATCACACTGATAGGGACGAATAAGCTTAACTAGTTTCCAATAAATTCAAGTGTTTGGTGAAGTGTGATGGTGTAACTTGGCTCTGGGGAACTTGTATTAACTCGTGTTGTTGGACTAAAAAATAATCGCCTCTGTGACCTGGACCAGAATAATCCTGCAATTAATTTTGTTACTCTCCCATAATCAAATAGCTTGAGCATCAGAAAATGCATTTCCATGTAGTCATGGAAACTTGGCCAAAGTTGATAAGTGAAAACTGAGCATCAAACATTTAAAAAAGATGTAGAAATATCATTTAATCACTAGCAAAGCTTATTCATTTAGATGCAAATGTATTACTAGCGTGATGCTTAATCAAAGCAACATTTTTAAGGGTCAGCATGAAACCAAAACATTTATTTGACTGAGGTGGCTGAATTATTTTTTAACATAGCTCTTCATACTTCCTTGGAGGATTAACTGGTTTTGCTTTCACTTAAATTTTGCTCCACAGCAGAAAAGTCTGCTTCTCTCAGCAACTTGTAATATATCTTACATTAACTGATATAATTTTGGGATTTATTAAACTCCAAACTAAAAGTTTAAAAGTTTATTAAAATATTTTATTTGAAACAAAAAAGTTATTTACATGAACACTATTTCAAGTTTCCTTAGATAGTGGTCCCATTCATTTTGATAGATGACAATAAGCATTTGTGAGACATTCAACTATATGCAACGTGTAATTATGTTAAAAAAAAAATACACGATGTTCACAATACATAAGTGCACAAAGTGACAGTAAATGTTAAAGAAAATTCAAATTCTTTTACAGTATAATGTGAAGGGTGAGGTTCAACTTTGAATGTCAATCTAACAACAAAAACTGTTTTAAAAAAAAAAACTGGCTCTCACAAAGCAGGATTCAGATTTTACATGAGGTTACACACAACAAACAATTCATCTTTAAAAAATACAAAAAGACTGTTCACAGTTTGCTTGAGGTAAAATTCCCAGAAAAAACTGTGACACTGATACAGACAATGTCACACGTGTTTTAAGGCATTTGAGGAGTTAAATAAATAATTGGATATTCTAAAATGTCAATATAAAAAATTCCATTAAAACACATTTAAAGGATTCACTAGTTAGTTGGTCACTTTCTGTAAGGCCGCAGCGCTCAGGTTTAGGGAATGCTCGTTGGGGAAAAATTCTTTCAACAGAAATGACAACAGCATCTGCAAATCCATAAAACATAAAACAAAACTGTTAAAGTTGTATCAAATGAGTTAAAAAGACAGTAAGTTGCTGATGAAATACTTACATAAACAAGTGTTTTATTGTTGTCACGTTCCTGGAACAGATTAAAAACGGCCTCCATGTCCGTCTTCTTTAGGACGAGATAGTTTGAATCTACAGAGGAATCAAAAAGACGTTTGAAAAAACTTCTCAAACTCTAAAAATTGAAATAGTACTGACTAGAGAAGTATCCCGTACATCTGGCGTTGATAAGGCTGTGTGCTCTGTCTCTCGTCTCATTCTTCTCTTCCTCTGTTCGGGGAGGAGAAGGTGCGGCTAATTGACAGTCCGGCCACTGTTTGTCCCGCAGAGTGTCAATGTAAGCGGCCATCTGCTGTTCTGTTGGGTTCATCTTGTCCAGAAAAGAGTTCACTTTTCTGAAGGAGAAGGAAAAAAAACCAACCACAAGTCATCAAAAAAACAAGGAAAGAGGCTGCTGAGAAAAAGATCAGTGATGATTTTAGTCAGAAACACTCACTTTTTTAAGATGGGCATGACAGGTTTTAAGATGGCATCAAATATGTTAATGAGGATGGAGTTTCCTGTTAGGATAGACAAGATGATTGAGTACATCTTTAACAACATTGTAAGAAACAACTGAATCAGCCAAATCTGTTAAAGATGTAGCAGGTATCGATCTAAAAGTACAAAAGACATCAAACCTGTCCATTTTTGAAAGAAATGCCACTTAGATACTTGAGTATGTACACCTACAACTTCAAAAGTGAAAAGTATTAAGATTAATCTGTTTGCAGTTTGAAACCAAAGCACTCAGAGCTAGCTCTTTGACAATAATAACCTTCTCTTTGATGTGATGTAAACTAGCGTAACAATACTGCATTTTTAGCAATTCCTGACTTTACTCCCTGCATGCTGTTATTGGCTAAGGGACCTCTAAAAACAGCAAACTAATAAAAGCTATGGGATGTTTTCTGTGATCCTGTTCTGCTAAACTGCTCACTCTTGTCCTCTCCTCCTCAAGGCGAGTTTGTTGGCTGTATTGATAAATTGACTCGACATGACTTGTTAGTGCTTGGCTAAATTGGCCCTATTAGAGGCCTTTAAATCAGTGTTAAAAATGTTGCTGAATAAAGATTTAATTAAAGTCCCATTACGCTTAATCTCAGTCCCTGTTTAAAATTTGAAATCCTTTAATAAATTCCAATTGAGCCATTAAGTTAAGATTGTGTTATTTTCTCTCATTGAGGCTTTTGGTGAAGGAGTGATTCATTTGGTTAACTGCACATACCCACACGCCCTTGCATCAGTATTTCAGATCATCTTTCCACAGAATAAGGCATTTACATAAACAAAAAAAGTGCATAGTAACTTGACTCTGTTCCTCATTCTTTGTTTCTTTTTGACACTCTATCCTGCTCCTTGTGTGCCAAATGACAAAACCGTAAGAATGCACCACCCAAAAGAGAAATCCAAACAGCCTGTTCTTTCGTTTTAAACACCACATCATGCTTAAAAAAAAAAGCAGACCAAACGCTCAAGGCAAATTATGAGCTTTGAGAAGTAAGTTTCATGTCTCCACTGGCTGAATTCGTCAGAAGAGTAAACAGAAGTAAAACAACAAACTGTCGAAACTTTTGTGGAAATTCATTCATCACTCTTAAGTGCCGCAGTGGGCTTAAAAAATGTTGGCAGTAATAGACAGCAGATTTTCCAGCTAACTCTTTGCTGTGTGCTAAAGCTCTGGCAGGATTCAGAGGTTTTTAAATGCCGTCAACAATCTCCCCCTTGAGTGTGAATGCTGAACAAACCAGAGATTTCTTTGAGCAGATCAAATATGGCTTTGGTTGCCTCCAGCTGCTCCCAGTTCACCAGGCTCTTCTGACACTGCAAGTCCTCCCCTCTTGGCGAAGTGCCCTGATCCTTCCCTTTGGCTTTGTTTCCTCCACTAGACACCTTGGAGCATATCTTCTCCTTTTTATTTGACTTCACACTGAAATGAAGCCACGACGGGCCATCTACACTGTCCCCTTGCAGACCTCCATTCTGGCTGCAGCGCGGTGTCAAGTCTGTATCAGGAGGGTCATCATCTCCATTTGATTTTGTTGAAACCAGAGACTCCTGTGACCTGGATCGGGTCAGTCCTTTAAAAATCATTTTGAAGTGAGAGGTAAAGGGGTTATCAGAGTCCTCAGCTTTGTCTTGGGAAGGACTTTCATTTGCAGGCTGGGGTTCATTTTCTGTTTTTGCCTCCTCAGGCGGCTCTGACGATGAATCAAACTGGGAGATCACGATAGTTGGGATCATAGAAGCAGGAGCACCATGGCTACTCCCAGCTGAGGCACCAAGGTTTTCTGAGGGCAGAGCTATGGGCTCTGGATGAGAGGTTGGTGTTGGGATTAATTTTGGAGCTTCTGTTTGAGGACTGGAGCTCTGCAAAAGAAAAAAAAAACGTCAGTATGTAGAAGATGACCCTGAGCTGCTGGAGAAACACAAAGACAAACACCAGGAGATTGTGGGAGTTTCTTCCCCAGTAAGTCCATTTTCAGGCTGCCCTTTAAAAGAGGAACTGTACATCATGTGAAAAGTATCTTTAGATGACTTAAATGATTGAAAAAGGGAACCCTGTTGATTAATTTGTGATGTTACCCTGAACATTTTATATTTTTTATAGTCTTTGGCATAAATAGGTCATGCGCAGTGTGACAGACATGGTATTCGAAGAGCGATTTGATCTAATCCAGGACTACTGGGTTATTGTTGTATTGTGGGAAATGTAGGACAAATGTTTTACAAAGCTTGACTGAAAGCTGACAGCTTGGGGTTATTTCCGTTCAAGATCTCCAGCTAAGATCTTGAAACTCTGACAAAGACCAACCAGCATTTAGGATAAAAAGCTAATCCCTTTACTTTTTGTCTCCTCATACCTTTTGTTTGACATTTTTTCTCTCTGGAGTCTCATACCAGCTAACATCTGATGCCATTCAACCACATTAAAAAAGGTTTGAAAACATAAAACCACTGATGTCAATAATAACTTTGGTTTAGGAAAACAGTGTGAGAGTTAAATTACTGATATGCCCACACAGTTTAATAACCACAAACACATGAAGCATGCAAAAAAATGAAATAAAAGCAGGAATCCAACAACACTCCGTCACATTTTGTAGCATGTTAGTCAGCTTGCTTTTGGCTGTTGAATCCCATAATCCAGTGTGCACTGGGAGATAAATCACATCGACAGGCAAGCTTAGCGAAAACATCGGCAACACAACTGTTTTTCATTTGAGAGCGTGGCACACACTTTGACTTCGAGGGTTTAAGTTCAAGGCACTTAGTTATGGCAGAGAAGTATTTCTTGAATGTTTGTATCATGCATGTTAAGTATGTTCATGTTCGTGCAGCAGCAGTGCAGTGAAAAGAAGAAAGGATGTAATAAAGAGTGCAGAGTGGAAGTGTGCAAAACCTCAAAAAGTAGGCCAAAGTTCGACAGGGGTCCGTAAACTGTTGTGGGTTTATAAATGTGACATTTTCTTTTGTACATTAACCACAGTTGTCTCGCAAATATAAATTTCTGCTAATAGATGCTTTTCCCCTCAGATGTTTGGAGGATGTGGTGAGGATGTCACAATTCAGAAACAACGATAGAAGTTGTCAACTTAACAAAAAGCAGATGTGTTATACTTCACCTCTTCTTCTTCCTGACCCGGAGTCAGGAAGTAAGCCAAGCCACTGAGGAGGCCCCACACGCCTCCATAATGTTCCTCCTCATTCAGCAGTTTGTCAAGAGGACAAAGAAACTGAAAAACTGGCTGAGTGTGACCGATCAGACTATCCGATACTAGTTCCTGAAAAAGAAACACATTTTTTAACAGTTTTGAGATTGTCAAGAGTTTCTGTCAACACTTTGGTATTTTCACGTAGGTCACCTGCAGGAAATGCTCCACTGAGAGTTGCGCTTCTTCTTTAATCGCATCATTGACCTCAAACGGCCCCAACACTCGGATGGATGGAAGTCTGGTGGCATCCTGGTCCAAAAAGGGGATTAAAAGGTATAAAGACATGTTTATGTAGGACAGCATAAAGACTTAGCAGCACTTGATCCCATAGGACTGCAGTCATAGTTTGTGGTTCACCTAAGTTGAATCTTAGACTTGAGAGACAAACACAGCGGTTTGTTTTCACAACAATGTTTCCCTCATCCATCAGATTCATGCTGAACAGACTGTAAGCACAACAGCTCACTGGTGTCGAAACACAATTCCCAGGCAAACAGATGACCTTTTTAAGCGAGCAGTTCAGCTGTATGAGTCTTCAACCAGCATTTCAAGAAAGAAGCTTTTGGGTACCTTCTGTTTCTTCTGCCTCAAGTGCAAATGTTTTGGGTTTTTTTTGGATCACAAAGATGTAATGTTGATTCATTTCAAGATGTAATACCCTCAAAATCTGTTTAAATTTAGATAAACAAATACGTTGCTTTGCGATTGGCTCTCAATGAGATTTGATTTGAAGTCTACACTCATTGACCTCACTGAAAAGTATGTTTAAGTATTTGAGAAAATTAAAAACAAAAAGGATATAGTTGTACACTTTACTATAATAATAACAAGGATGTTAATATATCCTGAAATTATCTCCCTTGTGTATTGACTTAGACTTGAAATGAATCATTTAAATATTTTAAAATCATGAGAAACTCGGTATGTTTCACAAATGAAGACCAGTTAGGTTAAAGCTGCTAACAGAAAGCTGATTTTTAAAAAGCACGCCTTAACGGGTACAAAATTATTATTCCACTTTCTAAAAATAGTTTAATGAATACCAAGGGGATTTTTTTCAGTCTGCAGAGAGCCCTCTCTTAGATGCTAAATATTGCATTTGGAAAATGTGGAGGAAAACATCTGGTCTTCAGCTCGGGCCAGTTTTACTTGCAGAGTAAGGTCTTGAGATTTAGTAGCTCATTGATTATTAACACTCTGATACAGTATGGACTTTGTGCTGTGCACCTGGTTAGGCTTGGCGATAGATATTCCTCAGAGGATACTCTGTGATGCTCTGGAGGTGAAGTGTTTTCAATAATCTTATTTAATGCTTATTATCCATTGTTATGTATGGCTGTTAGTGTCTTTGTCATGTAGGTGTTTCTCCAACACTCTTGGTGCAAAACAGATTCTAGCTGGAGGCAATAAAAGTTTCATTCATTCATGAGGTAATTCTAGACTGAATAAAGTTTTGGGCAACAATCCCCTCGGTAATCTTACTTTTATAAAAGGCTGTACGACTGATCTTTATTTGAACAGTTTTTAAAGGTGTTTTGGTGGCTAGAGCTTCTGGTCAAATTTACCAATAATGTATAATGCAAAAGGTTTTTCTTTCATGTACCCTGACTGGAATAAGTGGAGTAAGAAAATAACAAAACACCACTGCCACACAAAACAAGACCACATAATTCAGCTCCCAAAGGTAATCAACATCTGTCTCATGCTTTTTAATTAAACAGAGAGAACATTTTTTCCCCTCTTCTTTTTTTTTTTTTTTACCTGCCATCTGTTGCGAAAGTAGATCACATCCATGTAGGTCTTCTTGATGTCCCACTGCAGGTTCTCAGGACTGTCCTTCTCTTCCAGGTGAACGGTGAAGGTCAGCTCCTCCCCCTCCCAGTACGCCTGCAACACAGTTCACTCCAGCTCAAACTTCCCACTCAAACATTAACATACCATCCAAGGACAAGCTTTTACAGAGCTTCTCGGACAGATAACAACCCTCTGGTACATTCCACTCTCTTCTGTTGCTTATAACTCACATGAGGGATGCTGACAGCCCAGCGGCCCACGCGCCACATCTCATATGACAGCTTGAATTCCATCATGTCCTCCTGTACGCTTGTCAGGTAGTCCTCAAGATCACTGTCCTCCTAAAAAAGCAGCAATGAAGCCGTCATCTTTCACCACATGTCCTCTTCGGTGAATTGTGTTTACACACACACAGACTCACCCTGTCAGACTCCTGACTGTAGACGGAGCCCTCTCTGCTGCTGACTTCATCATCATTAGACACATCACCCTGGATGGCCATGATCCTCATCACCAGCTCCTGCTCCATCTTCTTCATCTTCTTCTTCTTTGCCTTCTTGGACTTCATCTTGTCCACAAATTTTGACCATCCTTCCTTTAGCTTGTTGCCTGAAAATGACATGACACAAATATCCAAATGCGAGTACATGTGTTCATTGTTTTACCTTTTTATTTTGCACCCATTTTTATACTGTGAACATCATTGCGCCAAAGACACACTATTTTGAATATTCTTTGTGTGACATAATGATATACAGATTTTACATCAGAAAAATGCTCCAGCGTATGCAAGCACAATACAACCTGCCATATGGAGTCTCAGCTCCCTTCTGCGTCAATTTAATAATTGATTTATTTTTTTCTATTTAAAGACATCAGCATCAAATAAACACTGTGAAAGTTGCTTTTATCAAATGTTATTCTCTGCAAAACAAAACAAAAGACTCATCGATTGTAATAAAACCACAAGAAAATCTGTTTCTCTGTCAGGCCAAGTCGATGTGTAACTTACCGTGAAACCAAGACTAACCGGTAACAGACAAATAGACCAGAGGATGTACTTAACCAAGACAGAATAAGGGCTGGTTTTGACAGCATTCAGAGGGGCGAATTTGCTTTATCTGAACACTCAGTCACGTCTGGAGTTGTTATTTACGCTGTAAACAATGCAGCACAGCATTAGAAAGCACTAGAAGGAGTTTGATGCTCCTGAGGCATATTCTTAATCAAATGATCGGACTGTGATTTAAATGGAAATACATTCATCTTTAGCTTTGATCTTAAAATTCAAAGACTGTATAAAAACATGGATGGTACAAATGGCCATCTTGAGTGGACGTCATAAACCTTGAAGAACCCCTTAGTGGCTGATTGCAGTGGCCTATTTCCTCCATTAAAACAGAAAGAACATGGGTCGAACTAGAAAAGTGAATTGTATGTCCCAAAATATGCTTTCTGTTGTTGGAGTTTAGTTTGAGGTCAGACCCATAATTCTGCCAGCCAAATCGCTTCGGTACATGCTTTGACTCTACCAGTGCAACATGTATATTTTAGCCTCACATCCCACATTAAGGTCTCACTCCGACCCTTTTTGTTTTACCATCTAAAGTGTTCTCAAAGGTCTTTGAATTGTGATTATGTGGTTTTTAGCCAAAATCACATCACCTGTGTCATTTTCAAAGGCTTTTCATCTTCAGAGCTCGAGTAGCTCATTAGTAGTTCTCCTCTGAGTTATGGGCAGAGACAGTGAAAAATGTACATTCAACCATTTAAATAGAAAAATAACAGTATTATTACAAACCTACATTTGTTCCTGATAAAACAGTGATGGGGCCATTGAAGGGAATTTACACATCACATTACAGGATCCATTATCATTGCATAATCAAGGCCTATTCACTCATCAATTCTGCGCAGTTAAAGTGGTTGTAATTAAAGAGATAAGAGCCGTCAGAAGGCAGCCTTTGGCATTCAGCTTTGTATTCGTATAATTAGCTGTCTTAACAAACATAATAGAAACAGGGAATTAATCATGATCTGAAGGTAGGACTGGTAGAGGAAATCATTATGTCAGACAGCCGTAAACAGATCGCTATTCATTAAACTGTTGAACAAGTTGTTATGCAAGTAAAGGCTTTTATTCTCCGACATCTGCAAACTCGTATCTGTTTCTCAAGGATTGATCCAACTCATTTAAAATGTTTCAACACCAAAAATCTTTTTAAAAGATGAACAGTTATGTTTAACATTTACTGATCTTACAGGTGAAAGTGTCCCAGAGCTTTGGACTGATTGAATTTTTTAATTACAGAAAACACACCTTTTCTCTTGGCCTTGATTCTGGCACTGGTTGAAATCCCTGCACCCTCCAAACTCCTAAAAAATATAAATAAAAAATAAGTGAAAACAAGGCCACCGCCAATTTAAAACACAGATGGTGGCTCTTACATGGTCGTTGCCTTAAGGCTCAGTCTGACCAGGCCAGACTAGCCTTGTGCAATAGATGACAGGCACTTACACTTCACTGCCCTCTCCTTCACCCTCCTGTGAAGCCAGAGAAGTCTGATCTGGGTCTGATCCACACAGCTCTTCCACAGAGCCTTTGGGAGTTGAGCTGTCGAGCTGGCTCACCACCAGCTGGTTCAGGTTGTCGGGGTCGGACAGCCACATCACCAATAGACCAAATCCTGTTGAAACAAAACAGCTAACACTTTCAACCCGCTGAGTGTGTTTTTTACGCAAATACACACTAAAGGGACTGACGGTTTTACATTATGACTCATCTTCATACACCTACAGTCAGCTTTAATTTCCAAAATGTACAGTTTCAAACAGGGAGAATTAAACATCTTCTACGTTAAGTTAATTAGCTCTCCTGATATGATTTAGCAGCAGCTGCTGTTTGGTCGAACCAATAATTAAGTCTGCAACAGCTTACTTAAATCTGCAACAAAGAAACCAAATCCACCCACCAGGACCTTAAACGCACTCTAATTAACAAACTGTTAAAACTGCACCAGGAAAATAAAATATTTCCCACGATTTTCTATCTATTTTTGAGAGAAAATGTGAGGTACACATCTGTCTAAATGGTAAGAATATAAGCAATAAATACTAAGAAGTAGCAGACGGCTTTAAAAATACAAAGATGAGACCTCTGGTTTACTTTGTGTCCCGCTCACTGTAAAAGAAAGTTTCCCTTACATATTGACCTTGGAATTCACCTCTTATACTTTGAGTAGACAACAGCAGACAGTAGAGATAGATTGATTAATCAGTCAAATTAATGGCATTTTGACAAATTCACATCACATCGGCACTGGCTCTCACAAGGCTGATATCCCCATTATTTTGTGTGCATGACATGTAAATACATTTTTTTCCATCCCTGTTGATTGTATATTAAATCTAAAACATTGACTGGCTGGTGTTTTCGTCTAAATTCTGTTATGGTGTAAAGAATAAAGCTTTTGAGTACTGATAGAAATATTTGCCTTACTCTGAAAACTATGGCATAACCTCATTTATGTATTTGCCATTTTCATTCATTCATTAAATATCCAGCGAAAACCTGCTACTTGCTAAGATAACCATATATATCAGATTGTAATGTGGATGGAATAATGAATCTAAACATGACTTGCTTCTTTCTTTTTCTGAGTAACTTCAGATAGCTGGACAGAAATCCAAAACTCCCTTCAGGCGATATTTTACTGAGCCAAACATTTCGTCATCTGCACTTACTTAATCAAACGTTCACTTCAAGTTCAGCTCTTTCTTATTAAAAAGGATTTTCAAATTGATGTATTTTGTCAAATGCGAAACAACAACAAGATATCTGTATTATATATCTGTCAGTGGTCAGTCTGCTCTCTCATTATCAGTGTCAACTTTGGCTATTAAAAAACTGTTGACCACTCGAAAAAAGGGTGAAAATGATTTTCAAAAAAGTCAAATAACTGTTCATTAATAAGGAAAACAAAGATATGAATAATAAACTACATGAAAAAATATCAGGATTATTATTGTAACTCCACAGCAGAGCTCTGAGTAATGAACCAACTGTTGAAAATCTGAAATGATCCGCTCCTAGCTGCCAAGATTAAGAGAAATCTGGGCATGCATATCATTATTTAACCACAGCTGCTCGAATCACTTATTGTAACAGGGCCGAAGCATAATTGCAAAAACCTCCTGCTCAGCAAGATGAGACATTTTATCCGTTACAAAAAATAAACACATAACCCTAATGGGAAACAGCTAATCAGCGTGGAAAGCGCCTGCTTTTTTATAACCAGGAAAATCACGTCTTAAGCTCTATAATGCCACTGACAATAAAGGATAACATACGATTCAGGTTTGAGAAAAGGCAGTCCTGAGAGGCTTAGCACTTATGTAAGGCTCTATTTCTGCATAATAAGAGAGAATTTACAGCTTCCTTACCCTTTATGGCAATGATCTCATTTAAGGCACAGCGGTTGACTTCTTGGCCCCAGAGAGATTTTGGGAAAAGGTTACGTACCAGGGCATCAGAGAACTCTCGCAGGACTGCAATCTCATCTGCTCTGGATGTGAACAAAAGCTCTCTGAAACAAACAGGAAAATGTTCAACATCAGATCAAAGATGTTTATCACACCGGATTTTTGATAGTTGAAGCATCTAAATCTGTAATATGATGGGATTAACAACATGTGACAAGATCTAGTAGAGTAAAAATCCTCATGATGTCATCTGAGGTACTTTTTATTTTATTAAAGTGAGGTGAATTATTAATAGGTGGTAAAAAGAATATGGGGGACTTTATTGAGTTAAGATACATCATTGAGTACAAAGAGTAACTGAGGCAGCAAGACTTCTCATTAAACGAGGAAAAGGGGTAAAGTCTCACCTCTCAGTCTGCCGAGCATTATGCAAGTGCTGGGTCAGAATCCGAATGGAGCCCACCACCGCCTGGCAAACATCAAAGTCTTTGGCTTTCTCAATGATCCGGTCGATTACAAAGTCAACCTCCCTGCTGAGTACCTGGTGGAGAGGCTGGCACTCAGGCGGCTCGGGAACGCTGTACCACGGCAGGACCAGCTGAGCGTAGGCGCACTCAAACACTGAGGAGAGGAGACACAAAGGAAATTCGTATTAACACCAATCTCCCACGCTCACAGATCCTCCTCAACTTCAAACTAGAGGGGTGCAGCGAATTTAAAGCATTTTTGACAAAGTCCTGTACAATTTTGTCATTTTAAAACTCAGTACAAATACCTGTGACGGGATTTTACTCTGAACACAAGGGTTTATTCACAGGTAAACACAGTGGATATGTTGTATTTTGGAGAACAGGACATCATTTATCCATCAGGTAGAATGAGATACAAGTATTTTTTTACTGCCCTTTTTTTTGTATGAAAGAGAGTTATTTATACTCTGGTTAGACTTAATAGAACTGTCAGAAAAACATGCTGAAATGTAATTACGCCACTTGTCATAGGCTACAGAGGCTCAAGGTGAACGTGCATCCAAAACAAACTGTTTTATTCTCCATTTTTCTGTGACAAAATGTGTTTATTTCAGCTGTTTTCTGCAGATTTTAACTAAATATCTAATGATTCACAAACTCAAACCCAAAATCAAATTAGGCTACACCATAGACTGTATTTACTATGGACAACTTGGTTCCGCCTTCCGCCAGTATACGGATTTGAAGCTGAAAAGCTCTCAGTATTTCCGTGATTTTTCTCCACTTCCTGAAACAAACATTGCACAGTAGCGTTGTACGCATTCGGCGGGGGAGTCGCCAAGAGTCACTGTGATGATGCTCGGCTCAAACAGCGTATTCCCTGGGTGAGCTACGCAACCTTCGTACGCCCATAGGCTGCATCAAGTGTCAATCATAGAAAACAGGAACCCCCTAATAACTTTTAAAAATGGAGCTGTACAGAAAAAAAGAGGACTTGAGCACAAACCAGTCTTACAGTAACTACATATCAATGTCGCTAACAGGGAGGGAAAAATTATATCCTGTGTAGTAAATTTCTTAACTTTGTCCACAGCCCCATAAGCTTTGCTGGAGGAGGTGGGATTTATGACCTATACTGCAGCCTGTCACCAGGGTGTCCTGGTCTCGGAGTGGCTCCACCCAGCGAGGAGGCAGACGGCGTCCAATCTATGGGCTACACTAACTTGAAGAATGTCAGAAATGGCAGTTTTGTTTTTAAGATCACTGGGAAATTATCTTGATATTATGAGAAAATAAGGTTTATTAGAAGAAAAAAGTTTGTGATTCCTGCGAGATGGATTGACTTAAAATGATCTATTAATCAGTTGTGTTCTTCTGAACATAACACTATCATTTTCTTGAGAGAGCAACATAAATAATTCAAGTTCTTACAACTTCCTGGGAGAAAATTGCTCACAAATTGTGCGTGTTTTAAGAGCCTGCACCATGTTTGCCATGTTTTAGAGCTGCTGGCTGCTTTGTACTGAATTAAATTAACAAAAGTGAGAAGTTAGACTTAGATCTGAGTTTGTCCGGAAAAAATGACACTGTGCATGTGGTGTGAAAGACAGTTTAAAAAGTGTGAAACAAGAAAAAGAAGCCACAGATGACTTGTAGCTCATGCATTTGAATACCACAGTTATTTTTAGGGCTGACAAGCGAAGCATTTCAGGGCCAAGAAGCTTATTTGTCATTTTTCAAAGTTACAGTTCCTCAATGCTTTTAAAGGCCTGATTTTAAACATTAAAATCGAGAAATGCACTAACATAATTTATGGGCTCTTGACTCCTCTGATCGCACTGTGAGATATTTAAACCAGACCCTACTTCCTGTTGAACACATGACAGTCATCGATCTTTTAGAGAGGGTGTGTTTTTCATCTCTTTCTTTCATGCCCCTCCTCACTTCATGTAACATGAGCTCCGGTTCCAGCTGTGTCTATGAAAAACTGTCCTTTTCAACTGTGTCAAGTCAAAACAGAGCTGGTTTGCAAAGAAAACACCCTTCAGCAAAGAGCAGAATCTTGATTTTTGACAATGGATTGAAACATCTGCAAACAGTGAGTCCACCTTGCGTAGACAACCATGTGTACACCACTTAGAAGCACATTAAATGTTAAAAACAAGCCTCACCCTGTTGTAAAGACCTCTTTACATGTGGATACTCAGACTCTGCTGATTCAGCATGCTGCTCATTGCCTTCTCCATCGATCAAATCAGCAAACAGCTCTCCGTCTCCATCCCCCTGGAAAATAATAACAACAAAGGAGTTGATATCAGTGTAAAAGTAAAGAGAAATAGTTAAAAATCCAACAGGCTGCTGAACTTGTGGCCCCTGTGAGCTATGTGAGGAATCAAAACAAGTTTTCCAGGCCTGAGGCTATGAGTTATAATGCTTAGTTTTTCACTTTTAAGTCACCTCACAGACAGAGTGTAAGTAAAACAAGACAAACAAGAGTACCAGTTTATAATTAGTTTAAATCAATGCTCCCACAAATCTAATGTTGGTTTTAACTAATTAACGTTTACACTGGTGGACATCTTAAATGCATTATAATTACACTCAATGAAGGATGGCTCAGTGTTGATAATGAAACTGTACCCGTAGTAGCGACTCTTTCCTGGAGTTACAGACAAACCTGCAGTGCAATAGGTTACTTCAGTTTATTTTGATACCTGCGGTGAGTTTTCCTCGGTCTCTTCATCAGTCTGAGTGCTGCTCTCTCGCCCTATGCTCCCAGATAAAAGCGGAGTGGTGAAACAAAAGACGAAGCAGAGAAAGTACTGAGTTACTGTGCGACCACAGTCTGAAAAATACCACACCAAGCCCAGCGTTATGGCGATGGAGAGGCGCCATAGATACATTTTCCTCTATTCTCACAGCAACGCGCTCTTGTTGTTGATCGTATCTCTCGCTTTGAGACGATACGTGTAGTTTATTTCTCGAGCAGGCTGCCAGTTCCACATCTTTGGCTCCGAAAAACACGGCAACGCGGTTTCCCCCGAAACGAGAAGAGAAACGGCGGAGAAGAGAAAAGCGAACTTTATTGAGCCTGTCAAATGGGAGCTGTGATTGGCTGCAGGGAGTCCGCGCGAGCCTGCTGCTGATTGTGACACGAGGCCATCTACAGGTGACAGCTTTACCTGACAGGATAGATCTATCTGTCGACACAGTTCAGTAAAACTACCGAAGAAGAAGAAGAAGAAGAAGAAGAAGAAGAAGAAGAAGAAGAAAGTGTTTCAAGAATTCCCTTTAAGCGTCGCATGAAAACATAGTAAACAATCCTTAGATTAATAGCCTATTTAAAGTAAGTAATAGCCCATTAACGTTTATATTTAAAAGATTTAGCTGAAAACTAGCATCAATTGGTGTCAAATGAAGAACAGTGATTGCACAGATTTACCTTTGAAATCTTGAAGAGTTTAAAGACAGATAAAAATGTTCAGGTTCAATAAAGCTGTATTCAACCAGAGTACTTGAGTAGGTCTACACACAGTCAGTGATTTTTACCATTGTTAGTTACAAAAGGGAACTTTTCTTTTTCCAGTACCTGACCCACTTTACATACAAGGCAGGGTATCAGGTTACAACTACAATCATATATACATCCCCATTTCCATGAGAGTTGGAAGAGGAAGATGTTTCAAATACTTATAAAACCTAAATTTGATGGTTTGTAAATCATTACAGGTTATATTGATTGAAAATTGTACAAAGACAACAAATCAAATGTTTAAACTTCTTTTTTTTTTGGAAATACATTCTGAAAAATACATAAGTTTAATGCAGCAACATATTTCAAATGTGAAATGAATACAAATGTGTTGCACTACCTCTTCTTTTAATAACAATCTGTTAACATTCAGGAACCAAGGGAACCAGTTTCTCGAGTTTTGAAAGTGTATGTTGTTCCATGGACTCGAGCTGCTCATATCTCATTTCTCTGATGTTTTGTGTCATGATGCGCCTCATGTTTCCAACAGGTTACTCGTCAGGACTGCAGGAACGCTGGTCTTGCACAAATTCATAATACAGAGCCAGGCTGTTGTAGTATGTGCAAAATATAGTTTTGCATCTTTTTGCTGTATACTGCAAGGTCTCCCCTGAAAAAGGTGTTGTCTAGATACTCTAAAAATTGAATGTATCATTCAGCATAGATGTTGCCTTCCAGATTTGTAAACTGAGCATGCTACAGGAATTAATACGTAGCCTGCATTCTCATACCATCACGGGTGCTGGATTTTGTTATGTGTGCTGACAACAAGCCCTCTCCTGCCTTGTTTTTTTAGGGCAGCGGGTGCAGCATCCATGATTTCACCAAGAATGTGAATTTTTTATTTGACTGAAAAGTTTTCCACTTTGTCTCACTCTATCTTCATCGAGCATAGGCTGAAAGTAGTAGCCATCTTTTCTGGATCATGTTTATACTTGATTTCCTCTTTGCATGGTACAGTTTTAATACTACATGTGTTAAGGCAATGAAAAACTCTGTTCATACACAGTGGTTTTTGGATGTGATTTTGAATATAAGCAGGGACTTCTACTGCAGAGTCATGTCTGTTTTTAATGTAGTGCTGACTGTGGACCATGGCCATCCAGTAACAGTATCAGTTATCAGCCTTGTCCCTTTTAAAGAGAAATTGTACAAAATTCTCTGAGTCCTTGAATGGTATGATGTACTCTAACTGGTGAAATCCTCAAATCATTTACAAACTAACTTGGTGACTTTATCCTGGAATTACTGGTGTGCTGGTGTGTATGAAAGTGAAAAGTCTTGGAAATACAATATCCCAAGGTTCACACCTGGTTCTTTTTGGCAAAAGAACACTGACATTTGCATATAATAAGATTTATTTTGGTGTAAAAACTGCAATATAAGTGCAATATCACAAACAGAAACAACAACAAAAAGAACAAGACTGAACCAAAAGACATTATGTTGTCTTGTTGCCACACTTTACAATCAGTTTAGCTGAGTTTACGGCAACTATAAAAGAAATTTATCAAATGTGGTTTCAGTAGATTTTGGCATTTTGATAGGCTGATCTAAATTTGAGGCCTTGCAGAAGCATTTTATGTAGTTTGGAGAGTTAAATGTTTTAATTGTGAAGAAAAATGATCACTACAATAATAATCATTCAAATGCAAAGACTAAGGTAGACTGTTTTAGTTGAGCCCAAGTGAATACGTGGCGTTGGGAGAGTCATTCAGAATTGAGCCAAGGCAGCTGAATGATAGTATTAACTATGATGACAACTGAAATAAAAATGACAAAAATAATATTGGAAAAGATTATGAAGCCTGTAGTTACTGCACTTCATTAGGAGCTGTCTGCTCCTGGTATAGTTTTTATTGTCAGATTGAATTATTCAGTAAGAGCCATCATAATATTTATTAGAGGGCAGATAATCATTGGATAAACAAACAACTTAATTAAACCCAAAGATAAAGTGTGTTGGCCTTGTTGTAATGACTTTGGCAAAGACTTCCTTTTGACTCACACAAAGTCTAACAAGGATGCAACAAAAACAGCTGATTCAAATCAAAATGTTGTTTTCTTTTCACACCAAGAAAATATCTGGACTCCACATGATGTCAGTTTGACTTCATTAATATAAGGTAGCAATAGCCAAAACACACCACAAGGTGGCACTTACATAGCACATGAAACGTTAAAGCGCAGCGTCCAAACAGCTCAATATTTATACAAGAAACATGATGAACCCATCAGATGAGCCTAAAAAGTAGGTCTGACCATCCAGGGCAGTGAAGACAGCCTACTTTAGAACTAGTTTGAAAATTTTCCCACTATTGCCTTAAAAACAAAATGTTTGATAAGATTGTCTTAAATAATTTTCCGCTTTTAAAGAAAATGAAAAAAGGGCGATATAATTCCAGTCAAAGGGCCCAGACAAATAAGACCAAAACTGATGTTGATATTGATTGTAAGATTTCTCTCTCATTTAATTTTTCAAACAGAAAAAAATCTTGGACCATAAGGGGTGGCCTTTGGAAACATTCATCTTCTCCTTATTGATAATAACTGTCCAGCCTTTAAGAGTATTTTTCACTGTTAACCCAAAAGTATGTTACATGTCAAAATATGATGCAGTTGTTGTGTGATGAGTTAAAAAGTATGATTTGAAATCAGTGATACAGTCAAAAACATTATAAATACATTAAATACTGGTTGAAACCCATCAGTTCTTTGTAAACAATTGTTAACATGCTTTATAACTTAGAACAACCAAAAAGATACAAATTTCATATAAATTAATTATCTTTTTATTGTTTTATGTAAACTACAATATAATTTATATTTTAGTCAGGGTGACTAATTTGGCTGTGTTAACTGGCTCACATGTCAAGACAGGAGAAGTTAAGGTAACTTGTGAGTAAGTTGGAGGCAAGTTCAGCAGAGAATATCAGGCAGTCTATTATATCTCCCTTTACAAAGTATGCCAAAGTTTAAATTATTCACTGTTCATAAGAATGTATATGACTGCAGTCACTGCTGGAGAAATATCACACTGTCTCTTCCTTTCATAGTTGTTATTGAGCTGCATCTACCTTAGCTGTGGTACTGGAGCAAAATGTGATAGCTTGTCATTGGCCCCTGAATTCTTTGTGATTTTTATCCATCCTGCAATATAAACTGATACACTGGAGAATGAAATTAATAGTCCTGTTAGATATCACATTATTAACTAAATCATCGTAAAATTTGTGTGTGCCATCAACAAATATGCAAATGAAGAGATTTATAAAATAAACTGTAACAAAAACTATCAAATTAATTCATGCAAATATTAAATGGGACTTTTAGTAAGAAAAAAAAGAAATCCTCCAGTTTGGACTTCAGATTAATCCTCTTAACTAGTAAGGAGTTTAATGGGATTGCTGGTGTAGTAATAGAACCATCGCAGCGTCAGCCCACACGGTGTAACCCACAGAAATTATCCACGGTAGGCTTCTGCCTTTTAACTGCATCTCTTATTTAAGCGGCATCTTGCTGTGTGTTTTTCATAAGCGGAAAAAACTCAGGTCACAACCCCAAGCTGTGACGTAACAAAGTCTAACAGCTGAGATTACGTAACAGGCTGCCTGACAGCAAGCTGATGGTGACCCAGTGTGAGTGGAAGGAGGCCTCAGGGATGCTCCGTGTGGAAAGTGTCTAGCTCCTGTTTAAGAGTAAATTCAGCACTGTTGGCACTCACTGCGGTGCTGTACTTGAGTACAAAACAGAGGTTCTTGCATACATTCTCACTTTTATACTATTTCATTTTCCTGTGTGAACTTAACCTTTCTTTTACGATTAAGAATTTTTCCAACTCTCAGCCTTAGCACCTTAACCTTGAACACAAAGGAGTTTCAGCAGGTGTTTCAATTTGCAGCATTGTGACGCATGATGTCCAATTTTCAGCATACAACTAAAATATTTTGTCAAATTTATTCATATATATTAACCTTATTGATTTGAATACACATATCTGACTTGACCTAAATTTGTGAGATATCCAAAAGATGTTTTCAAGAATCACCAGTCAGGAAACAAAATGCTTGAGCACATTTAGCCTTATTGCAGCTTATCAAAGTAAATGAAGTTTTGAATGCAGAAAATCATCGATTGAACTCGTCTGACTCCTTACCCAGATTTGACCTGAAGAAGACACTGCATATCTAAAGCCACACACACAGACACACAGACAGACAGTGTGTAAGTGGCTTGGATCCCTGTTGCCTCTAATTCACTAATCCCTGTTAAAAGTTGTAATGGAGCGGCTGAAGAAGAGATCACTACCTGCTGAGAAGGGCTTTTTGTGGAGAGTTTGGTCAACATAGAATTAGGATGTGATTTGCAGGGGTCGCAGCATGTCCAAGACTTTTTAAATCACAGAAAAAGGTTTAAGTCTGCTGAGTAAATTGTGTCGTCTGATAGCGTTACTAAAACGAGGTTACTTCCTGCTTTCAAGATCAGTCTGGTTTCACTGTCCAAGACACAGTGTGTCTATTTACCAAGTGATCAGTTCACTAGATGACCCCATTACTCTCGATGCAAGAGATGTCGCTTTCTATGACTGGTTAATTTTTTTAGGATTTTGGCTTAGGCTAATGTTTCGGCTGCTCTGTAGTTATTGTGAACAGATCACATGACTCCCACACCACACAGAAGACATCTTCAGTGACAGAATTCAACTTCTAATGAACTACGAGGTTCAATAATGGTTCAAAGAATCACTAATATTTCAGATTCACATAAACTGTCTGCATAGACTCCAATTATGAGGCCCCACTTTCAATAAAAGCAATTACAGCTGCAGTAACTTAACACTCTTAGAGGATCTCTAAAGCTCACGGCAGACAGTGACTCCTTTTGTATCAGACCGTGAGTCAAACAGCCTCTTAATTGAAACAGGGGCTTAATTTCTTTTATCCTGAAATGGATTGGTAATGTTCTCAGAAAGCTGAAGTGCTATAATTAGTCAACGAAAATGGCTAAAGACTGATCAAAGCTACCAAGTGGCCCCATGACCTCAGAGCAAGAAAGTAAAAGTGACAGTGTAATGTTTGGATATCGAATCAGCGGTCACATAGTTTAAAAGTACACACTTTTAGACAATTAAAAGGGTAAATACTCAAAGTGGTGATCTTTTTTGACATACTGGCAGCACTAAGACAAAGACTTCATCCAGTATCACACAGTACATGACATAATGTGTTTGGAAACTCAAAAGGAGCACATTGTGTTCTGTCCTACAACCATGTGCTTCCCACAGCTGACAAGATCATGTTTCAGGGGGAATTTAATGAGTGACACCACTTAAAATACACATCAGCGAAAGCTTGAAACAGAACTATGGACTCGCCACGGTGCCTTGAGCTTCTTAGTCGTGGAAGACCACACAAATGTGTCTCTTTTTCACTAATTTATTTGGCAAAAACTCAGAGATCACTTGACTATGATAGTAAATAACTACAACAGGTGTGTCTGTCACATAAGCTCAAGGTTAATGTCCTCAGTCACACCAGCTGGAGTCACAAGAGGCTTGGCAGGAGATGAAAGTATATTTAGAAGTTTGGATTAATCCACCTCGAGACAGGTTAGAGAGACACTCGTGCAACTGAGCTATCAATATATGTTGTTAAAGTGTCTGAAGCTTCCTCCAGATCACTTTTCTACGAGCATGCCTGACTCAAATACTGTCACCAGGTCAACTTTCTCAGCTGATTTTGGCTCCACCCCAACTACAACCTGACAGACCCTCTGCAGCTCTAAGCTTTCACTTCACACAAGAGGCTGCCAAGCGGCTTCAGCAAGACCGAGGACACGAGCTGCAGAGACACACTGTTGCACCGTGACCGCTAGATGCCCTTTGAGTACGCCATTACATTTCAAAACCAGACAGAGGATTCAATCAGTATAGTTTGAGTTTATTTTTCCTGTTAGGTTCCTGTGTTACAGGGATTTACATTCTGGTGAGCAGCGGAACAAAAAAGAGAGAAAGCATGGGCCAGGAGCAGAGTGCATGTCAGATTCCCCCGTTACAACTAGTAGAAAGTACTAGCTGGTCCCTATAAATATAACGCAGCATCTTAAGTCCTTCCAAAATGTATAAGATATGTTACAGTTAAACGTCACAACATGAACAGTGGACATACAAAAACAACTTAGATGACTTTCTTAAGCTCATCATACAAGACAAGCACAAAGGCGCCACCCATGCCTCTGAGCACATTAGACCACGCCCCCTTGAAGAAGGCCTTGGAGCCCTCATCACGGGCAATCTTCCTCCAGCAGTCGATGGTGCCGGTGTACATGATGTCGGCTGAGAGGGGAAAAAAAGGTAAAAAAATACATCACACCCTTATGATAATAAATAATCAGCAGAACATTGAGAGTTTTGTTTTGATGAACTGCATATATTACCTCCTTTGCGTCCAGACTGCATCATCATACGACGACGGACAGTGTCGAAGGGGTAAGACACGAGACCGGCAACTGCTGTCACAGACTGAGCAATCATCCAGCTGACAACAATGTGCGTGTTCTTTGGGTCTGGGAGCATTCCTGAAAGAAAAACATCAACCAGAAAGGTTTAATGAAGCTTTATCTGTCAAAAGAAAGATAAATTAAGCATCAAACGCCCGATAATTTAAACTGACCCTTTGCTGTGTCGTAGACTCCAAAGTAAGCTGCTCTGTAGATGATGATGCCCTGCACAGAGACGCTGAAGCCCTGGTACAGACCCTTGATGCCATCAGACTTGCTGATTTTTACCAAGCAGTCTCCCAGGCCTTTGAACTCACGCTCCGTCCCCGCTTTGCCAACATCAGCAGCCAGACGTGTTCTGGCAAAGTCAAGAGGGTAGACGAAACAGAGCGAGGTGGCTCCAGCGGCGCCGCCTGATGCCAGGTTACCTGCAAAGTATCTCCAGAACTGAGTGCGCTTGTCTACGCCATCGAGGAAAACCTTCTTGTACTTGTCCTTGAAAGCAAAGTTGAGGGCCTGAGTGGGAAAGTATCGGATGACGTTGGCTAAATTCCCTCTCCAGAATGAGAGGAAGCCCTGCTCTTTGGGGATACGGACGACACAGTCAATTATGCCCTTGTACTGCTGGTCTGCTGCGATCTGTTTGCTGGCATGTTGTACCTGGAATAACAGCAGAGACGAGGCAGTGCATTAGATCACGATCAAAACAGCTGTTTTTATCAAGAGTGAATGAGCACCTGTTAACCTTCTAGCAACTTTCAGTGAAGAGGAAACAAATTCCCTTGATTCCCATGTGTTTGCCTGACTGACACATTCGCATCCATGTGCCAGAGTACTACACTCATGGCATCCATTCAACAATTCACAGCCCCACCTCCTCCTCCTCCTGCTGCTGCTGCTGCTGTTGCTGAGCTCAGGCCCAATGCAGCAGAGGACTGCCATGGTGCAAACCAATCTGTGACCTTGGCTACTAGCTGTCCAGCCAGACCAAAGACCTGTCATGGTGGATGAGCACTTCCTAACACCACAGTCACAATGCCTGCTCTTTATAATTCACTGAATCCAAGCTGGGCCTGACTGCAGATTGCTGGCCAGTGTATTACATAACAGTCTTGATGCAGCTCGATGGAGCTCATTTCCATCTGTGCCTGCACCAATCTGAGGCAGAGCTGCTCTGATTCACTGTCTATGGACTCAAACTGCTGATGTGGACAACACATTTTCATGTCGCCTCTTTCATATCACTCATGGCTGCATCTGCACAAATATACACCTCCTATCACTCTGATTCAGCTAAAAATAAACAAGAAAACCCTGCATTTAATCAAGATTAAGTAGCAGGTACTTTCACTACATATTAAAAAAATAATCACACATTTATCTCTCTGTGATAAATGTTTAGACATACCTGGAGGAGAAGCTTGACTCTCTCAATGGGGGCTACAGCTGTTTTGGAGATGGCAGCAGCAATACCACCAGCCAAGAAGTCCTTAGCAAAGGAAATAGCTTGGTCAGTCATCTTCGGATGGTATCAGTCGCCGTCTGTCTGCCTCTGTCGGTGGGGTCTGCCTGTAAAGTTGAAATGGCCGACTCAAACCTGGAGGAGAGGGGATTTAAGTAGGCTGACCGCGAGAAAAACCGTGAACTTCGACTCCCACGTCTCATTGGCCGGCTGAGGTTGGGCTGGGCGGGGCAAAGGCAAGTACCGTGATTCTGATTCGGTCCACTGCCTTGTCACTCAAGTGCATCATAGCAACGCCGGTCATGAAGTATCAAGTCACAAAAAGTTTAGCTATCCGGTTAGAAGTTTTTCTAGAGCTACTGTAAGGGGATTTCTTCTTCACAGGGATATTTTTGCGTTTTTTGAATAAATTTGGGGTAAATTTGGTTCAAGGTCGAGTCATGTATCACATTTAAAACAGTGAAGGCTCAAAAGCTAGTGTGGCTAAAGGTCACCCCATCTGTTAATGTTCTTTGGCTGTCACTCAATTTCTCACGGTCAAGAAAAGGAAGAAGACATGATTGAATCAGCTGACTGATCACATGAGAAATCTTTGTTAGACGACTCATTGAAATTCACGGATTAAGTCTTTTTGATGAGATTTAAAAAAAACTTAACTAAAGGTCATGCACAAAAATATTAGGTGGACTTCAGAGCAAAGTTGAACTAATCAAAAATGAACAGAGCTCTCACTGAGGATACAGCTTGACACAATTATTTTGTGTATCCTGCCTTAAGTACACTTATTAACTTTTAAGGTAAACTGCTGTGTTGTATATTAATATCACTTTTAGGGGGGAAAAACAGTGTGCCACAAATGACCTATAATAGTTTCACTCCATTTGTGGCATGAGGCAGTTTTTATGTATTTGCTCAAAAGAGATGTATTCAACAAAGTAAACAGAACTTTTAAATGTACACAAGATAATGAAAGGATCGAAAATTGATCAGTTAAAGTTTAATGTTAATGCACATTTCTTTCACCACAACCCTTATAAGCTCTCATACATGATTATGGGTAGCCAAATGAAGCATCAAAATATGCTACATCCATTGTACCGCCTCCAAAAAAACAAACAATCAAACTGATAAACACATTGGAAGAGCACTGTGAATATATCTGAATAAACTATGGCACTTCTGATGTTTATGAGAAACAACTAAAATAAGCTTAAAAATAAATAGTTAATGTTAAAGGCACATAATATCTGTTAAAAAAAAAAAAAGCATGGTGTGCAAGAGAAGGAGTCATCATCAAAGAATACTGTAAGATACAATAAAAGCCTTGAAAGAGGTAGACTGTTGCTGACATGGCATGTAAAAGCATGTTAATACCTTTTATAAAGACAAGAACCTGAAAAGGGATTTTGATTAATCTTCCAAGCATCTGCAGTCCTTTAGCTCAGCAAATCACTCATTGTGCAGGTCAGGTGTGGTCAGCAGGAGCACCTGTTCTTTGCATGTGAAGTCTCACCAGCGGTTTCCTAAAGACGACCCAGCTGACCCAAAGTTCCTGTTTTTCAAGTAGCGCTTCACCTCTTCGAGCTCGTGCGGCCCGAGGCTCTGGTCAACCCCCGGTGTAAGCTTGTAACTCAGAGGTGACACGATGTAACCGTTGCGGTAAAGGCAGACCTGCTTACACATCTCAAAGCAGGTGAAGAGAAGGCCGAAGTAGGGAACAATCTACACAGAAATAACACAGAAGTGGAAGATAAAGATGAGTGGATTATTCAACTCAAACATGTGGTAACATTATTGCCCACAAATCCTGGGGTATTGCTTTAAGAAGTAATCATGTACTGTTTCTGCAGCATGTAGAGTTGCTTTACTTTCATTCAGCTGCTCATGATTGACTGATTTATACAGCAGCCATGATGACATTTGCAGCTGAAATGTGAGATGTGAGCATGCTGTTCCAGAGACAGACTTTACTCACCTTGCTTGTGATATTCTTGCTATGAATTACTCTCTGGACATTGCTATCCCCTCCTCTTTTCTGCCCTCATCACTTGGCTTGTATGCCGTGGGTTACAACAAAGTCACCCATGTTCCTGAACACGTGCACTCATTCTAGCTCCTTTTACTTTTACACATACTGGCAGACTAAACCTTCGTTTATCAACAGAGAGTGCAAGTTTAGTTTGGAATTGCACCTTTATTGTGTTGGCGGTAAGTCCATTCCACAGTGAGAGAACCCCCTTGTTTTTGACCACCTGCACAAAACAGTCAATCATCCCTCTGAAATGAACGTCGACTCCTCCAAAATGGGGCAGACGGGGACTCTGTGCCTGAGAAAAGAGCAAAAGTGAGAATGAATCAGAAATCAATGTCACAAAATAATGTATGTGTGATTAAAAAGAAAGGTCAAGTGAGACTTGACAAGGGAGATCAAACTCGACAAATTGGCAGTAATGTAATTCAGTCCTAAATCAGAAGTGTTTGCCAGTAATTATCACAGCTTGGGTTATGTGGTACTATTGCTCCATGAACTGCTCCAGGACAATTATATAGGCTCTTGATTAACTTTCATACTGTTTTCAATCTGGATATCAGCTATCGGCACAAATTAGCCGAATCTTAATTCGCTCAAGCACATAAAGCATGCAGTGAAAAATGTTTGACCCTTTTTGTCTCAGATGCAAGACTATGTCCCATGCTGGTTAGCTAACCACAGCAACAGCTCCACAGGCTGACTGTCATCTGACCAGAGACTTGAATCTTAAGGGGTTTCAAGGTTTCCATATGAGTGTTAAATATTCAAACAGCTTTGTTTGTAGAGGAAACATCAAATGAGCCAGCAAAGTTAAACAACACTTAGCTTAAATCATCACCCTAAGCTTCTGCAAACACTATCATCTATCCTCGGTCTGAATTTAATGTTTAACTCTAACACAAAGACAAGAAATGGATCCCAAAGGAGGTAGTTATGTGACATAATCATCAGTTGTTTGTGATGGTCTGATGATCTGGACATACACAGCTCTCACCTCGTCTGCTGTCTGATAGTTTCTGCCTATCTTTGGAGAACTTATCTATAGCTTGTGCAGACCAGGGGCACATTCACATTCTCAGCTGCTGTCAGACCGTGCTAAAGCTTGTGATGGCTAATAATAGACTGATAAAACCGGATGTAGAATTCTGTCCTTTGAAGCACCATTGTTCCCTATGTGTCCTTCTAGCATGAAGAAAGAATCTCAAACAGCATTTATGGTGAGCGTGGTGAAGCCCGATTTCTTTTCTACGGCAGAGCGTTTTGACAAAACTGAGGGAAGATGTGCTGATTTATAAACAACCAGAGGTTAAACAAGTTGTGAGCTTTTGATTTGAGAAGTCAAACTTTCAGCCTTTGAAAACCTTCAGAGACAAGGCAGGCTAAACTTAATCCACATACACTACTACTGCCACCCTGTGGACAAAAGCTGATACTACAAGGGGCAATAGGTAGGTGAGTTTGACAGGATCTTTTAATGTAGTGCTTTCCATGAAAATGTAAAATGACACCTGAAGGACATAAAGGGTAAATGGTCTGTATTTAGATAGACTAACCTCTGAGTGCTGAGTGCTTACATTCACACACTGATGGCAGAAGCTGCTATTGACAAATGAATTAAGAAATGAAATGTATTTATTCAAACTCAACTGCAACAATCCCATTTACATACCACTGGGACCCGGGATAAAAACCCTTTTTGAGGGACAGACATAGCAAACAAATGCCGTGTGGGGAAGTGTTAGCTTCATATAACATATATATCTCTACAAAGCAAAACAAAAGTAGAAACTATAGCCTAGAAGTAAGTAACCTGGATGTTGATTACCTGCATTTTTCTTTTTACAGTTTCAAAGGGGTAGGAGAGAGTTTGAGCCACTCCCGCTGCAAGACAACCATTGATAAAGTTCTGGAGGGGAGTGAAACGAAAAGGAGGCTCCTTCCAGAGCTTATCCAGGTTTGTGTAGACTGCATAGCAGCCCAGAGAAAAGGGAAAAGCTCCTGTGAAAATATAACAAGATGAAGTTAATTAACTATTTATAAACTTAAAACAGAGTGTATAGGTTAAAACACAGCATTATATAGAGAGCAGTTTGTTATGTTAAAAACACAGGAAATTAACTCGTAGGTAGGATCATAAAAACACACCCAAAAGAGTGAGAGAAAAGCCCCTATAGAGAGCAAGCAGCCCTTCACTCCTGTGGATCTTTGACAGAGTGTAAAATACACCGATGTACGTGGGCTGCCTGCAGTTCTGAACCACCAGCCTGGTTTCTGCCACCTCCAGAGGGTACGTGACCAGAGCAGCAGCAACACCTGCAAATCCACCAGCAAGTATGGCTCTCCACTGGGAGATGAAGCCCAGCTCATCCATGTGCAGATGGACTATCCTGTGCACAGACAGAGGAGAAAATAAAACAATCTTTATATTACAATATTTAACAGTTTACAGTCATCCAATGGTTCTCTGAAAGATACACTTTGTTTATGTGTCTTTGGTTGTTTAATTTCTTTTTCTTTTCAGTAAAGAGCTTATCCAGCCAAGTGTCGTGTATGTCTGTCTTTGGGTTTGGGATATTGGCTCAACAGTGCAGATATATGGAGAACATTTCATATCATACCTCCTTGAGTTGGAGAAATTTGTATTTTTTTTTTATTTATTTTGAGAATTTTTCATCCTTTTTCACTAAAATACAAAGACAATAATCACCCTAATCACAAGCAGCAGCCATACTAAAAAAAATTTTTTAAAAATAAATCTGTTTAGAAGGTCTATGGTGGCATCATGAGTCATAATGGGAATTATGTCAGGACTCACTGTTTCACTGAGGAGACTGAAAATAGTCTCTTCTAAGGGTTGAGGTAGTGTACACACGAGGAGCGAGCTAATAACACTGGCCATGTGGGTCTGTGTGTGTATGTGTGTGCTGAGAGGAGGACTTTCTTTTCCTGGAACACGGTGTACTAACAGCTCAGTAGTGCGCCATATCAGGAATCGGTAATGTTTACAAGCACACGTGGAATGAAACGTGAGAGGATACCCACTGATAGCAGACTGTCCATAGGCCACAACATGTATGACTGCAACCGGAGTTAATGTTGTCAAGCTATAGACACTTTTTTCCACAGACGTTCATTAACCAGCCACGCTGACGAGATTGCGGCACGTTTTTGGCCTGCAGTAACCTCACACGCTGACGAAGCAATCCTGTGCCCTGAGTACAGCTTTGCAGACGTCAGTTCCACTCCAGTGGCCTGCAACTACTACACATCCCTATGGTTGATGATTCACCTTGTATGCATTTTTATAAAAAAAATACATACCGATTTTCAATCAACAGTGCAAAGAATAATACGATTGATTGTAATAGAAAAGCAAATATTCATATTTGACACACTCAATATTTCTTGATGTAGCCTATTCTTTTTGATTTGTCTTTTTAAGACACTAAAACTAAGCCTCTTTTTGGTAGTTTGAATGGCTTTACTTTAGAAAGCAGACATTAAATGAAATTTTTTATATATTATACTGCATGTCACTCTTGTCAGGAATTTTACATGTATACGATGTTACTATTTGTGTTGTACATAGTGTAAATACTTGTCTGTTATCTCTTTATGTTTACTTATTTTATCCATCTATCTCTATATTTTTACTTATTTTATCTATTATTTATTTCCTCTTTTTGCTGTAGTTGCACTGTAAATTCTGTAGGCTTGTAAATTCTTGGGCTTTTTAATGTGTTATACTGTATGTCACTATTGTCAGGAATTTTACATGCATACAATGTTACTATTTGTGTTGTGTATAGTGTAAATACTTGTATATTATCTCCATATTTTTACTTATTTTATCTATTATTTATCTCCTCTTTTTACTGTATTTGTACTGGAGTACTGTAACAAAAGCAATATCCCCCTGGGGATATTAAAGTATTTCTGATTCCGATCCTGAAACGCAAAGTACCTGTGAGGCAAAAAAACGGGGCGAAAATAACCCTGCCACTTTAAAAATCGACTGAGCGAATAGAGCTTTGTGATTGGCTGAAAATTAGAAGGTGCGTCTCGTGCGGTATAACAGGAAGTGAATCTTTATAGAAAGGGTGGAAGTAAACAAACTATTTGTATAAACCCTCTTTTTTTGGTTGAAAAAAAAAAAAAAACAGAAATCAACAATCAGACCCTCCCAAAAGGTGTTTTTATCCTTTCATAAATTCAAAGTGTTGTTTTATTTCACACTGTTTGGAGAATAAACTTGTTTAATCAGTGTCAGCTGACCAAGTTAGCTAACAAGCTGACTTAACAAAGATCCTGCAGAGAACCGGGATAAAAATATTGAACATGTGTGCACTGAAGTAAAATAAAGTAATAAAGAGGTGAACTTACTTTTTGTACGTTGACAGATGAACTGCTGTGTACGGAAACAATCGAAGACAAGAAGCCAGATTTCCTTTCCAAAACCCCCGGAGTCCCTCATTCTGGTAGATGAGCAGAAAACTCTGCCAGAAACCGTTCTTACAATGAAAAGTACCGACCTGACTCTTAATTTTGACCACTTCCAAAGGTGAAGTGACAGTTTTACTGAAAACCCCGGCGAAACCGACACACAGAAAGCTTTGGGAGCTCGTCAATCTGTTGTCTTTTTTGACTGAGGCCATCACAGTCTGAGCCTCTTCTGGATCGTCCTCCTCCTGAGATCAATTCAGATTTCTCCAAGGGACAGGAAAGGATCTGTTTGTGCAGGTTAGACATCTAAATATAGCGGACGAGGAGGTATCCTGTCTCCGTCTCCTGTCCCGTCCAGCGGTGTAATGTGACAGAGAGCTGGAGGGGAACTGGAGTGGCGTGAAAAGTAAACTAGAGGGCGCCACTACATCTGGGTTTACATCCGTCTATATCCGTTATCCAGGTGTATCTGTACTTGCAGAAGTTAACATGAAGTTAAGTGACACGTTTACAGTATACAATATAGCCTACTGCGTCTATTTGGGTAGGTCTACTGATAATACACTAATGCTTGTTGAACTATTTCAACAACAGTCACTTCTTCACAGTCATGTGTGTTTTTATCTATTATACACTATTCAACTGGTACAATAATTATTTTTATTATTATTGCATATAACTGCTAAAAAAATATTTTGTAAAAAGGCATTTTAACATGAGAATGTCTTTAAGTGATTCAGAACATTCACAGCTGTATTTTTGAAAAGAAAAAGTAAAAAATTTCAACAGTCTGAACTGAAACTCTGATCCTCTCATCAGACTACTTTACTTTATCAGTTGAACCACTTGCTCAACTTACCCCAGAACTACTATTATGACTTTATTTGTCTTCAAAGCTAAAATGGTGGACTTTTATTCTAAGTTTTTGACCTCATGTTGTAGCTCATAGATACCACAACTGATGTATAAAACAAATTTAAAATGATCTTTTTTGGTCTGAATACAGTTCTAATAAAATTAATGACAGACTAAATTCACTTTTAAGAGTGATTTTTTTGTTGCTGTTGGAAATAAATGTCTAACCCCTTCACCCATGTGCTTCTAACTTTCACAGACTCCATGAATTGATGCCCATCTCCTAAATATTTGGTCACATGATCGATTTCTTTTACCATTTCCAATCAACAGAGGGTGGTTCAACTTAACCTCTGGCTCAAGTTACCCCACTCTCCCCTACAGTGCAGTGATGAGGACAGTCTTTACATTTGAAAATTAATAGTTTTCATGAAATTGAAGCAGTCACAGAAAATTAACCTCAAGTTGTAATTTTATGTAATATCTAGATGTGCAGGAACCTTGCACTACAGCATAAAGATATCTATGTGATGCATGCACAAACTAAAACCTGATTTAAACATGTATTTTATGATTATTGAGCAATATGATCAGTGTTTGCATTACAAGTAAGGTTGATCTTCATGTTTTGTAAAGTTTGCATTCACTAGTAGTTCTGTGTGGTTACCGGTATACATCTTTTACTACATGAAATACTTATTATTACTTAAATAAACACATTGATTGACATTCAACCCTGTGCTTAGTAACTGCTGCTATTAGGTCTGTAAGGGTTACTCAATGTTGAAGTAATGTGTTCCTTGAGTGAGCAGCTAGATGGCACCAGACACCCACCCTATAAATTGGTCTGTTGCAACTGGGGCTAAAATATCTTTCATGATATCTTAAGAAGAGACAAGATCTGGGTTGTGAACTATATAGGTGTGAAAGTAGAGGTTTTATTAACAGGTATCAATTACTCTTTTTATTCAAATTGAAATGTCATAATTTATTCAAGGGTGACTTACTGACAAAAAATCTTCAACAAGTCTTCAACAGTGAACTGGTCAAAATTTTATGACAATTATTCAGTTATATGAGTACCTCCATTAGCTTTTTAATTAGAGATAATTTAGATGTGAGATGGAGGTTACAGGTTTGAATTAACAATAGGCATAAATGTGATCATCATTGCTGCTGTTTCTGTTCCTCTTTGTAACATCTGCTGTGACATTGTTCTGACGTTTCTGCACACTCTAGGTTTGAATAGCATCAAACCCTTTTTTTTTTCACTGTACCAAAAGGATGAACCATGTCTGGTGTTCTTCACAACTATATTTATCAGCAGGAGTTTATTGTTACTGTCTCTCACAGCCTGATGTTTGTTTTCCCCTTGTCTCAGCCTGCCAGGAGTGCCTCCCTCCCCTGCCGGGCTGACAACCTGAGCTGCATGCAAAGAGCCCATGTTCTGTCTGCGACCTGGACCACTTGGCTACTTCACAAAGGCTTTATAAAATAACAGAGCCATGCCGAGGAAATGACAGCCCGATTTCCTTCTCTCTCCCCCTCTGGCTGCCTACTGTGGTGGGAGTGGTATGTCTCAAGAGTCCCCTTTACCTAAAACTTAAGAACCAATCAAGAGGTGGTGTTATATTAGAGATGATACGATACGATACAATACGATACAAACGATACAATACGATACAATACGATACAATACAATACGATACAATACGATTCAATGCGATACAATACAATACAATAGGATAGGATACGACACAATGTAATACTATTTGATACAATACCTTATGATATGATACATTAAGATATGTTACAAAATGTCAAAATAAAATACGATGCAATATAATATGATACAATTAGATATGATGTGATATGATCTGTTATGATATGAGAAGACACTAATGATATCATGATGTATATGCTTAGATACAGTAAATATGATTTTTGTCTGATGTGATTTGATATGATATGATACCATATGATGCATTGTGGTATGATGCAATACAATATCACATCATAACATATCGTTCAGTTCAACTCAACGCAGGAGAATCCTTTTTTTTTTAGATGTGAAGACACTGAGGTTTGAATCCATCTATTCTAACCAAATCACTGTTTTAAAAAAAGGCCACTTTGAGGATTCTTTGAACTCTCTGTCATATGTGTTTGTAAGACGAGATAATGGGATGTCTCTCTTTAAAGATAAGTGGTGTGATGCTGTATCTTATCAATTAATGCTTCAGCAATCAAACAGGGCTCCTCCAAGAATCTGCTGCCACTCTGTCTCCTCTACTGTCCTTCCTCTGCCCCTAACATTGCCTCCTTTAACCGCCCGTATGCATATAGAATACACATAGATCCCTGCCCTCTTCCTGTATGTATGTAAACCCCCCTCCTCCTGAATGTGAGCTTCCTTTATGCAGTAGAGCAGCGCGGGAGCAGCCTGTGTGCTTTTGTGTCAGCGGCACTGGCACGAAGCAGTAGGTGTAGGCTGGCTGAGGTATTGTCATTCTCTGGATGTCATGCGCAAGTCAACCCTTGATCTCCCACTTTGAAGTGCATTGCTTGAGGACCTGAGAGGGCAGATTGTGTATCCAGTGTGAACTTTTGGCAGTCAGCAGAGGGCGCTAGGCACCAGAGAGGGTAGCTGTCATCCTCACAGACTGGAGCAATAAAAGTCTTACCTTATTATCTGAGACAGTCACATCACAGGCTTGTGTTGACTGGGGAGGGGAAAGGGGAAGAAGGGGTGGAGGAGGGGGTGGGTGACACCAGAGTCTGTCTGTGTGTCTCTTTCTTTCAGGGTGGGGGTGTACCGGTGAGAAAAATCAGGCATAAGTACAATTCACTCCAGCACCACATTCACACCTTAGCCAAGAAGGCTCAATAAGGCCAAACTGCTGCACTCTCCGGCTCACTTCACACTTGTTATGCATAAGGAGCCTCATTCTGAATTAATGGTTTCTGTGATGGGTTAAACTGTGAAAGGTTGTCAGGGTTTGTTAGGAATACTGAATGCAATTTTGCACCTCATTACAGGGATCAGTTTTTATTAGGACTAACACCGAATGTGCTGTTATCTCAGAGCTGCAGACCAGTAAATTTGCCTCACTTGAGTCTATTAAGTCTAAAAATCTGCTGTAAATGTGTAGCCCTAAGGAGGTAATTTGTGTAAGGGTGCATCCAAGTGCTGAAACATGATTTATTGCACTGAGGTTGGATGTTTTTTTTTTATCCCATTAGCTGTGACATTTTCAGAAGAGTTAGAAACCACTAAATAAAACAGCTGTAGGACTATTTTAAAAATACAGTGGTTTTTGAATACAGTTTCACAAGAATGCTGTGATGTCTATTCCTCGTAAAAACCTAACAAGGATTGATGTATCACCTATTTAACCAGGATGTAGATGACCAGGAGGCCCATTGTCTGTGAGGATGCAGAGGAGAACTTCTGGCAGCTGGTGCCCCCTTATCTTCCCATGTACAGCCAATAAATCAATATCAAATCTAAGGAACAGGAAGCCAGATGGCCTTCCCACAAGTCATGAGGCCAGGGCACTCTTAGGGCCTCCTCGGCTACTGTACCGCCAGTGCATGCAGCAACAGCAGAGCCAGCCCTTTGAAGACATACACATTCAACAAGCTGCTCAATGAATGACTAAAGGGAACAAATAAGCAGTTACGACTCTGCTCAAATCAGTGTTTGTGTTTCTATCCACATCAAAGGCTGCAGTCTGTTTGATATGCGCCCCCCCAAAAAAACCTTGATCCAAGCCACGGACAGGTAGAGGGGAGGAGCAGGCCATTGAAGAGAGAGTCATGTGGTCACTCCTGTTAGGCCCGGCTTGAGGGGAGTTGACCCAGACGAAGGGTCTGGTGGTGTCTCTTGTTCCCCAGGGTGCTGTTGCCCCTTACACCCATCACCAGACACATTATTTATTGGATGGCCTATTGATTGTGTGCTTTTAAGTAACAGTCACACAAATTTAAAGCAGGTGTCTCAATCAAAAATAGGAAGCATTTAAGATTTAAAGATCAAGTGTTGATATATATTTTCAACAGAATAGCTCTTCGACAGACTTGAGCTGTAACTGACGGAGGCCAGAGAGGTCAGTCACCTAAACACATCCCTCCAGACTCATCCTGATTCCTGTGTAGGCCAGGGGTCAGGTTAAACAGTAGTTTGATTGAATGGCTGTTCACAGGCCAGTGTGAAATGCCAGCTCTATTGCAATGTGGGAGTCAGGAGGAGGGGGTTTCTTTGGCCTTTGTGTGGCCCGCAGTCTTAGAGCACGGAGCCATTGTTAAAGGATGACCAGCCAGCCCCTCAGACTCTCCTTTGCCCTGCTTTGTCTCGAGCAGCGTGACCATTTCCTTCATCCAGGTCAGGGCAGGGTCGTGACTTTGGACACTAGTCCTCCCTGTCTGCTCTCAGCCCGCATACTCATAAATGCACACAACAGCGAGACAGATGCAGAGGTTTAGAAAATGCTGCTGTGTTGGAGCAAGTTCTTAACTTTTATAACCAAGAAAATTCAAGGAAAAAAGGGTCAGGTGTTATAAGTATTGACGTAAGCCTGAAACCAACATAAAGTGAGAAAAATGTCAAAATGATATTTCGCTTTATTCTACATATCATGCCATGAAATGTCTGTGGTGACACTTAAATCAACATTGTACAAATCTGGTCAAACTTATGATGTATATAATTTGCATGGTGAGAGATATCTCACTTGCTCCTTTTGCGAGTGTGTAAAACACACAACCACATGCTCAGAGGTCAGATAACCTTTTACTACTCTGAAGTGTCTCAGTTATGCAACTGTGAAGGTTTTAAAAGAGCAAACCCCTTCTGTCCTGAAGCTGGACCTGCCTTATCATGACCTGGCCATCACTGTGATAAGAAGAGGAAAGGCCAAAGGGCCACAAGGAACAGTGTGCACAGCTCAGGTCAACAGTGTGAGAAAGGAGGGAGGGCGGACAAGAATATTATCTGATGAGGATCAGTGGGGTCTTTTGATCTGAGAAGGGGCTGATCCTGGGCTACAGGGTGTCATGCTGGGAGGACGAGCAGAATGACACAGCAGGTACAAACAAGCGAGCCCTTGAAGACCATCTGAGGCTAAGCATATTTACACTGGGAAGACTAGACTGAGTCTCTTGCTGCACAAACATACAAGTATACCATCCCCATTATACTCTAAATACCATGGTTTGCTGCATCTTGTAAGCAGAATGCATACATGATGTCTAATTTCAGACCTGCACAGACATCAACTTAATGATGTTTATATATTACAAGACAAATGATTGGATTTTTTAGCATGCAGTCGTGATCAGGCAGATTTTAGATCACAGCAGTCTGAATCTGAATGTCACAGTGTTCCTGGTGGGTTTTTTTGTCTCATAAGTCACTGTTAAAAGCTGTCATGTGGCGGCCAGACAGGACCTGAGGCTTCATTACAAGCTGTGGCCTGAACCAAATGCCTCGCTGCTGTCTTGCCCGGGGCAGGATGGAGGAGGACTTTTTTTTTGCCTGAGGTTGGTGAGGGGGGGTCAGCAGGCTGCAACAGAGTTAAAAGTGTCCTTGGTTTCCCCTTAGCAACAGTTAAGAACAAAAGAACAGATACACATGCACCTGGATCTAAGCCTTTTTCTATTTTAACAAACAATGCTCAGTGAGGTTTTAAGGTCAAGTTTGTTGCAATTACAGGAGTTTTTTCATAACGAAATTTCTTAAAATGACGCCAACAGGATTTTTTGTGCACTAAACTTCAATTGACATCTATAAGTCTTGAAAACCCTATTAAAGAGCCACAATGTGAGCCACAACATTAAAGAGAGCACTGTACAAATCTAACCAGCAAACATCTTCAGTAATACTCAGCTTGATATAGTCCTTATCAGATTTACTACTAATCCAGTTTGCTTTTAACATCAACAGCTGGCAGTTTGGGGAAATCATTTTGGCTGTTTTTTATTTTTCACAAAAATCTTGGTAGAAATAAAATGTGTGACCAGTTTTCAAGGTTTACAGTGAAGTAAGAAGAAAAGGTCTTGAGAGACAGGAAATACATCAGGAATATTTCACTTGTCAGACTTTTGGTTTAGGTCTTGACTGTTTTTCATGAATCTATACCACTAAATAACCAATGAGCTTTATTTTGAACACAAATAAAACCGAGTTTCTTCTCAGTCTGTGTTATTGATTATAATTTCCTTCATATTTGTCCTCTATTCAAATCACACCAACTCCCTGAAAACAAGCTATCAGCAACCTGTTACATCTGGACCCCAATTAAAAGAATTAAGATGTAAGAAGCTGTCATTATCAGCCCTGTCAGAGGGACTTCAAAGGCCAGGCCGGAGTGAGAGTGCAGCTGCCCCGATGGTGTGAGTTTCTCTTTCTCTCTCACTCCAGAGGAACTTGTTTGTGTTGATGATGTTTACCAATCCCAGGAAAGACAAACAGCCTCATTCTTGTTTGTAGGTAACTGGCTCAAACACAGAGCCATGGGCCAATTCAGTGTCAGACACAGCCACAGGATGTACTGCATTGTTAGGTCAGTATTTATCTTGTCTCTGTCCTTTCACCCCACTTCCAAGTTTCCCGCCAAGAGGCTCAACACATTACCAAATTGGATGAGCAAAAAGGGATCCTAAACAAAAAAAGATTAACCCACCAGATGTCTAAAAATATCTCACACATGCACATTTGCAAATCTTGTTAATAATGATAAAGATGATCTGATTAGAGTGCTGTCATTTTCATCTAATCCTTGACAAATTCAGGACCCTTCGAGTGTAATCTCTAGACAACTATCATCAGTCAGTCACAAAGTTTTGAATCAGATTCAAGAGGACTAGTTTTTATACCTCAGCTCAACACATGGTGTCACTCTTTCTATGCTTTGAGCCTCTGGAGGACCAGAGCTCACACAAATCAGACTCCATACTGCTGTCAAGATGTTGTAAATTAGCAAACATAGTCAAACCCTGACAGCTCAAAGTGTCTGCATGACATTAAAGTGTTCGAAGTGATTTGTTTTGAGAACTTTAAAGTAATAGTTGGGGAGAGTTAAAAGGTGTGTGGCTTAAAATTTTAATTTAATCTAAATTAAAACGATTGGATAAGCAATGACATGCATTAAACTTTGGTTTCGCCTTATCTGAGTACAAAAAGAAACATCCTTTAAGGCAAAAATATGAAATTTAGGTTATAAAAACCTGACAGGTCTTCATGTGACAGCATTCAGTCTTAACATAAGCAAAATAAAACCTTTTATTTGTCAAATGTTGCTAAATCGAATGCTCATGAAGGATTGATAACAGGCCTTTTCAAACAAAATAAGCGAATTGAATCCTAATCGAATCCTGTATTTCTTATCATGAGATTATATTTTGTTGATATATTATCTACACTAAATAAACTGAGAAAACTGGTTGACTTATGTTAGATGTTAAAGAAGGAGAGAACGTATAAAAGTGGGTTCAGTTAAGACAAAAATCACTACATAATACAAACGATCACACTTCTTATTAATCCCACAAATCAGTTCAGCCTAAACCTTTACTTCCTGCCGGTCTTATGAAATATAGACCAGTTGACTTTTGCGCTGCCATACTGGAGTGTCTCATTCCACAAGCTTGTTTCAGCAAATGTCACTTAGTGTTGGGGTTTCCTACCACAGCTATAAATCGTGGGGGAAACAGGCTTTCACAGGGAAGTTTTACGGCACAGAGACTTCCCTTCCATGCTGCAGGGGGTCATGCTGCTTAACACCGTGTCTTCATGTATCCCCACTCCTTTCTTCTTGGCACAGGCCCAAAACATGAGCTATTTCTCTATTCAGCATCATCCAGGCTCACATGCACAGATGTTTTGATAAGACAGGAAGTTTGGACTGTGGGCTTGTATTGAGCAAAGGGTGTTGAAATAAACAGGTTTAACGCTTTTATTTGAAATGGCTATGGCTATGATTCCAGACAGTTACTTTATGCAGCTGAGGAAAGTCATTGTTCTAGCAACCAAGCATCATTTGACTTAAAAATTGGCATGAAAGGGTTTTGGTTTGATGTTGAAACCCTGATGTGTAGAGGCAAGATGTCAGACTCTTGGGCACGGGTGACTTCCATCAGACTTTAGTGTGTTTGCTACAGTATGTATTGTATATTGTGTTTGTTATATGGCATTTTTTCATTAAATAAAAACTAAAAACTTTCTTTTTTACACAGACCTTTTAAACACGCTGTATTTGTATGTTTTTGTGTTTCTAATTCAATGTAATCTTTGTATGGAAATATGGAAATCTTAAACACCTTATTGCTCATTTAGAGAAGTCTTTATTTGACAGAATAATTCTCCTGCTGGACAAACTAATATTCAAATCAAACTAGAGAACAAATGTGTTCAGAGTGTGGATTTTACATGGTCTCTGAGGCACAGGCAGTTTGTCAGACATGTTTAAGAGACATTTTCAGAAGGATTTTAAAGGGAGAACATTTGGATAATTGTCTGAATACGTCAAATCTGCAAAAAAGTAATACAAAAACCTCCGTTTTGGCTATAGGCATAGATTAAATTGTTATTTTAAACATTGGTATCAGTACAACTATTATTTTCACAATTCGTGCCCCTTTACTGTAATAATAATGCATCAGATTTCATATAGCGCTTTATCAGAGACCCTCAAAGCGCTTTACATTGGATACATCATTCATTCGCTCACACAGTCACACTTTTGGTGGTGGTAAACTACCTTAGTAGTCACAGCTGCCCTGGGGCAGCCTGAAGGAAACGTGGCTGCCATTTTGCGCCTACGGCCTCTCCGACCACCACCACACAACACTCACAATCATACTGTGTGGATGTCTTTGCTTATTTTGATACTTTTAGAAATGATTTAGTTTTGGTTTCATGTAATCCACTGTGAACAGCTTGTGTATGATATGGTGTCGCAGTAAAGCTGTCAAATAAAACAAAGTGAAACTGATATGACGTAAAAACATGACAAAATGCATTACCCTATCAGTGTTACCAAGTTAGACAACATACAGTACATACTATTGTGTATTGTGGATGTGTTAAAGAAAATGTATTCATGACTTGCTTTTCGTTTCTTCTTTTTTCTGCCGCAGTTTGTGACAAATTCATTTTCTTTTTTTCTTTTTCTGTCTATAATCTCTTTCTTTAACTCTTTTAGAAACACGTCACATGTTGTGGTCTATGTTTTTGCATCTTCTGGCAACCAACTTCAACTTACTCTAGCATGTGTTACAACCCTGCAAGTGGAGTTGGTTGTGACAAAGTGACACCCTGTTTTTGTATTATATTTCTGTAGAGGATTGAATTAGTTCTTTTGTTGTAAACAAAAATGGGTTCTTCACATAAAAAATTGCAAATTCTAGCTCAAAAATTCTGTATTTACAGGTGCTGAAGCAAAACATGTTACAGTCATCTCTGGTTTCCTCTACTTTACTGTATTTTTGACATAAGTGGCACAAAAAACTACATTCATTGTTAGTTGAATGGGCAATGGTTAAGAGCAAGTACAAGTAGGCTTATCAGGTAATCTCTGATTAATACATGAGTTATAACAACTCGGAAATTAATGCAAATTTAATAAGTTTTAGCACAATAGGGGAGAGTGGGGTAAGTTGAGCCAACCCCTGTTGCTTGGAAATGGTAAAAGAAATTGATCATGTGACCAAATATTTAGGAGATGGGCATCAATTCATGGAGTCTGTGAAGGTTAGAAGCACATGGGTGAAGGGGTTAGACATTTATTTACAAAAAAAAACATTTTTCACTCTTGAAAGTGAATTTAGTCTGTCATTAGTTTTATTAGAATTGTGTTCAGACCAAAAATGATTATTTTAAATTTGTTTTATACATCAGTTGTGGTATCTATGAGCCACAACATGAGGTCAAAAACCAACATAAAGTCCACCATTTTAACTTAGAGGACTAATGAAGTCATAATAGTAGTTCTGGGGTAAGTTGAGCCAGTGGTTCAACTGAAAAAGTAAAGAAGTCTGATGAGAGGATCAGAGTTTCAGTTCAGATTGTTAAAATGTTTTACTTTTTCTTTTCAAAAATACAGCTGTGAATGTTCTGAATCACTTAAAAACATTCTCAGGTTAAAATGACTTTTTACAAAACAGCTTTTTAGCAGTTATATGCAATAATAATAAAAAGAATTATTGTACCAGCTAAATAGCGTTTAATAGATAAAAATACACATGAATGTGAAGAAGTGACTGATATTTAGGGAGAGAGAAGGTGAGGGAGGGCTGGGGTGAAGAATAGAGGGTGAAGTAGGGATACAACTTACCCCCTGTATGGGGTAAGTTGACCATAGGAGACCACTTTTTTTGGCATGCTATATTATCAAGACAGTTATGTTTACACTCATTCTGTTGGTTTGCAGGGATGCACAACATCTTGAAATATATGCAGATACACTAGTTAGAGACAAAACTATGATCGCCTGGATGTAGTGAACCGAAATATGAAAAATGGCTCATCTTACCCCACTCTCCCCTATTTACTGATCAAGATTTTATGATTTCATGTAACATGCCAAGTTCATGTTTACTGAACTCGAGAAAATCACAATTTATTTCTGACTTGTGCATTTGCTTTGCCTCTCATATGATTGTAGATGCTCCTCCAAACACATGAATCTTTCCCATTCAGACGTCTGAACAATATGCTCACATGTATGAAATTTGGGAAAACTGAAATCCATCAGACTTGAAGAATATCAACATTTCTACTCACTAAAGTATGATTACATTTGCTCTTCTGTCGTTAGGCGTCCTCCTAGTTACATTCATACTGTCACAGTGCTGTGTATGCGTGTATGTGTGTATGTGTGTGAGGCACACGGTGTACACCTGCATGCTCTCCTTCCTGTGCAGTTAGACGGCAGCTTCACAGCGTACTTGTTCGAAACTGGGAAAGTCGCCCAGCCTCCGCCTGTGGGTTGAACTACACCTGGGACAGCGGGCTGATATCATTCAGCGACAGCAATGCGGTAAAAAGAAACGTGGAGAAACCTCTGCGGTAGTAGACGGTGAGTCCAGGATTTCGGGCTGTTTTATATTCGTCTCTCTCTCCCTCTGTCTCTCTCTGTGAGTTCAGTTCGGTGTCTCTTTGTTTAGCCACTAGCTCCACGTTAGCTGCTTCCGGAAAACAACCTCCACACAGGTAAGGCGAGTTTCGGTCTCCACTTGGGGTAATTCTGTCCTTTCACGGAACCAGTTTACAAACAAACCTGTTCCGGGCGTTTGTATTAGAAGAAGGTTTGTGTTTAATGGAGACTGTGTGGATGTATGAGAGCTCAAACCCGGTCGTTGTCATAAAAGTGAGTTTACGTGCTCAAGGTGTGCTGCAGTGAGCGCTTTCTCAGCAGGAATTTTTTTTTTTTTTTTGCTGAAAGTGAAGCCATGATGTCAGGGCTGCTACCATGATCATGTTAGAGCCCATGTGACTGATACACAGGCCTGTGTGTAACTTTTATTACCTCTTCTGTCATTTGGATCTGTCACATTAGGAGCAAACCAACAGCCATACACTGACAAGAGGGGGGGCAGTGAGTTATTTATGGTCTCAGTGACAACACACATCCAGGCAAGGCTCGGGAGTCATTACATTATGCCCTTGTTACTGTTGTTGAGCTGCTTTTCAGCGTTCAAACAGCATGCAAATGGTGTTTTGAAAAATATGGAAGTAAATCTGTGCCATCTGATTTTGAATTTGAATGCCAAAAGGTGAATTTTTTTTTCATCAAAATCAATTTGAATTTCAAAACCATCGAATTTCAAGCACGCATTTTTATTTCTGACACTAATTTTTTTCACAATGATGAAATAAATTAAGTTTTTAAAAAATAGGTCTCAAAAATATTTGTTTAGTAAAAATTCAGGTCCTTACACTCCGGGAATGACACAAATATACAATGCAAAATTACATAATATTCAGAGGCTAATTTTGACGCACCTGACTATACACATCAAGCTTTCTGGGAGGAAAAAATACGTGTCCCGGGTGGAAGCGAGAAGACTGACACAACAGCAGACTGACTGTTTTTCAGTTCTGATTAGAAACTAGTGTTGAGATGACTGTCTGTCATGATAGCATGTACTAAGTACCAGATAAGCACATTAAACTATAATCCATAAACGTAAAGTAACAACTGAGACCTAATGGTGCTGTGACAGCAACGCTTTTGAGTTTGAGACAGTGAAAATACTTATGGTATGTTGTATCTGAACAGGTTAGCTTACAAGCTAAAGTTACTTAGCACAGATGAAAGTTAAAACAAAGACGTTTAGCAAACTCTCATCATATGAGAGATCCGACACTATGACTCTCCACAAGTTGTCCTTCAGGTCGTTTTCTTTGTAATATTTGAGGGTTTTTTTTATCAAAAAGCACTCTGTTCTCCAACATGGAAACAATTAGCCGGTCGGCCATGTTGGGTAAACCGGTGAATCTGATGTCCCAACAACACGCAATTTGATTGGTCAGAAGTGGACTCACAGTATGCGAAACTTTAGAAAAATCGACCACGATCCAAAAAAATAAATGCCGCAATATCGCTGAACAGGAAAACGTCGCTGATGTGAACGCTTGTATTGACAGGATACGAGTTAAAAAAAAGTATTGATGTCCGAAATAATCGCACGACAAAATCGCTCCCAGTGTGTAAGGACCTTAAAAGAGACCGACTCAACATCTGGGTAACCAGGGAGAAGCAATCGATTCCTGGCTCAATCATCGATTGTAAGTGTTAAAATTACTATTTAAAACTAGGATAAACTCAAAATAGTGAGCAAAAGTGACAGTTAAATTGTTAAAGTATTAAAGCCGAAGCGGTGAAAAAAAAACAGGTTAAAATGTTGCTGAAAAGAGGAAATTCTTTTAGAAGTTGACCATAGACTGTTGACATTTAGAAATGCCTCCACACAGACAATCCCACCACAAGATTATATACATATATGTGTACATAAAGGCACAGCTACCACCAAGTGGAGCCTTGGAAACAAAAGAGGTTGGATCTCATACACTACATTATTTAAAGTGAAAACCAAACTCACCACCGCAGAAGGACTGTGTCTGTCACTTGTTAAGCTGAGCCAGGTCCATAGCAATCCCCAGGGTATCTAGTGCTGTCAAATCTATTTAGTCTTGCATCACTGTTTACTTCAGGACGGTTTTTAAATGATGGACCAGCAGTTGATACTAGTTTTCATTCTTCCACAAATATTCTGTCAGTGTTAGCCAGATGACTGTAAATACAGACAGGGTTTGAGTCTTTTCTGTTATATGACATAGCAAGATGAGCCAGTACACATTTAGAAAATAAAATGTATTGCTTTCTAAAATAAAGAAGAGGGAAGTGCAAATTAAAACAGTGGTAACTTTATACCAATAATGTTGATGCTCAGACCCGACTAATTCAGTGGACCCTGTAGGTACATTAATTTAAGCTGAAAAAACTACCCTATTTGACATCTTTGTTGTATAAGTTACTTAAAGATTTAAATGACAGGTTAGAGTTTATAAATGGGTATTGCTCTATAAGGGCTGTTGGGAAACCTCAAACACTAAAACTTTTTAGATGTTATTCAGCCTGGAGGTGTAGGATTGACATGCTTTCTTCTTTCACCATCTTAAACATTAGAATAATAGTAAGATATTAATTTCGCATCAATAATAATTCAATAGATGTATAATTTCCAGAAAAGAACCACTCCTCACTTTGAGTTGTTGTCGTTTAAAGGACTGGAGTAAATCTTTTGGCACTGGTCAAGATTAAAAAGTGACACACATGCTAAATTTAGCCTCACTTGGCGTGATTATTTATAGCTACACTATCACTTCAAATGGTAGGTCTTCAAAAGAGCTACTTTTGTACCTCTGTTTGATGAAAGTATTTTGGTATTTAGGCCATGTCTGCAGTTGCTGTTGAAAGCTGGTACACAGACCAAAAAGCTAAAGCCTTTAAGCTGAAATAGAGAAAAACAGTACCAAAATAAAGCAAAGTCAGACAATGGGAAGTCTGACAAAGCCACATCCAAGGCAGCCATTTTCAGACTTTATCTATTTAAAGCAAAGTCAAACATCAGCTGCCACTCATCTCTGTTGATTCAGTGAGTGATGCACAGTGGTGGAAAATATGCTGAGGGCTTTTGTTCATGAACTCACTGTCACCATCTTTACTTCTTACTGTACACAAAGGGAGATAATAAGTTAATAACTTGGGTGGTGTTTGTTTGGTATGTGTAGGGTTGTCTGTGTTGTTCAGTGTGAGGCCCTGAGAATGTGAACATGCCCTTCATGTGTGATGTGAAAGCATGACGCTGACACCCCACCATGTGTATGTGACTCCAGTGAGGCTGAGAGTCACACTCTTGTTGTTTTCATTATGAATTATAAACTCAGAGGGCGTACACAAACTCTTGGAAAGTTTGTGTTTGTATTTCCTGGATTCAACTTACACATGCAAATCTTGGTCATCATATTTAAAGCAGAGGGACTTTGCATGTTTCCATATCAGTTACATAATGTTCAAACAGTGCTTTGAGAGGGTGTTTCCAGGATAAAGGACTGTAGCTGATAAAGGAAACGTGTAAGTGTTGCAGCCATAAAGGATAATCTTAGACATGTCAGGAGTTTTCTCTTGTTTATGTAGACAGATGACTAAGGCTCGTTCACTTCTGGGTAAGAATTTGATTCATTTTCCATTTCACGTGGATCATGTTTGCATTACTTAGTTCTATTGGTAATTCCAGACACTGGTGCTAGGTAGACATGACACACCTCCTGTCTCATCTATTGGAGATGTTGTGAGACTAGCGTGGCCTCACCTGAGGGTGTGGCAGCACATGTGACTCACTCATATCGACCATCAAAGCGAGTGATTTGGCTCAGCTCTGAAGGAACGTCGCCAACTTTGCCGGTAATCCTCTGGGAGACTGGGGAACAGTGAAGGACCACAGAAGTTTTCCTCTAAAGCTCAGACTGTCACATGATTACGAGGCATTTGATTTGGATAAAGCATTCCTCATTAGGCCTTGTCGTATTGAACAGATGTGCTTTGTTAGGCTCTTAAACTGGAAAAAGTTTAACTCCATCAGCAACAAAACTTTAAAAAAAATGTCTTTAAAGTCAAATGTTTCTTGAATAATGAGATTCCAGTGATATAATAATCCTACTGTAATGCTACATTAGGTCTGGGATTGTAATAGATTGAACATTGGGTATTAACCTGATGATGATAAAAACAAACTCCAGAGTTAAAGAAGTGCATTTTAAATACAAAACAAAATGACCAGTTTATTTTAATCAACTATTTTGCAGGTTATCTCTTCTTTTCACATATTCATTGAAATAGATGCATGTACTGTATAGTGACTGTGGCTTAGCGGTACAGTGGGGCACCTCTCTGTCAGAAGGTTGCTGGTTCGATCCCAGCTCTTTCAAGTCACTTACCAAAGTCACTTACCAAAGTCTCGCTTACACTTTACATAGAACCCTTTGCAATCAGTGTTTGTGGTGTGGACGGGTGAGCATGACCCACAGTCTTAAAGCGCTTTGAGTGGTCTGGGTTATGTTAAAACAGCTGCCAATATCCGTCTATTCATCGACTAATTATATTGACTAATCCTTTTTGCACTACACATTTTTACATCATGCTACATTTTGTCACGTCTCCATTTCACATGGAGGATGGGGAGAAAGATGAGCACCTTTATCGATGTTTCGCAGTATCCTTGAGAAACACAGAGATATATGGCTCTGTCAGTGGTGCTAAAGCAGACGATGAAAGATAGGGCCTGTAGTAACCTTCAGACACATTAATCAGGAGGGTCACAGGGTCACTGCAGGTCTTCCTTCGAGGTTGACCTCTGGTGTATGGAAAAACACACGTGACATCTCTCGGTAGGACCACCTTCAGATAGCCGATGAATCATAATATTCAACTCAAGCCATTCATCGATGAGTGTTGACAATAACATGAAATACAAGAGTGCAATGATGGGCCTGGAAGCAAACAGTGTGTTAAAGGTATAATTCTTGTTTTAAGTGGGGTTGTATGAGGTACTTATCAATAGTAAGTGCATCTCCCACAGGGGTACCAGTTTACTGACGAACTGGCTTTAGCAGCAGACTGTAAGTGAGGCTATCAACTGCAGTAGTTGGGATCTACCACCTACTTTAGCCGATTTAGGAAGCTCTGACCCAGACACCAGTGTTGGTGTAAGTATTTGTCATCAGAAAGCCTATTTGTTTTTGCACTACTCTCAGATATGACGCATGTTTTCTCAAGCTGCTTTACCCTAGTTAGTACCAAAGCTGGACTAAAACAGTGAATATCATCTCAAGTAATACCAGTGGGAGGCTGGTATAAAAAAACTGACAATATTAATTAGACCAGCTTTGATCCACAGTACTGCAGACTATGTGTAGCTCCTAATTACTAGTTTGAAAGATTTTTTCCTCTATGCCTCATTAACCAATAAAAGCCTCTTTCAATGAATAAGTGGAACAATGAAAGATATCCTTATACCTTAGTGGACTTCATGGGTGCCCTCTCTTAAGAGCCATTAGTCTTAGCTTATGAGGTTTAAATCATGTAGTTTCTCATCAGTACCGCACGGTGGGTAGCATTGGTCGAAGAAAAGCACAAAATCCTGTAAGAAAAGATCTACTCTTTTATTTTCTACCAGAAACTGCTGAAATCAAATGAAAATGAGAGAGTGAGCAGTGGAGTTTGATCATGATAGAGAGAGAAAGAGAGTGCCAGTAAAGGAAACAATACAACAAAACGGAGAAAGGAAAAGTTATTTCTTTGTTACTCCACAGCTGTTACACACTAAAGAACTTGGAAACACAAACATGTTATCAACTGCGGGATAAGGTACTGGATTTGGTTTTCTTTCAGCTAACGTCATGATTTCTTTCAGGCTGTTCTGTCTCTCTCTGCTCCACCCTCTGTCAAAGTCACTTCACTCTTAACCGTTCTTGGTAAACAGTGACATAATGTGGACACACACATATAAGGTTAATGTGTGTTGCAGACGCACAAGGCGAAGAGGAGAGACAAGAATGTCCCCTTATCCTTATATGTCTTTTATTAGTTCTGATCAACAGGAGCTTCGCTGCAGTATTGTCTCCTTTAAAATGACAACACTGGCTGTGTATTGATACTCACACCACTGCACACTGTCTTTTGGGTTATTTATGATAATCCAGAGGAATTATGGTGTGGTTAAATACTCTTAGGAAGAAAATCTCTGTTTTTTGCCTTTCATTATTATTCATGGTATGTTAAATGTGTGCTGTTACATGAGAGAGTCAGGGGAGAGCATTTCATATACGCGTGTTTGCATGTTTATTTCTCATTTCATCGCCTAACTCCAGAGGAATTATGGTGTGGTTAAATACTCTTAGGAAGAAAATCTCTGTTTTTTGCCTTTCATTATTATTCATGGTATGTTAAATGTGTGCTGTTACATGTGCTGTACTGGCATACGTGTAGGTCAGGGAACAAAAATAACCAAATTAACCAGTTTTGGATGCCCAGGAGTTCATTTTTAGTTGCTTTGGTATTGGGACAGATATCACTATTGTTTAATTTTTTATAGATATAGTAAAGAAGTTCAAAATTCTGGTTGACAGGGCATATAATATTTATCACGAAGCAAATAACTTGGCCAAAAAAAGAGTGAACAAATCTGAAAGATGTTTGCACACATAATTGTGGTCACTCTTGTGTGTTTGCCATCAGTCATTCAGCCACTGAGAGTGTGATTCCCAAATAAGTGGAGCACAGTTTCACAGTTTCTACTGTGCGTCCCTCTCCTGTGCTACAGGATCCGTGACCCCTATCCATTACAGGATGAGGTATCATTGTGCAAAGTGAAGACAAAGAGAGAACGAAGCGCCAGTGTGACCTCAGACGCCGTGCATGCATGTGGAAAGATGTTTGCACACATAATTGTGGTCACTCTTGTGTGTTTGCCATCAGTCATTCAGCCACTGAGAGTACTTTACCTGGGGTAGTGCAGCATCAGCACACACACACACACACACACACATGCACATGCACACACACACACACACACACACACACACACACACACACACACACACACACACATTTACTGGTGTTGACAGAGGCAGTGCAGTCAGGGCCCGTACACATCTACGCTCATGCACACAAATATGTGTCCCGACACACACTCACACACACACACACTACTCTGTCGGTGTGCTGCTAGAGAGGCAGGGCTCTGGTTTCATTCAGGCTTCAGGCAGCTGAGAGGTTAGAGCCTTGTATTTGCGTGCAGCAGCTACCAGGCTCCTGACAACAAAGATATCATCTTGGGTGAGTCGCTTCAAGGCAGTAACAGAAGATAAAGCCGTGTTTGTGTCTGAAATCTGGACTGAGGTCATAGAGAAAAAGGAGCTGAAGGTAGATGTTTTATTTTTTTTTTGGCGGCTTATTTTTCAAGGGGTGCTGCGCAGGGAAAGTTTTTCTTTTCTTCACTGGGTGGAATTTCAGGTTGGGTCGTGTGTTTCTGTCCTAAGCCTTTGACAGCATAAACTTTTTTGAAATGGATATCAGTGTTAAACTGAAACCATTTCCTGCATCTGAATTGCTCTTTTCCTCTAAACCATGATGAGAAGTTAATATACACCTACTTCACATTTTCAGACATCTATCAGAGTTGTTGTCATGGATTTTTTGGGCATTTACTCGATGTATTTGGTGTCATTGTTACCACTTTATTTTGAGTATATGGTCATGTTTGTGGAGTATGAAGAAAAACATTTTTCCCCAAAGAGTGAGTTCCTAATCAGCACTCTCCATATGAGAAGGAATTAAAGGAGATTAGCAGCTGCACAAAGGGATGGAGACCACTGCCGATTGGGTGCACGGGGTCATTAGTGATGGGGGTTGTATTTCTGCCCACTTCATTCAAAACTCTTATTCTCGTGCGGTGTCGTGGCTTTGTTCCCCCCCATTAGCAGAGTTTGACTTAAGTCTGTTTTCTTGTGCCTCATTTCCCAGAGTTTAGCTCCTGCAGCACAGTGACTTTTAGCTGAGATGAGAATTCCTTTTGTCCCTCAGGAAACTCGCTGAGAGGAAGCAGCTGCGGCTTGCTGCCATATTGCTGCTGCTCTGTGAATTTGTCATTTCCTGTGGAGCTGGCTGGTATGAGTTGAAATAGTCCAACTTGTGCAGGAGTCCTAACTGTGTTTTTCTCTCTTGACAGAAAACCAAATGAAGACATGGAGATAACATTTTTCAAACTGGATCATTGTTCCACTTTCACAGCTTAACTGGATTTTTACTCTGGGCAGAGATGCAAGTTTTGGGGAGATAAGGGAACTCAAACCGTTTTCTGGATCTACACAGTTCAGCCCGAGCTTTCCCAGCCAATGGCTACAACAGAAACTAAAGTTGCCGGCGGCGGCAGCGCTGCGGGCCTGTCGTGGGCTCGGGTATGTAAAGAGTGCGGTCAGCAGCATGAAGGCCAGGAGAGCCACCTGTATGAGTACCAGGACGATGTGGACGATGAACTGGTTTGCCACATCTGTCTGCAGCCCCTCCTTAGACCTATGGACACCCCTTGTGGCCACACGTACTGCTTTCACTGTCTGAGCAACTTCTTGAAAGAGCAGGACTTCTGCCCTGTGGACCGCCAGCGGCTACAGCTACATCAGTGCCGACCCTCCAGCCTTCTGGTCAGGAACCTGCTGGACAAGCTGACTGTCATGTGCCCCCACTCTTCAGAGTGTCAGCAGCAGATGCAGCGCTGTGAGCTGCAGCCTCACCTGCACAACAGGTAAGACTCTGGACGGTATGCTATCAGGTCATGATAACAACTCAAGGTACTTCAAGGCCTGGAGCTGGCTAAAACAGTTGGCCCTTGTTAAATGCTCCCCTTATTTATATAATATAAGAATACTCTGACTTTAACATAAAGCAGCCACACAGTGTAACAGACTCCTGTAGAGGGGGTGCTTTTAAACCCAAACATAGTACAGTGCTTAGCTCTCCATTAGAAACAGACAGTTTGATGTTGAAGGCAACGCCTGAATGATGCAAAATAGAGCAGAAGTGTAGATGTAGTCATGGATTTCATCAATTTGTCAGGAGGCAGTGGTAGGATTTTAGAGAGGATTTGGAGGATTCAAGGCACGGGTTCATATAGAGACCAAAGCGTACCACAGATAACCCAGGACTATGCCTGAAGACATCTATGATACGGTGAGGGGTGTCAAAGAGAGGTGATGCACAGCACAAAAGTTCACAGCAGCACAGTGTGCACAAAGAAAACAAACTGTGCTGTCCACTGAAAACCAATTTAACTGACCTTATATGTTTTTAAAGGAACAGTTCACATTTTTGTCACTACACAATCTTTCTTTAGAGTGATATCAAGAGTTTTTAGCCATGCTGGGGTTTGTTTAACATAGTGTCTGAAAGAAAGGAGAGAGTTTGACTGAGTCTCGAATCAGTGTGCTGCTGCTCCTTGTTTGTCCAGGTTTCACAAAATTGGAAAAACAGGTAGCAGTAGTGACATCGAGGTTGTCCTTGAACTCACTACAAAAAAAACCAACAACTATTGCACAATGATAAGGTGCATAACGTTGTAAAAGGTACCAAATCTGCACCCATATAAATAGATTTCCCTGCATGTGTGAGTGGAAGTTAGTTAAAGTCAGGACAAAACAGTTTGGTCTATTTCTCAGGAATGTAAAGTAGCTGTTATCAGAACACAGTGCTCCTCCAAACAGTGTGTTTATCCCTGTTGAAGCTTTTAGGTTTATTCCTTGTAGCTCCATGAACACAAAAACTTGTAATTACTGGGGTGCCAACAGTTGCCTTGTCTTTCACGTGGACAGTGAGGCGCTTGTCACCCTGTCGAGTGGCCATGACGCAGTCAGCTGTGGGAGGCAGATTGTCCTGCTGCAGCCTCACTGTGCAAACAAAGAGGAGACAAAGTTCAGGCTTGAGGAACAAGCAGCAGCTCCGGCGCTGTTACTGACTTAATCAGACTGAATCCCCGTGTCAACCCTGCAATGCAGAGAAACTGTCTGCTAATATGCACCGTGAATCCTGTCTGTAACCTGTGGGAAAAAAAAAAACTGACCTCCTTTTTTCTTCTCCTCGTTTTTGCCCAAACCATCCCTTATCTGCCCCCCTTTGTCTGTGTCCATCCATATCTGGGATCCTTTAAGAGCGTCTCTTTACATTTTATTATAATGACATTCATATGTGCTGTCCTCCCTGTTCCTGTCTTTCCTCAGATGTCCTGTTTTTAGAAGGCTTAGGGAGGAAGCAGAGAAGAGGAAGAGGCCCTCGTGGAATGAGCTAAAGGGGCGTAAGGGTGAGGGGGAGTCGTCTGCAGAGGCCAAACATTCAGCAACACAGTCCCGAAATCCCAGCAGAGATCAGCCTGAGCCTGGTCTGATAAATCCTGCCTATGAAGAAAGTGAAGAAGGTACGGACTCAGTTTATCACACCAGCTACAGCTATTATATTCAGAATCGCTCTCTCTGACAACAATGAGGTTCATCCACAGCTAGAAATTCAGGACTCTATTCTGTTGACTCTGTCACTGCAAAGTTTCTGGTGACTTTATAACACATCTAACAGAGTACAGTTCATCAAAATGCCTCGTGTTTTTGTTCGGTTGAAAGGGTTGTGTTTTTAGTACAGTGCTCCTGGAGGTGCTTGTGCATGATGTCGTTTGAGCAAATGATTTAAAATGAATCGAATAGATGGACTGATGTTGCTAAAAGCCTGTTTCTGATATTGATTCAAAGATTTAGTCGTACTGGTCTGTTGTCTGTGCTAATAAGAGATCACAATTACAGTAGCTTTTCTGTGTTTTAATTTACCTAAGCACACACAAACATAGTCTTAAAAAACTCATCTTATTTGGAGATTATTTGCTGTAGGGGCTTCATCAAAGATACAAAGATAAAGATGTATTTAGAGGCATCAGGCAGACAAAGCTCCTTCATGGAGGTGACTGTACAAAACCATAAATCTTCTTGCCCACCCACTATCATTGAGGTGATTGTGAAAACGCACTCTGAGTGCTGATGTATTTGGCCTTAAGGTCCTTTATTCTGAGCCTTCAGATGACGCTGAATCATCACTGAAGCTGTAGGAACATGCTCGTCTCCCAGATGTTTTAACCAAAAGTTTCATCACTGGGAAAAACCCTCACAGCAACATGGTCCAAAGACTTCTGACACATAGCTGCCAGACGACCGTCCCCCCTGTGTTCAGACTCTTTGAAATCCTCGTCATTGTCATCCCTTTTTTTTCCTAACCTCATTTCCAAACTTAGAACTGATCCTTAAATTCTCATATTTATTTATTATGGAAACATGTTGTCATTATAAACACATGACTGATGTTGTGTATTGACTCATCAAGATAACACCATCACTCCAGCTGAACTCAGACGTGTTTGAGGCAGAAGTCTGCAGGGATCTGTGAGTAAACTAACTCACATCAATGATTCAGTGATCTCCTCGAGCTCACAGATCAAGTCTTCATCTCTAACTATCTGTGTTTTTGTCTGATGGAAGAACTGGTTTCATTTGATTGGGTTTATGCCGAGGTCCACGTGGCTCCTTTTTCTTATCTGTGCCACTGTCTCCTGTTTACCATTCAAACAAATTTCCACCTCGAGTTCAGGAACAGGTTATTGTTTGACTCAGCGTTTAGTGGGATGAAGCATATCTAAAAGTCTACCCCGGGATTTTTTCAAGATTTATATCTTTTACAGGTAATTTTGGTGGTTGAGATGAAGAGATCAAAATCTAGGTCTTTGTATCTAGTATCGAGTTAATTAAATTAGTACTTTAAATTACTGCATGTGCGGTTCACAGCTTTTGTTTAGTCTAAAAAGGATTTAATAAAAAAGAGAATTTGATCTTGATAAGTGTATTTCATCACAGAAGGAGAAAAGGCACCATATCATTTTGGTGGACGGCTCCTCTCTCTTCGCTGCAGGACAGAAAGATTCAGAAGATCTTTTGTACCAACAGCCATCAGACTTTATAAGTCTTGTGTAAATAGTTGATAACTTTTGGAGACATATTATGTGAGACAACAGACAATTGACTTTCCCTTCTGGGATTATTTAAGTTCTTCTTCTTTTTATTATTATTCTTTTTGTTTCTTGGAATCAAGGGTTGATATTTAAAATCATCGTTTTACAGTTTGATGGTCCCCAACATGGAGAGAGCAGTGTTATAAATTCATTTTTAGTTCCTACTTTGTATTTGTTCAATACTTTGTATGTACAGTTTAGCTCACAGGAGCCAAGAGCTGGGTGTTTTCTTTATAGACAGGATAAAAAACAGCTTTTATTCCAGTGGTTTTTCCATTCCTGATCCTGCCAGACAACACCCCCCTGCGGTCCAGCCTGGTCGCTGAGGCCAACGTGGTGGAGCTGTTCAGAGAGGAGCCAGAGGAGGAGCTGGGCCTCCGCATTGTTGGTGGGAAAGACACGCCGCTAGGTAACATCGTCATCCAAGAGATTGTCAGGGACTCGCTCGCTGCTCGTGATGGCAGACTGGCCCCTGGTGACCATATCTTAGAGGTGAGAGGGATTCATAAGCTAAATCAGAAAATGCTCCTGGAGAATGAAGCCTGTTCTTCAACTCCCAAATTCAGAGGTGTCTGAGTGGCATGTCATAACACATGCAAGTTTAACATATTTTTGCACAAACACTTTTGTCATTGCATTCTCATGCTGTAGTAAACACGGCGCTGTGCTGCAGGGGAGGAGGAAAGCAGACAGTCAGGATAAACACGTTTTAGCTCCATGGTAACAAGGTGTGGTTAATATTCACTGGCCAAACACGTCATGCTAATGAAAACAACTCTACCTGGTCGCAGTCACTGATTGACAGACTAAACAGCGTCTCTGTTTGAGAAGGTCGATGTTCAAACGAAAGCTGCGTCAAAATGTAATCTGATCTTTTCTGAAGAGTTACATAACCAGAGTTTGTGAAAGTGTATCAAGCTTCCTGACAGTGATAATGAGTTTATTGTACCATCTTGGCTGCTCTTAAAAATGTGTTTCTTTATGCTCCTGATCTCCTGATGTTAAATCTGCTCTCAGCAAATGTTTGAAAACAGCCTAAAAGCTAAACTACTGTGAAAAACAGCTGCTAATGATTATATTGTTTAATCAGTTGGTTAATTCCCTTACTGTGAAACTCCTATGAAAACAACATTTCAAAGTTTGTGTTGTTAATGGACTAATTTGAGTAGGATAATGGATAATGTTTGATTTGCAGTCTTCGTTCTAGTCTTTTCATAAGGTATAGTTTCCGTCTTTCTTTTTGTATTTGGAGCATCTTGTTCTCCATCAATCAAGCTTTTAGGCTACCTTAGCCTTTTGTCCTGGACCCCTACTACACTGTCTCTTCCAAAATGCAATCACTCCAAAACCTGGAATTAAACTAGCAGTCCATTAGCCAGTGATCTGCCTGCAGGAAGTGAAATAACAGCTCCAGTGGTTTTTTGGCTCTGTTGAGCATTTGTGGATGATAAGAGAGACTGTAAAGACCCGCAAAGACCGCATCAGAAAGATCTTGAAACTCAATATTTCTCTCCTCATTGAATCAATTTATTGATTTGCAAAAGCCCACTTTCAAATCAAAGCTGTCAGGAAACATTTTGACAGCTCTATTTTTAGCCACAAGAATCAAGCAGAAGATAAGATCCCTGGCATTCGTTCTTATCTTTGAAATGTAAGAGAGAGATAAGGAAGTGAGGCATGATGAAGAATTCAGAATCACTTTACATCATAAAATCATACTAGAGCTTTAAATTAGTGTTACGTAGTTTTCTTCTTTAAGCAGCACCAATACAGGGAATACAGTGTCCCAGATTTTGCTGCTTTGTGTTGCCGTGTTATCTTGTGTTCAGCTGCTGACTGTTTTTCTCTCCTCCATGTCTGTAGGTGAATGATGTCAGTCTGGCTTCGGTCCCTCACGCCCGGGCCATCACAGTGCTCCGTCAGCCTTCCCTCCTCCGGCTCACTGTTATGCAGGAGAAAGGTTTCAAATCAAGAGATCCACGTCCAGATCACCACCCTCCTTCCTCCTCCTCCTCTGCCTCTCAGCCCACTCACAGTCCCCATGGCAACACTACCTCCAACCATAACCCCGGCACAGTCCTGCAGGTGACGCTAATGAAGAGTCAGCGCTCTGAGCCACTCGGAATCAAGCTCATTCGCAAATCAGATGAGAGTGGGGTTTTCATCCTGGACCTGCTGTCTGGAGGTTTAGCAGCCAAAGATGGAAAACTGAGAAATAACGACAAAGTGTTGGCCATTAATGGACATGACTTAAGGCACGGTACACCTGAGAGCGCTGCACAGATAATACAGGTATATTCAAGGGCCAAAGATGTACCAGTTTATCATCGACGGCTGTTACGCAATAACAAAGTTGTGATGGAGAAAAAATCTGAATACAAAAGTGAACCTTTCAATCATTGATCATGTGTGTGTATTTGTTTTTGTCTTCTGTGGGCATTCAGGCGAGCGAGGTGCGTGTGAACTTTGTGGTGATGAGACCCGCAGAGTCTCAGGAGGAAGGAGGAAGCGGCAGGGAGGGATACGGCAGAGCAGCCAGGAGACCTGAACCCCAGTACTTCAAGCGACAGTCCACCTACATGAAGGTGAGACTCAAACCAGTGAAGTTACCAATACCTCACACTCTCTCTGTAACAACAAAGAGAGTGTGATATATCTGTATGATATTGTCTGTGTGTTTCTTATCAATGTGTGTACTAGGGCTGGGCGATAAAACAATAACAATATATATCAAAAATTAATTTCCCTCGATATCGATATAAAACATGGTCAATATGCTTCTCGATAACCGGTATTCTGTCATGTTTTGGTAGACTATACGAATAGCCATTGAAAAGGGGAGTTGCTCCGGGTTGCGCCGCGCTGAACCAATCGTGCTGAATTAGAACCAAGTAGCAAACAACTGTGTAGTTGCAGGCTGAAGCTACACGCAACCATAGCACTTTAACAGGTGAAGCCGACAGCACTGTCGGTGAGAAAAAAAGAAAATAAGTGCGACCCCCAGCAGAAATGCAGATAAAGGCTCAACAGATGAAGACATCCTCGATAACACTGGCATGAAAATGTCGGTAGTGTGGAGGTATTTTGTTTTTTTGAGGTCGGACATGAAGCAGAGTAATGTGCACTGCAAATTATTTCTAGTACATTTTAATTTCATTTAAGAGTAACAGGGAACATTTAAAATTGACAAGTGTTTATTTTTATTATTGTGATATATATCGACTGATATGGAAAAAATATATCGTGATAAACTTTTTTCCATATCGCCCAGCCCTAGTGTGTACTGTCACAACGTTTCACAAACCTAATGAAATGATTCGCATCTGTAATCTTCCTCCGCTCCCTTAAAACCATCTCCAGAAAACTAGATGTTTTATTTTTAATGGATCTGTTTATTAATTATTTACTGAGTATAAACACACATATATACACACAAAATCAAGCCACGCCAAAGCTGAAAGTGCGTAATTATTACACGTATATCTACATTTCTCTTGGCCCTCGCCAGCTGTTCTGTGCTGGACCTCTAACTTCCTCTTTTACACCGTTAACTACTGTGTGGGTCACACTATCTTACAAACCTTCCATGTTTGTGTTTACACAGTGTAATTGTGCCGAGCGCTCCTTTGTCAGTCACACTCAGTTGTACCATACGCTCTCGGTAGAAAGAATAGCACCCCCTCAGTCAGGGGTGAGAAGCTTTGAGAGCAGACACCTGCGTCGGTGAGCGGAGATGAAAGCCTCCTCTGTCCTGATCAAAAGGCCCGGGGTGCTGCCCACTCTGCTGCTACGGGGCCGCTGTCTTGTTGTTTTTTTGGCTGTTTCTTTGCGTGGCAGAGGATCAAAGCTGGTAACAGTTAGCTTTCGCCTGCAGAGTCGAGCCTTTTCGTCTCACCAGGGGGGGATGGGCTCCCTGCTGGGGGGAGGAAGAGCCCCTACCTCCCCTGAGCTTCCCTTCTGATGGTTTTCAGAGTTAGGAGAGAAACAAGGGGGCTGAGTGAAACTGTCATTTTCGACACAGCTTTTCCACTACGAGAGTTGAGTGTGGATCCTCACACATTCCCTCTATTCTGACTTCTCAGCTCCCCCTCAAATGCTTCACATTTGTTTCTACAATAGCTCTGTGAGGGCAGACCATTAAGTCGACTAATCCTGATAAAACTCAAGCTGATGGGCTGGACAGACGTCATGCACATTTAGTCACACAAAAGAATGAAAGATTGTAAAACACATCCTGCAAAAAAAACTATCGTCTTAAAGATCCGTCTGTCAGCATCAATGTGTTTATCAGTATAGTAATATGTCTAATTGTTTCTGCAGGATCCTCCAGGTGGGTTTTCCAGCCAGGAGAAGACGGTGAGCCTGAAGAAGGAGCCTCGACTCTCGCTGGGCATCACCATCGCTGGAGGGAGGGACTGTCGCAGCCGCCTGCCTGTTTACATCACAAGTGTGCAGCCTGTGGGCTGTCTGCACCGAGATGGTACCATCAAAAAAGGTATGACACTTCACCTGGTGACCTGCAGTTTTGACGCCATCACTTCTAAGACCTTTTGTTTTACTGAAGTTTTAGACTTTGTAATGTGTTGCCTCGGGAGCAACTTAGGACTATTTTGAGTTTAATGGTAAACAGAGAAGGATTTCATTATGAAAGTATTGTTTGGTTCAGTATGCTCCAGTTCAGTGGTTCTCAACTCACTCTGGGACCCACATATTCCCATGGTTCTTAAGTCGCGACCCACTTTTATAAAATTTAAACCAAGCAAATTTATTTCTAAAAAAAAAAAAAACCTGTAAAGACTCAAATCTTTGACATAAATACACTAATTTTATTGAGTAAAGTGCATTTCAGAGCACATGAACTGAGGATGACAACTACTAAAGTTGCAGAAACAGAAAATATCAAATTGCACAAAATGGAGACCATCAAAACGAAAATTTTGACTTCTTTGCATCTCTGCACTCAGAGCATATTCAGAAGAACCTGTGGAGGAACCTGCAACAGCATGGACAAAAGTGAATAAATATTAAATTGCACAAAATAAAAACATGAATTCAGGCCACATTAATAAGAAACCGAGGAGGACCACAACATATTTTGTGCCTTTCAAAATAAGCTAGTTTTCAAAATAAAAGACATGTCAAACATCAGATTAAATGTTTACTTTTTTGACCAGCTGTTAGCGACCCACTTTTGGGTCAAGACCCACCAGTTGAGAACCACTGCTCTAGTTATTGCTGGATAATCATCCATGTAGTCAGTATGTGTGTTTTCAGAGTGAGCTCAGATATCACACAAAAGCTGAGTGCCATTCACTTTCCTGCTGTCCAGGTTACACGTCTGCTGCAGTGTGTCTATAGGCCTCAGAAGAAAAAGGATATGTTCTTGTGGGCTCAAATTGAGGCAGAGGTGGCACCATCCTGACCATGCGCCACGACGTGCATGTATTTGTAAATTCAACCGATTCACTTTCTTTTACAGGCAACATACTTTAAGCAAGAGGCCATTTTAAAATAGAAACACGCTCAATTTCAGCTCTGCAAATTTTTTCAGCTACAAACGTTGTTGCTCTTTAAATTGAAAGAACACTTCATCCACACATCTCGCAACCAGACAGAACATTTCAGCCTCCTCTTTTTCATTCTGTAGAACCTCCTCATGCACTCCTTGTAGTCCAAGGCCTCCTGGTCTGGTCCATCAACGGCCACCTTACAACAGACATCCAAGTGCCTCTCCTTCAGTCTGTTCCACAGAGGTGTCTTCACCTTAAACAAAACAATTCATCATGCATTAAGTATTTTTGTTTTTATTCTGATACAGACATGAAGAGTGATAGTGTTTTCAATCATATATATGTATACGCTGCAGTGTCCTCCCTAAAAAAAAAACGACAACCAATTATTTCTTAAACTATCTAAACTATGTTATTTATTTTTTGTAACTTTATTAGTTGAGTTTTTTTAGGTACTACCATCTTTGATATATTTCTCCTTCTCTTCTGCTGCTTTGTGAATGGCTGTCACCTCATGTCTTTTTAATGTGTCCAGCCTGTAGTTGGTTGATGGCTGTCTCACTAAGGAGGCAGCAATTGCCTGCTGTGTTGGGGCACAGTGCTTTTGGCATAAACAGCAGTGCATGCCTTCCTCAGTATGCCTGAGCCAGGTAAATTGATTGAGCCACTGCTTGTCAAAGCCACTGGCTCTGTGTTTTTGAGAAGATCTGGATAGAGGAATAAAAACCACGTACACGTCGGCTTTGCTTTGTTATGCTCCTAATTGGAAACTAATTAATTAATTACCCTCGCCTCGCCGACTCGTCCTGTCCTGCATTCTGACCCTCGCGATCACCAGTCCCTTGTGAAGTACTTTCAGACCTGACACAAATTTCCACGTTGTCACCAACATGAATTAAAGCATTTTAACTGCCTGTTACGTTTTTTCTCTGCTGTGTTTCACCTGGACTCTTGACTTTCCTCCTCGCGAGGTCGCTTTTTAAAGTACTGGCTGATTTTGCCTGTCATAACTGCAACGCTAAAAACGGAGTAAACTTTTTTTTTTTAAATAAACACGACATGCTTGGATGCAAAAAAGAGAAGCAGTATTTACCTGTTTGTACCATCCGCCAGGGAAAATCAGGACGCCGATAGCACCAACTAGCGGGAAAAAAACTTGAAAAAACATGATTCGATCCGTTTCTTCTTCAGTAGATGCTTCAGGTCTCTCCGGTGCACTGCTGTTGATATAGCGCCTCTATAGTGGCGCAACGCTGCAACTGCAGTTAAAATACGTTGCTGCTGCATCGGGACATCAATCGCTCAATCAACACAGCTGGAGCTTTACGCTGTGTTGAGCGAAATCAATCGCTCTGGCCGGGGGCGGCACAAAATTAGGTGGAGGCGGCCGCCACGCAATTTTGAACGCAGGAAAAACCCTGGATATGTTCTTGTTCAAACATTTTACCATCATTAAAGCAAGAGGCCATTTTAAAATAGAAACACGCTCAATTTCAGCTCTGCAAATTTTTTCAGCTACAAACGTTGTTGCTCTGTTTTCTTCGTCACAGCCTCCTAAAACTCTCAGAACTCTGCAGTGTGATACAATGATTATTCAGCTCGTCTGTGATCATAGTCACACTCAGACTTTAAATATTCAACAGTATGTTAACACGAACAAAGGTTTTCCCAGAGTTTTTGGTGTGTACTAGAAACAATAGATGACAGTTTTCTTTGTCTTACTCATCTGATTGAATTGACTCTAAAAACCGAGTCGTTTCTTTTTGAAAAATTCAATAAGAAACTATTCCTGAGTTTGAGCCCGCAGGTTGTCTTTACTTTAAAGTTTAAAACTGTATCCATGTGTCCACAGGAGACGTTCTTCTGAGTATAAACGGTGTTGATCTGACCCAGTTGACCTACAACGAGGCAGTCTCGGTGCTGAAGGCTCAGACAGCTCAGTCCCAGGTGGTGCTGAGAGTAATCCAGACCCTCTCTGAGGAATCAGAGGAGGACATGGAGAATGCCAACAAAGATGAAATGGACTCTCTGGATGACTTTCGAGATGATGCCCTTAACTGGACGCCGCTGTGGACCCGGTGGCTGGGATTACCGAGGTAGAACGCGGCTTAACAGGATCAAATTTATTTACTTAGACAGTGTGTCCGGTTTCTTTTAAATGTGAAAGTGTAACCTCTGACCCCTCACTCTTTGTTCCAGTAACATGCACTGGTGCCGGGACATCGTCCTGCAGAAGACCAACAATGAGAGCTGGGGCTTCAGCATTGTCGGCGGCTATGAGGAGAGTCATGGCCAGCAGCAGCCCTTCTTCATCAAAACCATCGTGCCTGGTACACCTGCTCACTTTGATGGACGCCTCAAGTGAGTCTATTTTTACCTCCGTATGACAGTCAAATGCTGCTTCCTGTTGTCACGCTCTCTCTCCAGACTTCACATTTACGCTCCGTGCCTCTGTGTGCAGGTGCGGTGATGAAATTGTAGCCGTGAACGGAGCCACAACAGTAGGAATGAACAACTCGTCTCTCAAAGCTGTGAGCTGGAATAAAGAAGAAAATAAGTCTGTTTTAACCAGGCAGTCTGGTGTAGCAACGGGTCCATTCACTCTCCTCTTTTTCTCTCACTAATGGCACACAGTTCTCTGTTCTGACTCACTGTCCCTGCATGTGTAACTCTTTATTGTTCAGTTGTTAGTTTTGTTATGTAACACAGAAAACATGTGTACTCAAGAGCCATTGTGTGTACAGTGGATTTGACTCTCAGCAGGTACCTGTTCGTTTCAGTGTCCTCACACACCCAAACAGCAGACGATCGCGTAGTTGATGAACAGTTAAATCAGGGGGCATACATGACAATCAGTGAGTTGTATCCTAAGGATAAACTGGAAGGATAGTTGTTTTTAGGAAACTCGTTTTGATCTTGATTCTTTTTCGTATGTTTTGCTTTTCTTGTTAAATGATCGTGTTATCATTGATTTAAGTGATTCACATTAAACAACATCCAAAGATCAGAAGTAAAGCTCACCAAACTGATGAGGAAAAATACTTAATGACTGTATATAAGAGTGGCTGCACAAATCACCATCCTATCTCACACCTTTGTAACCATTTTGAAAGATTTACCAACTTTATTTACAATTCACCTTGAAAGCACACTGCAGAACAATAAAGCTGTGATAATAATTAAAATATCTCCAGTAAAGGTGTTTTATCAAATACAATCATAAAACTACAACAGCTACACTTATATCCTGTTTTTAATTACACTTGAGATTAGCGCAGTGGTAACAGGAAAGCAAAAGGAAAGACCTACAGTCAGCTTTGCTCGCACTCGAGATCCAGTTCTGTTTGTGCTGTGTGAGTAAAGGGTGAAATCCCACATTTTTCTTCATTTGACAACAAACCTGCTAAGACAACTTTAACAGAGTCACAGAAACAGCTTTGGTTCCAGTTTTTTATTTTTACTGTTGGCTTCTCATATAAACCGTGGATAGGGGAACTGAGCTTAAGCACATTAACTATGTCTCTCAAAGCTGTGAGCTGGAATAAAGAAGAAAATAAGTCTGTTTTAACCAAAGTCTTATTAAGTTTTTGAGCAGCTTTTGATTTATTATTCATCACATCCACTGAACCAGAGCGCTGTATTTATTTTCTAATGACATAGTGGCTCATGTTTTAAGACTTTAAGAGGGTCCCTGTAGATATTGAAGGACAAACCAGAATGTACGCTTGCCTTAAATTACCACTGTACCATCACATATACCCCCCCATTGTAAACTGTTTATGTACATTTTAAGGAGAACGGCCTTCTTATGATTTTCAACTTTTATTTCTGTCAACACATTCCCAGTTGCCTTTCTTGTACTATAATTGATATGAGACTAATTGGATTATATACATGCAGTAGACAAATGTATTAGTCTGTCCAGTGATTCATTATGTACAATAAAGTCCTATAATAACAGATCAGAGCTCCTTACTTATTATAGCTTGTTACCATGGGGATCGTGACTTTGAGGTGTATTGCTGTTTGAGACCTGCTGCTTATGACTGGGTTTACTGTGTGTCACATTGTATAATGTGATAACCTGTGCTTCCGTCAAAGACAATATTTGAATGTTGAATCAAAGAGAAGAAGAAACCTATCACAAAAACCTGAGGTGTTAGAAAAATTATTTTATGACCCCCCAGCTGCCGTCGGTATATGAAAATCTTTGTGTACCTCTGAGCATGAGTGTGAATGAGTGAAGTCATTAACTGCAGTGAGAAGTGTCCAATAAACTGTGCAGTGCGTTCATGGTTCAGTCTGACCCCTAGTGGACAGAAAATGTATGAAACAAAGTTGTGACTTTTTGCTTATATTTAAGACTAATCTGACCAATTATACACACTTTTTCAAACATTAATTTAGAGCTCTTATATGAACTAAAGTTAGCAACGACCAACAAGGTTATCAAACCGTCCTGGTGCAAAGAAACTGCTCTAGATTAGTGTGCAGTCTAAGTTTGTGAATATCTGTATATAGTAACACACACACAGGACTTTTTACAGGATTAGGCAATTTCCTGCTCTATTATACAAACATTCAGAAATACACAAGACCAGTACATCTGCAGTGTCATATGCAGAGTGATCTGTACCATCACATATACCCCCCCATTGTAAACTGTTTATGTACATTTTAAGGAGAACGGCCTTCTTATGATATTTCAATTTGATTTACTGCTGTGGTAACCATCTCTGTATCATATGTTTGTATTTTAGACTAATTGGATTATATACATGCAGTAGACAAATGTATTAGTCTGTCCAGTGATTCATTATGTACAATAAAGTCCTATAATAACAGATCAGAGCTCCTTACTTATTATAGCTTGTTACCATGGGGATCGTGACTTTGAGGTGTATTGCTGTTTGAGACCTGCTGCTTATGACTGGGTTTACTGTGTGTCACATTGTATAATGTGATAACCTGTGCTTCCGTCAAAGACAATATTTGAATGTTGAATCAAAGAGAAGAAGAAACCTATCACAAAAACCTGAGGTGTTAGAAAAATTATTTTATGACCCCCCAGCTGCCGTCGGTATATGAAAATCTTTGTGTACCTCTGAGCATGAGTGTGAATGAGTGAAGTCATTAACTGCAGTGAGAAGTGTCCAATAAACTGTGCAGTGCGTTCATGGTTCAGTCTGACCCCTAGTGGACAGAAAATGTATGAAACAAAGTTGTGACTTTTTGCTTATATTTAAGACTAATCTGACCAATTATACACACTTTTTCAAACATTAATTTAGAGCTCTTATATGAACTAAAGTTAGCAACGACCAACAAGGTTATCAAACCGTCCTGGTGCAAAGAAACTGCTCTAGATTAGTGTGCAGTCTAAGTTTGTGAATATCTGTATATAGTAACACACACACAGGACTTTTTACAGGATTAGGCAATTTCCTGCTCTATTATACAAACATTCAGAAATACACAAGACCAGTACATCTGCAGTGTCATATGCAGAGTGATCTGTCATTGACAAAGAACTGTTGAGATCTCTCAGTAAATAGCAACACCACAAAAAAAGAAGATATTTCAATTTGATTTACTGCTGTGGTAACCATCTCTGTATCATATGTTTGTATTTTAGACTAAATTTCAAATATTGTATGCACAAGGCTAAATTGATCCCACCTGATATTTTTTACAAGATAAATTATATGACTTGCTTTGGGGTGTCGATTTTCACAAAAGAACAAGTTGGAGGAAAGTGAATCTGACTTTAGAAAAAAAGGTGTTTACTGCAATCCTTGTTCAGTCAGAAGGAACCTCGGTTCAAACCTCTGAATCTCTGCTGCAGTAAACCGAAACCTTGAGTTCAAACAGGGACAGACTGCGAATGTGGAAACAAAAACACAAAGGACCATAAAACCATCCAGAGTGAAGAGAGGCCCACCTCCACAGAGTTTCGGGGGTTGTGGTAAAGAGATACTGTAGAAATGTGGTTTAGTCTTCTCTGATTGCTCGTCCATGACTCTAGACAGTAGCAGCAGGTTATGGTTGCGGCATTCCTGAGTTTAATAAATGTGTCAACTAATTGGACAGTCTTGTTAAAGTTAACGACTCAACACCTTGTTAAACATGATAAATAGTGAGGCAGCAGGCTGCAGAAACCTGTCAATAATGATCTATTTTTACAGTAGGAAAACATCCTGCAAGTGTGTCACTAAATACAGAGATTGGAAAAAAAAAGGAGCAACAGGAAAAATAATAAAATCATCGATTTATTTTCTCCCATCAGGGATAAGGACAAACATTTACAAGAATTGTAACAGGGACAATACTGGGAGGAGGATTTAAACTCTCCTTTGTACAAGAGAACAAATTTCAACCTGTACTTCTCTGTGGTTCATCAACTACTCCAGAGGCACTCTAACACAACGCAATGCAGCAACCTGTTGACCAAGATTCAGGGAAATAATACTAACAGCAGTTTGCAACACAAGAACCATTTGCTCGAACACCCCGTGTACTGTTGGTTTATGTGCTTTTCAACACACCAGGAGGACCAAACACAGCACAGGAAGAGTAGAAAACTAGAAAATCAATGCAAAGTTGGGTTCAAATGATCAGATGACAGTTCTATTCTCCGAGTGCACATCAGAGATTCATACATCTCCAGTGTTAAGAGATGACTAATGATTAAAAGTCATCTTATTGGCAAAATCCACATGTTGACTTGCACTGCTGTTGTCACTGGATGAATATTCAGGATGTTTTATATCTTTCGAAATCCTGACTTTTACTGGGCTCAAGTGCAATTATCAGTCCTGACTCTGGCATCATTTTAACTATATGGCTTACAAGGTAAACAGGTCCATATAAACTAGAAAGGTACATAGACATCTTTCATTAATCAAATCTATGGTACAGCAATATATTGGCAAAAAAACAAAACTAAAGAGCTAAGTAACTTTATGTAAACAATGGTATACCACTGTACAGCTTATCCTAACATGGTATTTACAAGTCAAGTTCTCTTACTAGCTAGTTCCCATGTACAGAGGGTCAAATGTAAAGAAAACACACGAGGTGAAGACGTACACTGTACGTTAGGCAATCTTAACCACCCCATCTACTGGCAAAGAACTAGATTCAAACCCAACAAACAGCGTTAAAGAGTACAGCCTTGTTGAATTTCCCAATGCCTTCCTCCTCCTCCTCCTCCTCCTCTCACATGTGGAATAAAAAAATCATACATAAGGCAAGGATTAGTTAAGGAAGGTGGAGGCATCACATTCTTTGCAAGGTATAACTTTGAGAACAGATGGGATACAGGCTGATGGTTCTTTGGGGTAAATGCACTTTTTTGAAAGTTTCACTTTTTGTCACATGTAACAAAAAAAAAAAAAAAAAAAAAAACACATCCGAGTGCAACGAAAGGGACATGTCGAGTTCTGTTGGGAAAATGTGCAAAATCTGCTCTAAAGCAAAGTGACACTGTTGCAAATTCTAATGTACAAGGTACTGGGAGATGTGGGGGGGGGGGGGGGGTCGTCAAGACAGACACCAGTGCAGACCCTTATTCCAACATACTTTATATACAAGGCACTAAGGAGAAGATTCAAGGGCCACGCGTCCAGTCTGTTAGAGGCTCCTCAGTCGGGTCTAAATATAGGATATTTGGGTAAGAATTCTATAAGAATCACCTGCAGAGAGGATAACAAACAGTGAGTTATTACAGTGTTAGTCTAGATGGTAGATGAACATTTCCAGGATTAACTACTTGACTTGAATATCAAGCATACTAATAAAGTCGATACAAAACACAGTCTCATTGCAACACTGAGGCTAATTAATCATAAATAAAATATAAATAAATACAAATTACTAAATTATGTTTAATGACTTTGATTCAAGAATAATAGTTTAAGCTTCAGATATGCTTACTCTGACTTCGGTGAGAATTCACTACCTTACTTGTCATGATAGCCAACAAAAAGATCTGTTTTTGAGAATTTCTCACTATTTTCTAAAAACTTGCTGAGTCGACACATCAATCTTCTTGTAGAAATAAACAATGTAATACGATATAAGAGCATACTTACATATTCCATCATGTTACTGCTTTCACATTTTCTTTTACTAAGTTTCCAATGCAGCCCAAGCTGACGAGAAGAAAGGACACAAAAACAATGAATGAACACCTCTCTCACTTAGACACACAGATACACACAAAAGAAAATCTGTCTGAAATCTCCTCTTCAGTGTCAGGGGAATTTGGGAGTGGGGCTGTCTGGTCTCGCTGGGGTCAAACTGTGGCCAGACACCCTGAAGAGCTTCCTTTATGCCTTTGCACAGCTACTAGCGGTAATTTGTTGCTGCGAGACAAAACAAAATTAACACGGCCTTTTACTGCTGACCTCACGGTCCTCCGAGACACCCCTGCAAGAGATCTGACTCAAATCCCGTGCATCAGGTCTGACTCAACTCGTGTGGAGGGGTTAAGAGTTTTGAAGGCAGATAAACGGTTGTGATCCATCGTGATTATCCTGAACCTTTCACTGACACAGATAATGAAGCACTTCCACACAGGTGCAAATCTGCTGTCGTCCTTACCTTGTGGTATAATCGGTTATTCTCCCACTCTAACAACTTGTGAATAGACCGCCTCGTCTGATGGAAGAGAAAACAAACCCATTACCATTAAAGCAAGCAGCAAAAAACTCATTGCTCAATTTAACACTTTAACAGGTATCAGTAAACAGCACTAGTGTTAGGATTTATGGACTAAACTACCAATTTACTGGCTAGTAATTTCCACTTTGCTGCCATTAATTCAGAGTGGTAACCCCACCTTTAAATGACGCACCCTTGAGCTGAGCAGGAGTGGAGCTCAGCAGAGCAATGCGTCACTTCTACACAGAGCCACTAATTGAACACGAGTTGTTATTACCCTCCACTCTGTCAGCAATGCGGCTGAATTGCTATAACAGCCCCTGAGTAATCAGCGGTTGATGTAAGGGAGAGTTAAACTGTCCGATCTATGTCGCAGGAGGTCTGGGACTCACTCTCTTGTTGAGGCAGATGACGGGCCATAGACTGCAGCCTACTGTACAGCAACAACACAAGCAGCCGCAGAGAAGCCACTTCACATTCACAGGCAAGTTCTTCTTCAAACAGGCGTTCACCCTGCTGATGCTGGTTTTGAATTCCTCTGGTGCGACCTACAAAATGAAGGCATTATGGTTGGTTAAACATATAATCTGATCCTTGAGGGGGTGAGATCAGAAACTTGGAGCAGTGACTGAACTGTTAGGAGCAAGAGGGAGAGACAATTCAAGTGTTTCTCGGTGGTGGTGACTTGAAAGATTCCTAATTGCTCTGAACACAAAGATCAAAGAGCTTTAGAGAATCAACAGGTAGATATTTGCAGACGTTGTCCAGAGATGAGATGGGATCTCTGAATACTCTACCTCTGACTTGCTAACCAAGCTTTAGACTGTTCAAGGCAAGGAGGGACTCAAAGGAGAGATAAGCTCAGTGCCTGTGGCAGCGCCGGCCAAACAACTTGAATGGATGCTCATTCCTCTCTGAGTCTGTACGCCATAAAACAGGGGTCGTAATCTTTTATGACAGGATGCAAAGGTCTCTTTGCAAACAGCCAAAGACCTCAGAATAAAGCCCAGCAGGGCCTGATCTGCACCCTTCAATCATCATAATTGTGACCTCATCCATCACATGTCACCCTAGGTCACAATACTGAAGGTACTTTTTATTGCCCCACACTTCCCTCTGCCTGCTCTTACCCCTACAGCCTTTTTGTGTTTCTGCGTCCGACCCAGGAAGCTTTCCTTTCTTGTCTACAGCAGAGTCTTCATTTCATTATTTTATCACCTGGAGCTGGACCCTCCAAAACACTGGGGACCCCGCCAACCGAGCCCCATAGACGGCTTACTCATTTACAGAGCTGGACAGCAGCACATTCAAGCTCTTTTCTCCGCACTGTGCTACGTTAGTTGAAATGCATCCCCGTCAGATCAAAACCACTCGGAGAGGGGTTTTGTGAATGGTCTGGCATGGGGAAGTCAGGGCTATTAAAGGCCCACAGAGAAACAAAAGAATCACTGTGGCTTTAATTACTTAATTCTTCCCACTTGGAATTGAACAGAAAGCCAGACTGAAGTGCATGAAACTTAAAAGCAACTGTACCTTTCCCGTGAGAACAGAGGGGAATTCTGTGTCGAATCTGTTGCTCAGTCCAAACCTGAAAATAAAAAAACAGACACAAAAATTAAACATGAATACAATCATTAAAAAGGACCCCAAACCTGCAAGTATGATAAAAAACATAACGTAATTTCTAAAACAAAAAATGCATTATTTAACACTGTAGTGAGACTTCACATGCTTATTCTGTGGCACAGGAAATATGTTTAAACCTGCTGACTAAAATAGGAGATGAAGAAATCTAGCATACTGAAATTTTATTGAATAAAAGAAAGACAAAATTGGCAGATGAAAGTTACACTGGGAAGCTTTTCTGAGGCCAATAGCGCCATATTTTTTCTTGAAGCATCCTTATTAATAAATATTACAGTATGTTTTCTCAAATCTAAATAACCAACAATTTTAATTCACAGATTATTTCACATATATACAGAAAAGATGAGTCACAGGAAGACCGTGAAAAGTTTTAAAGAGGAATTAGCAATGAAGCAGATATTTCCCAGCTGCTCAATATTAAAAAATCACAGTGGATATCCAGTACGATTCACAATCACAAGAAATTTTATGTAGAGAGAAGTAAAACTTTTTGAGGTTTGTGAAGAGTGTTTGATTATATCCGTAGCAGGTCAGTGCATCAGTACTGGACAATCTCTTAGTTTAATACTGATTGGTCATAGACTTTGCCATTAAGCATAAATCTGCATCATCTGTCATTTCAACACTAGCTGGTGCACACCTTACATGCTTGTTTGTTTCATCAGTTCTCTTAAAGGAAAAATTCAATCTTTGTCTGCTGTTTCTTGTCAGTGGATTAGCTGAGAAATGTCTCTGCACTCTACAGTGTTGTTTCTTACTGAGTTCAGCTTTGGTCAGATCGCTGAAGCAGCAACAGATGTGACTGTGTTTGAAGTTTACTCTTACATTTCAGTCTCACCGAAGCCCAGTTAAATTTTAACTGAAAATGTTTCCAGCTCGTAAGCAGCTGTTACTAAAGTGAACATCAGGAGGGCAGAGATGAACATTTTCAGATTACCAGGCAGGGTAATAGACCAATAAATCCTTCTGTTTTAACCTCAAAGTTAGCTGTGGTTTTCATGAATGGTTGTAATACATGACGTTATGGTTACTTTTAGTTCTGATGCTTTGATATCCCTTAAATCAAATCTTAATCTTGATGAGCTTTAAAAACACTAATGCAGACAAGGAATACTTATCCCAAACTTTGTCATATTGGTTAAAAGGGCAATCTGGAAAAAAAGTTTACCACCATATCTTTTTTTCCATATCAGTCAATATCGCTTTATATCACAATATAAAAAATCACTTGTCAATCTTACGTGTTCCCTGTTACTCTTAAATGAAATTTGACATGAACTAGAAATAATTTGCAGTGCACACTACTCTGCTTCATGTCTGACCTCAAAAAATCTCCACACCACCAATGTTTTCGTGCCGGTGTCATCATCTGTTGAGCCTTCATCTGTATTTCTAATGGGAGTAGCACTCATTTTCTTTTTTTCTCACTGACAGTGCTGTTGGCCACTACGCACTTGTTACGCATTGGCTATTCGTATAGTCTACCAAAACATGCCAGAATGCCGGCTATTGAAAAGTATACTGACAATGTTTTATATTGATATCGAGTGAAATTAATTTTCGATATATATCGTTATTGTTTTAACGCCCAGCCCTAGTTGAAAGCTGTTATGGTCTTTTTTATCATCATTAAACACATTTCAGAAAGATAGAACACAACACAACTCTTCATAATGTCTATCACCGTCCAACAGAAAAATCATTGTACAATCCACCTTTATGTCTGTCCTTGATTATGGTGATATCGTGTATCACTATCAACTCTTCAGCAGTTAAATCCTGTGTATCATAGTGCACTACGTTTCATCACTAACGACACATTTCGCACTCATCACTGTTCCCTCTATCAAAAGTTTGGCTGGACTTCTTCACAGTCGAGAAGAAATATCCATCTCATGTTATTCATTTATAAAGTTCTTCTGCTGAAACTTCCCAGCTATCTCACATCTCTTCTTTCATTTAAACCTAGTAACTACAGAACACAATCCACTAACTATCTAACCTTAGATATTCCATATACTCATACTAATATTGGCAGAACTGGTTTCAATTACTATGATTCCTTTTTTGTTTATTGTGTTGTGTTGTATGTTGATTGAGACTACCTAATAAAATAAAGATTACATTTTTAAAGTACAATCTGTTTTGTTTACCTAACTTTTCACAGAGGGTACAAAGGGTGAAAGGTTGGGTATTATGTATAGACAGGGCTCACACATATATAAAAGGGAAAATTACTTTTTTTTTTTTAAACAAAAGTCACTGAAATACTAGATAACAGCACATCAGAGTTTACTCCTGCTGTAGTGTTATTAAAATCATCCTAACATGACATCAGCTGTGGTAATTTAAGAGCTGTAAACAATTCAAGCCCTGACAGAATAATCCTCCACATGTTGACAGTGGGTTGATTTGACAGGGGGCTTTATTACCTCCATGTTGACAACATCAGACTGATATTTATGAATGTGTCTGCTCGGTTATTACGTTATAACCCTAGCCCTTCTGGCTAACATCTAAACTTGTTTATCCCTGAATACTAAAAGGTAATTTACTTCATTTCTTGTCACCGTGTGGAAAAAAAACGGCCTTTCAGATTCGTTCCTCCTGTATTTACACACTGTCTCTTGAGTCAAATCACACGGATAACTGTAAGCTGTTGTGTTTAGCGTTAGCTAGCACGCTAGCTTCGGCTAAACGGGGCTCCGGGTGGAGACACCAAAACAACAAAGCGACAGGCGGACAGACGAAGCGACAGACGCGGCTCTGCTTACACTGTGATGTGGCCGGCCCCTCGCATGACCACGGGCTCCGGACAGTATCTGGGCAAGTGTTCCTCGCTTACTACGTGCTCATCCTCTTCGTCTTCTAACTCATAAATGGTATCAAAGTCCGCCATGTTGGGTAGTAAGACGCTCATGACGTTTGCGACGGGGGTGCGCACGGACGGACGAGCGGGTGCGCGAGGCCAAATTATGAGGCGCAGTCATGTCCCAGTTAGAGTAATGAATTGATATTGATATGGAGGACATAAAGCCATTTAAAAGTAGTATTTGTAAGACTGGTGGCACATTAAGTATATTAATTTAGTCAGGTGTCATTTGCCACAGTGAAAATAAACTTTTTTTTTGAGTAGACATGGGTCAAAGTCAGGAAAAAAACTCCTCCCTAGGGTAACCGGTCTGTCCACGAGACAATTTACATGTGACTTCCACTAATTATACAAAAGCCTTTGAACTTACCGCTCTTCTTGCTATCTAAATACACCGAAAGAGTGACTGAAACTGCCACAAAATTGGAATAAACTACCACAAATAATTTAAAAAACTACTATTACTCAAGATGAGCTGAGTTTAGAGTTAGTGTAAGCCTAAATAAAATGTATAAGTCATGACAGAATTGCTGAAACACCAGCCTTTAACGTATGGTAATAATGTTATTATATTCAGGGTGAGTAAGTGAGCCCTGCCAGTGTTTCCTCGCCCACTAAAAGTCATAAATGAGGGTGTTATGATTTAACCCTCACATACTGTTCAAATCCTCACAGTCAAAATTGACCCAGCCCAAGAATTGCCCATGTAGCAAGTTCTAACCCCAAACCTATTCATAATGTTAAAATGACCTATGCTATTTAAAAAAATATATTGTTTAGCCCTTTCTGAATGTTTCAAAGCAGGGAAAATGTATTTTTTCAGTTTTAACATGACTCGTTTTTGGTGAAACATATATTTTGGAGAAGAATATCCATTACACAGGAAAGTGTCATGTAATATTATGTAAGACATAAAAGAATTTAACAAACTACATACTCATTGTTGCAAAAAAAAAAAAATTAGCTGACAAAGATAAAAAAATGGCTGCATATGTTAGACAGAGCCTTATGAACACCAAAGGCTTGATGCATGGATTTCCCCTTGTGGGACGAATAAAGGAATATCTTATCTTGTTACTAAGGGACGATGTTTTTCAAAAGATATAGAGGTGAATGAACAAGAGTGGTACTGCAAAAACAAACATTTTATTTACATTTGAAGTTGCCATCAAAAGACATTTGCATCCACATCATTAACAGCTATTCACTGCTGCTCTCCAGGCCATCAAAGTGAGAAATTTGTGCAGAAAAAAACGAGTGGAAATGATTTGTCAAGTCGAAGCAGTTTGTCAAGTGTGGCAGGATCTACGTTCAATCCACTGAGTTCTTATCTTATTCACATACACTTCATCACATAAAAAACGATATTTATATCTTATTAACTCACAAACAATTTAAAGCTCTTAAGTTTGAAACACGTTATTTTTTTCCATTCTTGAAATCCCCACGTTATTAGAACTATTCTATAAAAAGCAATATTTGAAGAGCCTCCAGCATTTCGTTGCTATAAATCATAAGTCCATCCACAGCTGTGTGCGTCATGACGTCAGTTCAGGTGTCCTGTCCGCGTGTCGGAGTGCTCAGTTTTGTGAGGTGTTCCACAGTGTGTGTGTATGTTTTCACTGAGTCACTGTCACCTGTTGTATATTCCTGATAGAAGGCAACGTGTTCATGCCCTGAGGAGGGTACAGAGAGCCGTGGATGTCCGAGGGGGAGAGGGAGCCCGGCACCGGCAGAGGGCTCACTGAGCCCGGGTCACTGTGCACCGAGCCTCCGCTGCCGTCAGACTGACCCAGCTTCTTCTTGATCAGTTTTCGCTCTTTGGCTCTGCGGTTCTGGAACCAGATTTTCACCTGGAAGTGGATAAAAAAGTAGACATTTAATATTTATGGGCTATGAAAGAGAGTTATCCCAAACAAAAATAATGGTCTTTACGCGTGAGACAACAGCTATATTGAATATTCGCATGCGTAAAATGATAAAATAGAGGGAACGTTTTCAAAATTTAACAATTAATAAATGCTAATTTAAAAAGTAAATCATTTTTTTTTTTTTAGTATTTTTCCTTATTTTTTTCTTTTCCTTTCCTTTTCTTTTTCTGGGGTATGAGCTACCTTATCTTATTCCTTCTCAATAAAACAGAATAACATGACTTGTGACAATTAGATGACACATAATTTACACCAATAGTATAGGCCACAATTTCATAAATTCAAGTTATTTCACATTGTTAGACTCATAAGTAGCCAATGGTGTTAAAATTAAAAATTGTGCACCTACTGGGTAGATATTTGAATTAATGGTTTTAAAAAAGCCTACATGTTTTTGCTGGTTTCGTTCACACATAGAATTTTTTTTTCTGTACAAGAAATCAAACTAGAGACATAGCTTACCTGTCTTTCCGACAGTCCGAGGTTGACAGCCAGTTCAGATTTCCTCCTTATGGTGATGTATCTGTTGAAATGAAACTCCTTTTCCAGCTCCAGCCTCTGATGGTCTGTATAAACTACCCTGTACTTCTCCTTCGTCCTGGTTTTACCTGCAAACATGATATAAAACAGAGAAAAAACAACAACATAAGACAACGTAAGGTAGTTGTTGGAGATTTACGCACAGGAGGCTGCATGTCAGGACCGGCTCATATCTGCACACAACATCTTTATGAGGTGCTTGTTAAACACACGTCTCTTTACATCCTTGACTGATACGCAAATTGAGATTTTTTCTTGCTTTGATGGTCTGTGTAGTTCAAAGAATTTCAAACAGTCAACGATCAGATCAAAAACGGACCGATTAGAAAGGTAGATAAGTTAAAAAGACTAAGAAAAAGTGTTACAGGCGCATAATAAACACCAGCAGACTGCAAAAATGGTTCACTGGTTGGTTGTTTGGCCCCCTTTTTTTACAGGCCAATTAAATGAGTGTATATTAACTCTTAATGTTATGAAGTCTGTGCAAAATTGGCTCATAAATTCTGTTTTAAATTCGATTTACATGCCTTTTCCAGAAATTTATTGTCATCTTTTCTTCCCAAATAAATTCCCTAACTCATTCCTGGCCCCTGTAAAACAACAATATTGGATTTATGATGGTACTGTAAGGGCCTACAGTATGCTCCATTCCTCGACTGAGGCTGTGAAAACCGTCACTCTTTCCGGTAATATAACTCTGGGAGAGGAAGGGAGGTTGGTGCATATCAAAGTGAAGAGGTGTTGAAAGCAAAGGCCACCGCCTGGATATGACGGATAACACTGAAAACAGCAAACAATGTGACAGGGAAGTCTTCCTCACATCTCCAGGAATCATGACATTAACATCACAACTGGGCCTGGCGCCGAGGCCTCACACCTTCTTTGATTCCCACCACTTAAGAGAAAACAGACAGAGCTGGTTTCCCATCGAAAATATTAAACAAATTATGGAGTTGTCTGTTATGCTATGAGTTTGATGCAGTAAGTGAAAGTTATTGTGGGTTTGTTGTTTTTTCAGTAATAGCCAATAAATACCATCTGTTGAATTTTCAGAGTATCTGAATATTGGTAAGAACCTCAACAAGGCAGGTGATTTTTTTCCCAGTTCCCCTCTATCTTCTACCCTCGAGATTTTAATTCCAACGATTCAACAACAAAATAAAAAAAAAAAAAAAACAATTTTGATGGCGTAAAACAGCCAAACGAAAGAGGTTCAATGAAGAAAACAGAAACCACTTTCCTTTGCGTAAAAACCAAACAATTTTACGCACAGGAAAAGTTTAAAAATACACAACTCAATAACAGTTTTTTTGGCACAATTTGTTATGATCATAACCCCACCTGTGGAAGATGATTGCGCAGTTTTGCTCATCCACTGGAATGAATTGCGTCTTTCTCTGTCAGGAGAAAGTTGTCCGACATTTACGTTCTCGGGCGGCGGCTGTAACACCGCAGATCCTGGAGGATGCATGTGCGAATACTCAGAGGAGCAGTACGGGACCTGTGCAGGAGAGGAGTTGTTCATGGGTGTAGGAATAGTGTTAGGGGGTCCAAGACTGTATGCACCCCAGTCTTCTCGTGGAGCTCCGTACGTAGGCCCCCAGCTCCCAGCAGATTGTGCGTGCGTATCCATGTTTGGCACATGATGGTATCCGGTAAAATCAGGGTACTGAGGTGTGGAAACAAAGTTCTGTGGAGGCAGGTTGATGCTTGATCTTCTTACTGGCCCCTGGTGATACATGCCGCTTTCTTTATCCAGAAGGTATCCCACATACATGATGTGTGCAAAAACCAATAAAAATAGTCAAAATCAGCAGAGGGGATAGTGTGGCCTGTTTCAAGGCGACATTTTAACCCTTAAACTGATAAAAACAATCCTTCAGCTGTTTTCTGTATTCCAAATGGGTTCCCTGTGTTAAACAAGATGTAGTTCCAGTCAATCTCCTCTCTCACATGATGTGTTTCTGTTGACAAGATGCTAAAGGTATACTAAGGCCTGCCTGACGTCAGCCCACTCCTCAACTTCTGGAGATTTGCATTCAAATGGGAGAGAGAGCTGTGCTGCCGGCCCAACTGTCTCTCTTCCGCTTGTCCTATAGCGCGTCATCAGCAGACCGTGGGCCTATCCGGGACAGGACTTCTCCTCTGTATGCATACATTAACAGACCGACCTATCAGCTGCACGAAGAGGCAACGAAACGAGGCCTGAAATGCACCAAATTTAGGAGGCCTGTGCGTAATTACGCGCAGACAAATTTGGTTTTATCGGATTTTTTAGGGGGGTGCACTTTCTTTTAACCATTATTTTAGCTTAACCCTACTACATTAAAATGAAACGAATATTGCAAACTATTAAGGAGGTTTCATAATTTCAAATTGGACATCCAACACGCGTGTATTAATCCTGAGCTGTAAAAAGCTGTTACTGTGGGAATATCTTCGATTTCCATCCACGCTTCACGCCCGATTCATGTTACATTTGTTAAGATATTCACTTGCAAACGAGGTGCAAAGTATAAGAGATCCTTTTCTCTCTTGAAACAAGCCAGACCTTTCGTATTCCGTGTTCACACCTCAAGGTCGCACTTCACAGCTAATTCCGGTTACAAGGAAACTCTAACAACCCCCCCTGTGACAAACAGCGGCCCTCCACACATCACTCACTGCTGTTTGAGGGAGAGAAAAAAAAACAGGGAGTTTATTTATCTCTGATCCTGTCTAATATAAGTCACGATCCACATGAAAATAAGGCATGAGTGAATTTTTGAATTTGAGGATTAGTAGTTATTGGGCTGCTCATAAATTGCACGATACAAAAATGCCCCAGAAACCTCAAACTAGGAACTCAAAAGGAACAAAAAAACTTGCCAACTTAAAAACAAATGCCAGACCATATTATGATACTTTTATTCAATGTCCCCGTTCTTCCAAATTCCCATAATTAGGTCTCAGTCTGGTATTCACACCAAGTTACTTTTTCTTTTCTGCTACCATCAAAGAAATCTACTAACTTTATTGGAACAGTTTCCTACTGGGGGTTGCCTTGTGTTTCATGTTATATTCTGATTAATTTATAGGCAGGTGTCTAAAGGCCCGTTTAGCACAGCAGACTAATTGGTCTGTCCAAAAAAGTCCAGCACCGAGTCATAAATGCTGATGGATGTGTCTGTTTATTGACCACAAAATATTTATGAGACAGTGTCATTGAGTTGGCCTCTGACAGTCCATGAATACTCAGGACTCTGATTTAAACATCAGCTGCGAGTCCTCGCCCTCAGCCAACTGTCTGCTTAGAGGAGATCCCGAGGTGCTTTATGTGCCAAAGGTTTTAAATCACAGACAAATTTTAGAAACAGTCAATGTAGCATGAATTGATGATTTCGTTCCAAACATAAGCTTTACATTAATGTCTTATCTCATCCCACTCTGAATTCATGGATTTAGTCAGGGTTTTTTTCTTAGCTTAGATTATTTTCAGTCTCCCTTTCATCCCTCATGTTTCGTGAAGTTTCCCTTCAGCTGCACTGAGGTTACCCTCTGTCCTGGAGACTGATTTATTTCAAACTCACTGCCGCCCTCTTGTGGATTCTTGAATTGGTTAAGTGAGTTAAAGCTACATCAGCTAAAGTGGTATCTTTTTTTCCAAATCACCTTACCCATTGATAATGGAGAAAAGAAAACTAAGAATGCTACTTTGACCTAAGTAAAATACCCTTTGAGCTGGTTACATTTCCCTATATATGTCCTTATATAATTCCACTTTACTCCATCTCAGAGGGAGACATGGGACTTCATTTTCCACTATTTACTGTGTTACTTCAGAGGGCAACATCAATGGTACTAAGCATGGCCAAACACTTAAAAATGTTGTATGAAAAAAAAAAAAAAATCACTTTTAACAAGCAGCATCAAAGGGATGTGTACACATGAATGCCTCAGTCATTTAGGTCCAGATTGATGTTATTGAGAATGAGCTTTTCTCCACCATATTTGCCTTTACTTTTCGTGGAGATCCACTTATATACTTAAATTTAAGTGAAATATGGATCAATACACATACGCACACCTTTCCCCTTAGAAACACTAACAGGTCGGTGGATCAGTCTTCAGCTCCAGCCGACGCCATTTACAGAATAGAATAGAATTCAACTTTATTATTTATGAATATGCTATAACTATAAGTATGTACAGGCTATAGAAGTGTATGTACAGGCTATGAACAAATTAAACATATGGTTATAAATATGAAGGCTAGAAACAGACAATAAATATAAGTATATGAAAGATAAATTATGCAGTAGTGCAAATGAGGTTTGAAAGGTTTTAAGTTGGTTTATAGATATGAATGATGTTATGGTCATCTTAAAATGAATAGAATTAAATGTGTTCAGACTTTTTTTTCTTAATACTGCCTGTTTCTGAGTTTCCCTGCTAATGTTTTGTACTTGGCTTCTGTGTGTGTATGTGAGGGACAGAAATTGTTCATGCTGACCAAAATAAACTTAACCTACTCACTAAAAAAGACTTCACAGATCTTTACACGTTTGTAAACGTAATTCATAAAAAAGCTTTTAACTGAACAGTATTTTTTCAAGCCTTCACCTGAGTAAGAGAGGAGAATGGGCTCTATGCACAGCTCCACGACTTTCTGAATTTAAGGCAGCTTCTTTATCTCCTGTGTTACATTATTGGACTAACGGATTAATCCAGGTGTGACTGATCATTGTGACTACTCAGACACACCTGGATTAATCCGTTTGTCCAATAATGTAAGACAGGAAATAAAGGAGCTGAGGTAAGTTCAGGTAGTGCAGCTGTGCGTAGAGATCAGCTCACCACACTGACCACAAGAGGGCAGCCTTTAACCATATGAGACGTTTGAAAAAGTGATGGAGCATCTACATCACTACAGAAGATCTCTATTTAAAGTGAACGTATTCCTGATTACAAAAAGCCAATTAAAAGTTTTATAAACAGGAAGAAGTCCACTTCTGAACAAAGTTTAAAATCTGTTTCTAAATGACAAATTCTATTTGAAACGCCCTTTTTTAAATATCTTTTATTTCTGGATCAATCTTAACTGACTTGTCGCTGAAATAATTTTGTCTTTTCCATGCTCCATGAATTCAGCATGGCCTCTGTCCTACAAAGTTCTGGTTCAATTTTTAGTGTATGAAATTAATAGTAATGTGATTTGATGTTTAAATGTACCTGCTTCTTCAGAGTGTAAGAGCATGTGCTTGCGTAAGCATGTGTCACATCAATGAAAGGCTTGACAGTGAAGGACGTTTAATTTTACAATGGACTTAATAGCATGCTGTTGTTAAATCACTGTGGTTTGAGGCTGATAAGGTCCTGAAATATGTTTAACCTGGTTACATAAAGACAGGGTTTATGTACACAATGCCACTCCTTTTTAAAATTCAGACATGAGAAATATTCTACTCAAAAAATATGAGAAAACATACCAGGTCTACATGAAAGTTTTTGTGAAGTTAGATGAGGTTGTGTTTTACTGTCTTCTCTCTCTTACTGGATGATATCATAATCATACTCAGCGTCACTCTGGGAATACCCTTTTGGAAAGTAAAACATGTGTATATGTGTGTCTCTGCTCCAAGTGGGATGAAAAACTCAACTGTTTCTGCTCACACATACAGCTCGATCAGGTCATTTGCAGGAACTTTGTGTTTTTGAGAATTGTGTGTGTGCCGAGCGCTACCTGTAGTCACTAGATGACGCCATTGAGCCAGGTATTTTCAAGGAGTGGATGTATCAGCTGTTGATCATTACTTGACTGCATCTGCAGATCTGTGGAGCAGAATCAGAGATTGAGAACAGAGTTTATAGTAGGCTCTGATATTTAATACTCCTCTGAACAGAAGTCTTCTGAACATATGCTTGTGGCTTTAACAGAAATCCAGTCTTTATCTCGGTGTTGCTCGTTGCTCTTTGTGCTGTATGTGAGGTTTACAGTGCCTCTGAGTCTGTTAAACTGTGCAGATGTACAATAAAAAAAAACATTTAAACCTATAGGGGGCATTTCAAAACACTGACAGGGTGACTGTGATTGTTTGCAGGTTGTTTTGAAGGGTCCTTTGGCTGAGATCAGACTTACAAATATGACTGTAAAACTAAAAAGGATACAAATCCCATCATGCTGTCTTGTCAGTACAGAGTTGAGACCTGCCCGTGCATCAGATGGATTTCATAAATATGCAATGTTCGGATTTAAATCCTCCACTTTAATAAAGTAACACATGCCTCTTTGTCTTTAAAGCTGAGATTGATCCAGTAAAGCCATATTGAATGACATAAACACCGCAAACTTTAACACCACACAAAGAATAAGATGGCAATGTGACATTCACTTTTGAGTGCAGACATAAGAAGTCGAAGAGAAACAAAAGTCTCCTGTTCCCCCTCGGAGTTTTGTATGTTATATTTGTAGCAGATCAGGGACTGTCAGCGGTGAAGCAGCCCAAGAATTCAGTTTGTTGCATAACTTCATTGATGTTGTTGAAGTGACCACAGCGTCGCTCTGCAGGAAGAGAGGTAAAACAAGACCATCTGCTACTATTTTTAGAGAAACTGCCTGCATGGCTGACACACACACACACGCACCCATCCAAAGTTTATGCTCTGTAACCTAAAACACATGGAGAGCAGAATACGCAAAACATAAGTCATGTTCCTTTATTTTGATAAGATTGCTTTAGATACAGCAGAGATAGATTTGGGCGAGATCGGGAAGCCTTTTTTTTGTTTATGAGCTGT